AGTGTTAGTGATGATTAATTTTAAACTTTTTAATAATTGAAGAGTTGTAAATTGTAATTGTAAGAATAAATATTTAGAAAATTATATTTTATTATTGTTAGACTTTTAGGTGGTTGTAATTCTATAATTATTATTGTATTTGTATCTTGTATTAGAGATTAATCTTAAATTTGGTTAAATATTTTTATGATTAACATCTTTTTATTTAAATTATATTATTTTAATCATAATCGATTTGTCTTCCAAGTTAACCTCCAATTCAACCTAGGTTAGACTACTAACCCATAACCCGTTAGTTTCACTAGTTTAATAACTGATCTGATTTTTATTACCTTATTCTAACCTCTAACACGAGTTTCTTTGTGCCTTCACCGGTGCCGGGCTAAGATTTTCTTTTATTTTATTGTCTCTTAAAAAGTTTATAAGAAACAGTGTCATGGTTAAGATAATATAATTAATAATACCTCCCTATTTAACTATAATTATTTTTATAAAATAACCCTGAATGAAGGGTTAATTAAAATTAGAAAAAGCGAATTTTTATAAATCATTGTATTTATTGGAATTATGATTCTCCCCCCTCCTTCAATTTTTTTTTTTTTTGCGTAAGAACAATTGGAACCGTGAAACAATATTTATATCTCAAATTAGTTTAAAGTGATTTTAAATGAGATAATCTTTAAAGCACAACAATTGACGACATGTTTTTATGTCAAATTAATTTTCTTTCCCCACTTCTGTTTTTCCCTACTTCTATTTCCTCTTTGGTTTTATTTTTTTTTTTCAAATAAAACATTTAATTTAATTCAATATCTTCAAAAAAATTATTAAAATACTACAGTATCAAAAATAAATAGGAAAAATCATATCTAGCCCCTCCCAAGAGAATTAATCATATATAAGGATAAATGTGAAACTTGTTGTTATTAAAATGAAAACATGACTTTTTTTTTTGAATAAGACTTATTATTAATCCTTATCTATAATTAACTTTTTTGAGAGGGGGTTGAATGCAATTCGTTCAAATAAATAAATCCAGGTTTTTAAAATTTAACTTAAACAGTTCGTTTACTGAAACGGAGAAGAGATGAGTCAGGTCCGTTTTCACGTATGCAGATAATTGTCATCTATAATGAAAAGAATAAATCTCTCTTCTTTAATTTACTAAAAAAGAAAGATAGTACTTACTTAAGGAATATAATTCAAAGGTAAAGTACACATTTAATTTTTTAATTTTATAAAATATCTTTTAGTCTTTTAACCTTAACACAATTAGATTTTATCTCAATAAATTTTTACAGTAAATTTTTAAATATTAACAAAATATTCTTAAATATTAACATATTAAGTTTAATTTTTTAAAAAATAATGATTAATATAAAAAATAATTATTCAAAATAAACAAAACTTTATAAATTAAAAGATTAAATTGAAAACTCATATAAACTTATAGAATTAAAAGTATAATTTAATCTGTAATTAAACAAAAATATAAAAGGAAATAACTTCAGTCTTCTATAACTGCCGCGCGTTCATTGCATTTTGTCCCTGTCAGAAGCCGCGCCTCCATTCAGTATGAATGGAAAAGTGCCTTTCCTCCTCTTATAATATGAAATTATGAATAATCGTTCTCTTCATTTCTTTCTTTCTTTTTAATAATTAGCTACAACATTTTGAATTTGATTTTATTCTTATGCTGAATCTTATATGTGGAAAAGGGTTGATAGGGAGTGCAGATGAGGATGATAATTAATATATATATATATATATATAATTATCATGTTTTTTTTTTAATGCTGGATAGGTTGTATTATTACTCCTCGTAGTTTTAAACGTAGGATCCTTTTATCTAATTTGCAACGATTAAGAGAAGGAGATTTATGAATAATAATAAAAAAAGAAAAGTAGATAGTATATACTACTCCTTCTGTTTTAAATTATAAGACACTTTTAGATAAAATTTTACATACTAATAAATCTCATTAAACACATTTAACAATTTTATCTTTTCAAAATAAAAATATAAACTTTTAAAAATGCCCATCATTTAATGTATTGAAAAAGATAAGGAACAAAAATTAATTATAAAAAGAGAAAGAATAATATTAAAGTTGATGTATTTAATGAAACTTTAATTCATTCAAAGTATCTTATATTTTGGAGCGAAAAAACTCATTTAAAAATGTCCTATCATTTGAGACAGAGAAAGTATTTATGATGGATTATGAAGTATTAAAATGGATGAAGTGTTTTCAAATTGTACTGGATTTCGTAAGGGATTTGAATCATTTGAATTTTGCTATCTGAAGTTTGGTAAAGTTGGGAACATCACAATCGTTGCTTACAAATAGCCCCAAAATTATGCCATGTAATAAGCGAAACTTCTGTGTTTCAAAGGGCAGGGTTTCTTTTGGCTGGCGTCCTCATGAAAGACATGACGATGATAGCACAACAATATTACTTCAACTACTACAACTCTGAAATATTGCTCATTGTTAACGGTGATGACACAGCAACTTCGATTATGTGCCTTTATCATTTTCATTGTAATATGCTTATATGGTGAATTTTTCAGAATTTTGGAAGAAGAAAATTTGTTGAGGGAACCCATTAACTTCCTGACAATTAAATTTATTTTATTTGCCTCTTGATGATGGGAGAATAAGAGCGCCACGCACATCTGATTTATGGAGGGAAGACCAAAAGCATTTTTTTCACCAATTTTTCTATATTAAAATCACTCCCACCCAAATAAAACACTACATTTTAATTATTACATGACATAATTTTGTGACTTGATATAAGTAATGGTTGTGATGCTCCCAACTTCACGAAACTTTATATAGCAAAATTCAGAGGATTAAAATCCATTTGGCAATTGTCCGTGTAATCCTCACACACCGTGAGTGTTTCTCGTTGCACTATAGAGTATAGACTATAGAGATCATTCACACTCAATCGAGAACACCGGATATGTTAGCATAAAGGACACCAACTAATAACTCTACCTTCTTCTGTGCATTATACTTTAATCTACTAACTTAGTTGAAATATATTTCCTAAAATCGTCTCTTATTTTTTGTCAAATATTAATTTTTAAGTGTTGATTCATAGAATCTCACGATCGCATTTTGAATATTTACTGGGCAAGAGGACCTAAAATACTCACAAAGTCCAAATCCTAATAATGCGTGGATGATTTCAAAATTTCTGTAAATGCATACTGGCTCATAGTATAATTAATTAATTATAATTTATATTAATTATAATCCAAGCATATACTCCCTCTGTTAAAAAATATAACTCATTTTTAACTAAATTTTATCCTTCAACAAAATAGTTAATTATCTTCAAATTAATATTATCTTTTTATATTTATTTTTATTTAATATAGTATTTTATTTTAAAATAAATATAAAATAATTTATTTATCAAGCTGTTAAAATTTAAACTAATTATTAAAGTGGTCAAAATCAAGGTTTAGGGGTTAAGGGTTTAACCTTATTCAAACCCAGAGTCAATCATAATAAATAAAGTTATATTTTAAAATTTATTTAATTTAATTTTTAAGTGGACTGAACATTTTAATATTGTATGGATAATTAAAAACATATTTAAAGTAAAAAAATCAGACGGTAAAATAGTGAATGGATATGATTTTTTTTAATCCCCGTAAAAAATTATATAACTTTTTATTTCATTAATGTGAGTGTAGTACATCAACTTTGAAATTTGAATTACTTTTCTTTCTTTTCTTTTTTATTACCTAAAATTATTGCTTAATAGGCGATAAAAGTATACAGAAAAGAAAAATGGGAGAGAAAAGTGGAAAACAAATGTTATTTTCTCTTACTTGGTTAAGAAGAGAATAATGAGAGAAAAAATTTTAAAAAAAAAAACAAGCAAGACCCATATGTTTTTATTTTTAACTTTTGTCTCCAAATATAAAAAAAATTTTGAAAAGAAAACCCAACTTTCAAATTTACCCATAACTTTTTTTGTTTCTTGCGTTTCCTCTTTCCATTTCCATCCTAATTTTCCTTCAACTTTATAAATTATTGTATATTTAATAATTTAAAAAATTAAAATTAGACAAAATAATTTTTTTGCTAATATCAAATAAAATAAATTAAAATTATATTTTATTTATCTAGTAATATATAATAAAAATTATATAAATAATACGTTAAAATAGTAAATTTTATTATATATAAATATTTTTCTGCAAATGGTAACATTATTATTGTTCATATAAAATTAATAATTTTTTTTATTTTTTCTCACTAAGTCAAACATAAAAAAAGATTGCATTCCTGTATTTTTTTTCTTCTCTCTATTTTCTCTCTTCATATTTTCTTTTTTCTTTCCTTGTGAGCCAAGTTTTAACTAGCGGAACATTACTGAAGCACCGTTCTACAATATTTTTTGTCACCAACAGTACTGTTCAACGTTAAAGTAATAATTTCAAAATAGACAATAAATAATTATATATCATTGCGCTTGAAGTTGCTCAATGCATCCCGGTAGTGGAAGAACCAGCAAGCGGAAAAAGAACAATAATGTATTATCATTAATATAATATTTAAATAAATTATATGTCAACTAATTGTTTACTGCATGATCTCATCTGAGAAAGTGCGTCCCCACGCGCGGTCACAGCTAACGACGACAAAGACGAGAGACATTCGCTCTTAACAAAACCGGAAAAAAAAAAAAAGCTAGCACGTGTTCTAGGACTATTTCTAATTCGACGGCCAGATGAGTGAATGTGAAAGATAGGTGACGTATCTGAAGTGACGTTTCAGTGCTTCTTTCATTTCTCACTTCTCTCCTACAGCTTCACGCTCACTTCGTCACCTTCCCATTTCACACTGCCTCACATCACATTTCCTTTTGGCACATCACATTCACAATGCGTATGGGTATAATCACGCAAACATTATATATCTAACACAAATGAATTCAACCACCACTGGCCATCTTCGTAAACACAGCAAGCATCTTCTTCGCAAAACCAAGAATTATAATAATGGAAGCTCAGGGAAAAAATAATCAGCCTCCTCCTCCTTCCACCAAAGTCGAAAGAAAAGTCGTAGAGAAAAACAGAAGAAACCAGATGAAGACCCTCTACTCTAAGCTCAACTCTCTCCTCCCTAATCACAATCCCCAGGTTCTCCCCCGCCCCCCACATATATATATTTGTGTACAAATATATGTAAAGAATTGACGTTGATCTCTCACTGGATAATTTGGTGTGGTGCAGGAAATACTGCCACTGCCTGATCAAATAGACCAGGCAATAAATTACATACAGAGTCTGAAGGAGAAGGTGGAGATGGCTCGAGAGAAGAAAGCAAGCTTAACAGGAAGCAAAAGGTCACATGCGAGCAGCTCGACGAGTGGTGCTATTGAGAAGAACAAGACTGTGGCAAGGTCACCAGAAATAGAGATTCGTAAAGTGGGTTCGTTTCTGGAGATTGTTCTGATCACTGGGTTGGATAATCAGTTCGTTTTTTATGAGATCATTCGCATACTTCATGAAGAGAACGTACAGGTCGTGAGTGCTAATTCCTCGCTCGCTGGCGACTCAATGCATCATGTAGTGCATGCAGAGGTATTTTAGAATGTAACCATTATCAGATTTTCCTTCACATTCTGTTTGTCTCTCGAGAAAATCATGTTTTCCCCCCCTCAGTTATCAGTGTAACTGAACTGATATTGGCTTTGCAGATTGGGCAATCGTCGTTTCAATTCGGAGCAACCAAGGTAAGCGAGAGGCTAAAAAGATTTGTTTATGGATCATCAAGTGATGTGGAAATAAACCCAGAGTTGTGGGATTTTGACATTGCTTCTGAACCATGGGGCTTTTAATTAACCAGAAGAAATCCCTTGTTAATTCTTCGGAAGAAGTTAAATTAATATCAGTGTCTCTATGTCAAAGGGATATTAATATCAGTGTAAGCGTCGATCAGCTTCATGCCGCCAAAATGGTATCCTGAAATTTAGCTTCTGATGATTTTCTCTTATACAGTTGTACTTTAATTTGTAACTCTTCAAAAATCTTATGTATATAAATAAAAATAAGCGAGATGCTTAAATATAAATTACCTTCAGATTGAGTATTTGTGACCTAGAACTCAGGTAACTAGCAAGAAGAAAGATGATATTAAAATTAGAACACACATGCTAGCTAGCTAGCTCCACAAAGTCAATGGTTATGATAAGGCTAATAATGAATATTGATGGAGGCTTCAAGGGATAAACAATTACAATGCAATGGATCTCCTCTGTGAACAAGAAGACAACATCAATGGCTATGGCTAAACGTGATGTGCAATTAATGTTGGCCAATTGAGAGAAGAATAAAGCTAAACCGATCTCCGATCGATCCCTTCACCAACACAACATCCGGTTCCTCTTTCAACAACCTGGAAGGATCTAGAATGAGCTAGAGGAATGGGAAGCTTAGGTGCATCGATGTTGACTCAAGAGGAAATGGAAAATCTGATAAAGCAGGAGAATCCTCAATGCGGTATGATCTTTCCAAGCCTATTTAGTTTACACGATTATGTGTCTGAGTATAATCTGGTATAATTAATTTCATTGATTCTGCTTAGAGTGTGAGGCATCATCATTTTCCTCCATTAAGAATTAATGAATCTGGATTGAAAAAATGGCGGCTAGTTTGGGATACATACACATCTCTCATAATTAAGGGTGGACTTGCTGCTTTAAATAATGTTGCTGGTTCAATGAATCAGTGCTGTGTTTTGAATGAAACGTTGTTTTAGGAAACAATCCAAAGGTTGTGTTTTTTTTTTCTTTTTTTTTTTTTTTTGCCCAGAGAATCCAAAGGTTGTTCGAGACATAAAAGACGGTACACATGAGATGGGAGAGACTCAATTTTTGCCAAGTTTCCATTTGGCAAAACTTACAAGAGGTGCAATTTTTTTTTTTTTTGACAGTGGTCAACGTTAATAGGTTCGAGACTTTTTCAGTTTGACTTATCTTTATTTGATACTTTCATGGATTATCAATGGCAATCTATCAATTTCTTCCTAATCGTGCCCTCTTCATATAATTTGCTATAATCAAAAGTTTTTGTAAGATCTTTAGCAAAGATTTTGATCTGGAATGTTCGTAACTACAATGCAAATTTCTTAATTTCTTGTTTTGTTTTTGTTTCATTTGTTAGTGCTACATTTTGTTTCACTCATCACTCATCTAGCCATGGCTCGAGAAACTATATTTGATCTTTCTATTAAAAAAACAGGATATATATGAGATGGGTTTTATGGGAAGATTGTAATTGCCCTACTATCTTAAAAGCCGATTGAGTTTCAATTCATCAGATTTAGACCATTAAGATAAAAATTGAATGATCCATATTTAATATAATTTTATTTTCATATTCTAATTTTAAATAATTTAAAATTTTCATAGATTACAAGATCTAAATAAACATAACCTTTTAACCATTATTTTGTTATAATTTTTTATTTTAAAATTTAAAATTTAAGCCTTTAAAATTATATTTAAATGGTTTAGATTTCATTCCGCACTGAAACCCATTCTTAATGTGTGTTTGGTTTTCAGTTTGTTAAAAGTTTATTTGGTGAAAGTTCATTTGATAAAAGTTAGTTTAACAAAAATCAGTTGTTGTAATAAAATTTGTGTTTGAATATATATTTTTAAAAGTTAATTTGATACATTAAAATTTATTTAAATTGTGATAATTAAATGTGCTTTTGAATGTATGATTATTAAAAAGAATATTAATTTTTAATAATTTATAATTTTAGTTATGCAAATGTAATATATTAGAAATGTTTATAAAATTGTGATAGAATAAAATGCATTTAACAAATTTTTAAATTTATTCCTATTAAATATACATACTTAAAAAATAAAATATTCTTATATTTTATTGAAATACCTTATAAATAGAATTAAAATAAATACTCTCTATCTTATAAATAAAACTAAAGCCCTATAAATAAGTTTGGAGAGGACTTTTAAAAGGTTTTCAAATTACACGTTTCAAAATTCACTTCCAAATCAGTTATGAAAATCCTTTTGCAATGTTAATTTACATTTATTATTATTACTCAAATAACATTTGGCATTTGAAAAGTTGAAAAAAGGACTTTTGGAAAGTGAGAAGTAACAATCCAAACGCACCCTAGATGCTATGGGTGAGGACATGATCTTTGAATATTGAATGGTTCAATCTCGTTGCGCTGGTCCTGTGTTATTTACTATATTCTGGTGGTTAGGAAAGATTTTAGTGCGCTTCTTTTTCTCTTGCTCCGAGACTTTAAAGATTATAGATGGAGGCAGCTTTGATGACAAGGGCATTGGGCTCCATCGAAAAAGTTTTTAGGACTATCGCTCCTTTTGACAGCTATATACACGCGATGCTCATGCAACTCACAGTTGGAACTTGCAATATATTGTCATCTCATGTCAAAATGATAAGGTTTAGCACTTTGGGAACCAAACATTATTCATAGTTTATTCTACAATCATGTACTGTCAGCTACCCAAATCTCTCGGATTCCATATGAAATTCCCAGAGAAAATGATTAACTTAGCAGATGTTTTGATTTCTTGTATTTTCCATTACTAACCATAGTTGTTATCTAATTACTGATAAATATTGAATATTTGCAGTTTTGTTGATCATACAATGGGTGGGTCTAAAACCAAAAGTCATCCTTTAGTTTCTATCTATAAAATAATGAGTCAATTTATGCATCCAGAAAAAAAAATTGCCAAGTTATTTTAGCCTCTGCGTAGAAAGCTTACAGAGGCATTGTGGCATCATCGTCAACCTGTTGTACCATATGTCATCAGACGATTAAAAAGGTTGCTTTCAGAAGGAACTTCAGAACAATTTGTTCATTCAACTGTCAGATAGTAAAGTTATACATCATGAAACTATCAAAACCCAAAGGGGTCGAGAAAAATTATGACGATATGCTGAATTAGAATTTCAAAAGTGGGGAGGAAGGCAGAATATTTCTACGCTTTTCCATATAAGCTCATGATTCTTTTAGTTTGGGAACACAACATATCTTTCGATTATGATATTACAACCTTTCACCAAAAATATAAAATAAGTTTTACTTGTAGAATGACTGGGAATATTGCAGTCATTGCCAAAAATATAAAATAATGTTGGATGGGACACTTCCATGAAACTTCATGGATGTCTCGTTGTATTAAATGAACTTCCTTTATTCTCAGAAAGTCTGCATAAAGACGATGGGCTATTAATAGAAGACACATGGATCAATCACACAAGGATTGCCTCCCATTCAAGCGTTTTGCCGGCGAACATGGGGACAATGTCTCCAAACGGAAAGGAAAAAGACTCGGGCACCCTCCATTGAGCCTTCCTCAGTTTAATCTTTGAGCTGTTTCTTGGAAGGCCATAGAAGTCTGGTCCATTAAAGCTTGTGAAGGCCTCCAGCTTGTCGAGCGCACCAGCCTTAAACATGGAAACAATTTACTAATAATCATGCAAAGCACGAGCCTTGCCTTCTAGTTGCATCTCACAGATAAACAGTCTACTATATGTGTGTGTGTGTGTGTGTGTGTGTTATCATAAGCAAACAAAAATGCATGTGACCATATCGTCAAGGAATCAAACACTAATGTCATTCATGAATCACGCACTGATTTAAGCAAATACTAGTTCATCACTGGAACTCACGCATTTCCCCTTGCTCCTTAGTGTGTGTTTGGTTTTCAATTTACATATGGTAAAAGCACATTTGGAGGATCTAACTATTTGTTAGATTTGGCAAAAGTGCATCTCAGATGTAGTTTGAATGTGTTTTTCGTAGTCACTCAAATGGGCCCTTAAACCCAACAAAATGCTCATCTGGAAATAGAAGAATGTAAAATTTAACATATGATTGAGGTGTTACCTCTTCAAAGACGCTTGCATAGAGTGATAGAGCAACAGGGGAGTTGTATATGCCAGCACATCCACAAGGACATTCTTTTTTATGTCTTTCATGAGGAGCGCTATCGGTTCCAAGGAAAAACCTTTTACTTCCACTGGTAACAGCAGAGACAATAGCCTGTCCTGTGAAACAAAAATAACAATAATAATAGAAATGATGTATAAAATTATGTGGAAAAGAAAAATATCAGAAGATGAGACAAGCAGTAAGAACATTTCAAGACTTTTTCGAAAAAAGCTGCATTCATACCATTTGTAAATCATAATATTCATGACTTCTATTTAAATAATTTACCTCAAGTTTTTAATGAAGAAGACTGATATAGCACCTGAAAGATGTTTAGTTGAAATTATTTATACTTTATGGTAGATGAATACATACTGTGAATTTCTCTTTTGAGCACTGGAAGACAGTAATTGTGGGGCTGCAAGCCACCGTGGAACAGAGCATTGCGGTTCAGAAGAAGATGCTGTGGTGTAACAGTTGCAGCCACATAACCTAACAAACATAGTAAATCATGAGAAAACTATGAAAAATGAAATAACATAAAAATAGAGTTCATTCAACCAAATGATTAGACGTACCTTCCTTGCAAGATTCTACAAATTTAACAGCATCCATGGTAGTGATATGCTCCATCACCACCTTCAGCTGTGGAAGCCTTTGAAGTAAAGGCTCTAAAATTGTTTCAATAAAGACCTTTTCCCTATCAAAAATATCAACACTTGGATCTGTGACTTCCCCATGAACCTGTAGGGGAATTGATTAAGCATAAGGATGTTAAAAAAAAAAAAAGAACATCTTAAGTACTTCAAGTCAGAAGAAAGACCAGATGGAAAGAGGGAAACATGTCACTGGGTAGCTTTCCAAACACCATGCAGTTCATACTTAAGCTTTCACATGTTTATCGTTGCAATATGCTGTGAAATAGGTGTCCATTACAATAAAATCAATTACAAGGGACTCACAAGATCTGAACATTGAAAGAATCCTCCACTAGGACAAGGATAGTAAAATAAGAGACAGAAGACATTCTTAGGCACAATCACGTACAAATCAGGTTCAAGGAGTTAAAAGGGAAAGAGAGAATGGAAAAAAAACAAGAGTAACAATTTTTCCCCCCCAAAAAAAAAAGACAAATAAGCAAGCTAAGCAAAATCACAATGGTACCAATAATGGTATATTCTGCCGAACCATCTCCTCTAGAACAGGAAGACATTTTCCAAGAAGATCTGTAACACCATCTTGAGAGTTTGTGGTGGCACCAGCAGGATACAATTTCACACCATAAACAACACCACTTCTTTCTGTCAATGCAGTCAGCATCATCAATAAATGTAATATATTTATAAAAATAAAGAAAAAGATGGATGAGCACAAGAATCTAATTGACAGAAGGCAGTGCGTGTATATATACAACCATAGACATGCAAATTAAACTTACTTGATAACTTATTTTTGCCATACAATTGAATACATTTCAGAGGTAAATTTTTTTAAAATCATGTGAACACAACTAGACTCACTAGCAACTTTAATCTCATCAGGGCCTGTCATGTCTGTTAGGTAAAGGGTCATCAGGGGAGTGAAGTTGCTGTCTCTAGGCAGTGCTTTAAAGATGGACTCTTGATAAGCCAAGGCAGCAGCTGCGCTAGTAATGGGTGGCCTTAAATTTGGCATAACTATCGCCCTTCCAAAATGCTTTGCACTGTAGTCGAGTACTAGTCATTAATCAGGATTTGAAAATCATTTCATTTGTAGGAATATAAAAGAAGCTAGGACCAAGCATTCCTCTCATTCATCCCCTAAAAATCATGAGTGTAAATGGATTGATAACAGGCCTTTCTGTTATTGATTTATAAGCGAATTTACCTGGAAGAGATTACAGCTTTGAGAAGGTCACCATCACGAAGGTGAAGATGCCAGTCATCAGGTTGCGTAATAGTAAGCTCCATCTTCGGTACTTTAGAATGCAGGCGCTGATGCACTTCAAATTTTTTAGATGAAAAGTTTAATACCTATGAACAAAGATAACAAAATAAGTACTAGATGAATCATACAAAGAGAGATAATTCACCCAAAAGGTGATGGAGCACATAATGATAGAGTCTAGTTTGAGTAAGGAAACAAAAATTATTAGATTGCAAACAGTTCAAAGTGTAGCAGTAGTTACGCTTGAAGCCATTTGAACAGGATTCCAACATTTTCAAATTGATAAAAGCCCGGCAAGGGATTAAAGAAAGCAGCTACTTTTATTATTACAGTTCAAAATGCAAACGCCTACTAAGGCCATTCAGGTATTGAAGAAATGAGGTGAGAATACAGCAGGATGTGCCACCCCCTTTTCAATACTTGTTTTGCCACAGAAATAGAAATTAAGGAAATAAATTTGAGCTTTTGACCAGACAACTTCACAAATAAAGTTATTGAAAAAAAAAATCAAGAATTACTTGGTAAGGAAGGAACAAAGTCTTCATCATTCTTAATGCAACAAAGCCATCACAAGCACTTCAAAACTCGCAGAACTATCTGTTAGGAAGAAATTATGAGATGAAAAGAAAAGAAGCAAATAATTACTTTAGCACAACCTTATTATTACTTACGATGACATGCATTTCTATAAAAAGAGAAAGGGAAATAATGAAGTAAATGAGGACTTTGTTATCAATTGCTTGTCATTTAGTTTAACGACCATAAACAAAATGTAAAATGAAATAATTCAACCTAGATGTGATTGCCAATTGTTATTGGAAACACCACTAATCAATGGCCTGAACAATAATTCATTATGCAAAGGGCCTGAATGGAATGGCTCAGCACTTCAATGAGAATGGTGGCTATAGAAAGACAGCTTTTTTTATAACCAGGAGTTCACTTTGGCATAGAGTGTTGTCCAGGGATTTTATCGAACACCCTCAAATCAATCGATCACCGTGGCTCTCATAGCTCCATTGCATCAATCATCAATCAGTTTACTTCAAAATGAAAACCCAGACTGATAGAATCTCATCGTTGATAAAAAAAAAAAAAACAGAAGGTCTAAAAAGACTCCCACAGGGCACGGCAGTATCAGCTCCAATTGTTGCAAAGCCTAGCTCTTGAAAAAGAAAATCCAATTCCATTTAAACATTCGTGCAAGATAAGAAATTTAATTTATGAAAACCAAATTATACTTTCAGAGTCTCCAGACGACCTTCCACCAACAAGAAACGAAAAGAAAAGCACGAAACCTAGGAAGGGCACGGCAGCAGACAGGGCTGAGTTTCAACGATGAAAACCAGTTGCGGACGCGGCGCACAGAGCCGTTGGGTTTCAGACGTCGAAGGAGAAGATGAGAAATTGAAAACTATGATTAAACGGAATCAACGGCTGAGATTGGACACAGAGAACTGACGGCGTTTTGATCGAAATGCATGGAGTGCATCTACCAAGCGAATTGTAGAGGATTTAAACGACACAATCTTGCTGCTGATAGTGATGATAAACGACAGGATCTTAGGGCCATAGTCACACGAAAAGACATGAGAGATAGGTCAGAAATAGGACCGAGCTTGAAGTGTGGCTCTATTTAAATAAAAATTTAAATTTTAAAAATAAATTTTTTTAAATAATCGGGTTTGAAAGTTTGGCCTTGATAAACCTTGTAAAAAAGAGCTTGAGCTCGAGCGACCTTTCAAACATTATTATTATTATTATTGTTATTGTTATTGTTATTGTTATTTTCTTTAGTGGAACACGTGTTTAAAACCAATGACCTGCTCACTTGATCCTATACGCATTATATAATTATTAATTTTAATTTATTTTAAAATTAATTTAATATAATTTAATAAATATTAGTGTATAGTATAAAATTTTTGATTTTTTATTTTCCTATAATTACTATGTTTGTGTATTTATAAAAAATGAACTATTTTTTAATCAAGATTTAAATTTTATTACTAAACTTCTAAATGTGTGTTATTTAATTTTTAAAAAATTATGAGAATTTTAATTTTTTTAATTTCAAAATATTTTAATTAATAATGTTTGATTTTATTTTAATTTTTTTATTTTTTGAAAAAAGGTTTGCCAGCACGACCCTGAATCCTTTACATGAGAGCCGAGCTTGAGAAATGAGGCTCAAAATGAAAAACTAAGTTTTAAGGCTCAGGCCTTAAGGATTGGGCCTGTCCATATTCCTTGCTCTAATGAGAGAACTCAACGTGTGGGCAATCTAACAAATGCACAGTGTCGTTTCAATAAAAGCAATTAGTCACCTTTGTGTGTGTGTGTGTTTTTTTTTTTTTTTTTAAAGCATCCGGTGCTTTTCATGCTCATCAGGGTCTGAAGTAATGTTGACCCTTTACTTCAACCCAAATTAATCTCTGTCATTTGTTTAAATTAATTTTTAAATATTTTTAATATTATATTTATTAAAATAGAAAATTAAAAAATTTAATGTTAAATTTGGACAATTTAGAGTACATTTAAATGATTAATTTATAAAATTTATAAATTTTTTAATATTAAATTAAGTCATTTAAATTATATTTGAACTGTTCAAGGTTAAATTATAAAATTTTTAATACTAAATTAGACTATTAGATTAAATATGTACTAGCCAGATTGATAATGAACATATTTATTAAAATTTTAAAATTTTTATATTTTTTATATTAATAAATAAAATATTTAAAATATTTAAAAATTAATTTAAATAAATGAAAATGATTAATTTAGACTAAAATAAAGGGCTAAGATTACTCTTGAATCTCATGAGCACTCGGTGCTCATCACTTGTAATGAGCACTGAATGTGAATTATTTTTTTATGGTATGCATGTTCTCTTGTTAGACGCTCATTGGAGAGCTTGTATGCTCCTTTTTTTAAAAAAATTAATTTTTATATTACTATATTATTGATTTTTTTAAATATAAATTATGATATTTAAAAATTAAAAATAAGTATATAAATTTTAATTTTAAAATATAAATATATATTTAAAGTCTAAATTTAATTTAAAAAACAAAAATAATTTACTTTTTAGAGTCAAATTAAAAAAATGCTTAAATGGATTGCTTGAGGTCATTTTCACATGGGTTAATAATATTAAGTTTTGAAGTTCAATTATACTAAAAGACTTTGATTTTTCAAGCCCCGATCCTTACGAAAACAAGTTTAAATGAGTGGGTCGTCAAACTTAGCTCGTATTTCTAACTTTGATTCAAGGTACAATTAAGTATTAAATATGAACACTTCTCACAATAAACATTCAAATATTATATTAAATGTCTTTTAAATTAAGTATTGTTACGCATATCAACAACAAAAGTCTAAAATTATTATCAAGTAAAATTGAATCAGTTAAAATGTATACTAAGAATGATCTATGCAAAATCCTATGGCTAGAGGAAGCAAATTATAAAAATTTATTATATTTTGGGCAATTTCTCCCACAAGGAGTACACAAATCACTGCGCATACTTCTTCCATGGTTTCGAAAATTTCTTCTATTGATAGCATTGTTTCAAGAAAAGTTGTTTCTTTTTCCTGAGATGAAGTTTCATGTCTTCAGGAAAGATTGCGATCAGATTGTGAAATTTCCTACATATTTTCATTGAGGACAATTTGATTATTTCCTTTTCATATCTATTTTTCCTAAAGGACCTAGTAAATAGTGTTCCAATGTCATACGGCATTCTGATTTTTCCAAATAATTCATCTGCTGGGCTATATCACCTCTTAAACACTCCATGATCCTAAATATAACATTCTACTATTTATTATGACCAGAAAGAAGCATGCAATGCAAGTATATAACATGAAAGACTTCCCTTTTTAGTGTTTACCCGTTCGGAGAAAATAACAACAAAGGGGCAATATATGTAAATTTATATCCTTGAAAAAACAAGCAGTTTCAGCTATAGATGTCCCAATCCAATGGATTTGACCCTAAAATTTTTCCTTCATTTGGCCATTTTTGCTTTGTTTGAGTTCTACTCCCTTCCCTTCTAAATTAAGAGGCAAATTTCGGAATCTTTTCTTAATCTTCAATATAAAATAAAATTTAGATCAATTATTCTTTTTAATTTTACTCCTTTTTATTTGCTCTTGCTTCAATATTCCAGGTCTTTGATCTAAATTAATATGGTCAATAATTTGTGGGCACGTAGTTAAAAGACCCATCTCTCAAAAAGAATTCAATCATTATTGCATATACTTGAGGCCAAATCTAAAACATTTAGCTAAGTTGAATCAACCGCTCAATCACTGGATTCAAATGCCTTGTAATGCCTCTTGTTTATTTGTTATGTATAGTTTGAATTCATATACAACAATTTATTATAGTAATTAATTGTAAAAAAGAAAAAATTAAAAAAATTAAATATTCTTTAACAATTTTAAAAATATAATTACTATTATTTTTTTAATAAATGTGAAGTTTGTTAGGTATTTATTTTTCACTGGCCGGGTTGTTGGTGCCAACACACACGTATATGAACTTGTAGATATTCTAATTCAATTGATTATTTGGGTGCATGAGTTAAAGATAGGGATGGGAACATAGGGTTTGGTTATATGAAACGACAACGATATAATTAAATGACGCCACATGTTGCAACTTGGAGAGAGCCACATCCATTCACGATGATGATGATTTTTAAATTTTAATTCGCTGCTCGGCTATACAATTAATACATGACCAATTGAATCTCATAATATAGTCCTTTTTTTTTTGCCAGAAATTCTCGTAGTGTATTCATGGCATCATTTTTGTTGACTCCTAAAGCAAACATATTCAATAGTTACGACAGTGAAATTAAATAAAATACTAAAAATATTAGAGCAATTGAGTAATAGCGTAAAATTGAATGGATGAAGTTTTTGACGGCTATGGAATTAATAAACAAGAAAGCTGTGGTAGGGATCTATATGTACAAACTATCAAAAAGCAACATCGAGGGCTTCTCTTGTTTCTGGATCGTTCAAATTATAGTTTCACGTTATATCTTTCAAGATTCAAAGAGAATATCCACTAAGGATTGAATCTGTGCTCATCCTTGTAAAGGCGACTATTATACGTGGTCAAATAAAATATCAGAGTGGACTATCATCCAATAACTTAAGTCTTTTTTGAATGTCGATATATTGTAATAACTTCTATAATAAATAATAACCACTTTCAAATCGTCAGTGCACACCCAATTAATGAAGGGACAATATCATTCAAGTTTCCGAAAGCAACATGACCCAAACAATTAAAATTTCATTACAAGTCTCAGGTAGGTCCTTATTTGAAATTATGTTTTGCTGTTCAATTATTAAAATACTTTTCATTCATTAAAAAACTCACCTCTGGTCATTGATGGCCGCCAGAGCTCTACTGATGGCCGTCGGAGCATGGCTAGCAGAGCTCCAGCAACAAGATCAACTATAGTCAATTCTTTTAAGATAGTCAGGTATATAATCACTTGTTTAACCATTTGTCATTATTAACCAACAAAACCTTTAATTATATTGTGCAAAATAACATATATTATAGATTAAGTTTTTAAAGATTTCTGTGAAAGTTTAAATTGTTAAAAAATTGTTGTCAATTCTTTATAATGAAGTTGTCAAAATTTTAATAACCAACTTATCAAAATATCCTAAAAAATGTTATTTATTCAAGGACCTGACAAAATAACAGATTGTCAATATTAAAAGAATAAATTATCAATATCAAAATGCCACTTAAAGAACTTTATCAAAATATGAATTAAGAGTTTTAAATATTCAAATAACTTGTTAAAATTAAAATCACTTCATGTCAATGTTCAACAAATAAGTTGTCAATATTGTCCCTAAAATATTGTTCACATGTTCTTAATTTACTGAAAAATATATGTGTCTGCTTCCTGTAAGTGATTTTTTCTGCTGCTCACTCGAAAAGCATATTGAAGAAATTGGACCCCATGTTGCCACTAGGAGAGGCAATTCAAAGACACACATACCTACATTAATGCGCATGAGTGATGATGGAAACTTTTGTCCTTTAAACAAACGGTTGTTGGTTGGAGATTTAATTTGGGAGAATATTATTGAAAGATCTATAAAAAAAATTTTAATATTTGGCAAGGATTCTAAATAAATTAAATATTAGTATTTGTTAAAACAATAGTTTTAGTATTTGTTAAAACAATAGTTTAACTTATTATATTTGTTAAAACAACAGTTTTACAATCTGTTAATGTTTGTTTGTTCAAAATCCTTTTAAAAAATTAAATATCTTTCAGGATCTTTTATTGATATTCTCCTTTTAATTTTTAGCCTATATATAAAGCAACTATGGCTGAGGAGATTTATCCTTTATTCTCAGTGTATGGAATATTGGTCTTCACATTTGGTAGCCATTGATTTCTCAGCCTTCCCGACTGAATTCTATCCCTTTCCCTCTCACACAAATATACCAGTCTCCTCCAGTTTTCTTATTTTTGTTAATTCACGTTGAGTTTATCTTTATTTTTCAGAAACTAATATTTTTAATTATTATTGGAAACGAGCATAATATTTGGATCAGATTTGCCGCGTGTGCGTGGATAAAGTAAGTTGTGATTGTGATATGAACATACATTTCTATCTTGTATATTCTTGTTAAGGTTAATCAGAGTCACAAATTTTAAACTATTGCATGAATAACATTTTAAATTTTAAATTTTTAAAATATGTAAAAACTACTCGTAACTTATAAATTCTAGTGCCTGAAATCTCATTATTAAGTTGGAAAAAACAGCTTTTACTTGAATAGTTGTAGGGCCTAATTACATATTGATGTAATACTTATTTTGACTTCTAAAAATAACAGTTATTTTATCCAACTTAATAACAGGGTTTCAAGCAGTCAGAATTTAGAAATTAAAAAAGATTTTTACATATTTTAAGAGTTTATAATTCAAAATATTATTCATGTAATAATTTAAGATTTTAAATGCTCATTCACATTTCTTGTTAGTTCATATTTCTTGAAGAAATTTTTTTGCCAGTGATTTCAATGTACTGCTAATGATATCTAATAGTCAAATAAAACAACGTAGTTAAAAAATAGTCACAAGTCCAAATTTTATTTTATTGTTTAATTAAAAGGGTAGAAACTAACAAGCAAGATGAAATCTGTAACTTTTCATTTACAAAAAAATTTATATACCACTAGGTTACAAGATCATTAGCTCCAAACTTTATCTTTACCTCTCCATGGAATTGAAAAGTCTTTAAAACCTTACTTTATATCCAATTCAATAAATACAAATTCAACCGCATTATTTATAATTTATATAGATTTTATTCTTTAAATATATATATATATATATGTATGTATGTATGTATATATCCGTCAGGACAATAATAGTGATATAGATGCATTAACCAATTAAAGGGCACCATTATTAGAGTCAATCCATTTAATAATGATCACTTCCAAGGAAAAGAAGCCGAGTCTGAATATCAGTGCACATGACCAATTAATATGTGATCGGTATTGATGGCGAACCATTTCTCCGGTAATGGACGATTCTACCATCAAATTAAACGGACTATATATATATATATATATTACATTTGAGAAGAAATAAAAAAAAAACTAAAAGGTAATGAAAGTAGAGTTTTATTGATTAGTTTTTAAAATGAGTGGTTTTTCGCCGGGGCGTTCATAGCTGCTTGATGAATGACCTGAAAGGCATTGTGCATGCACAGCTTGAACTTGTGCTCCTCTACAAAACCCTTCAGTGTTCTCAATGTAATCCTCAGCGTTCCCATATAACTCATGATTGATATGTTCACGTTCTGCAATCACACATTCATTAGTTATTTAATTCACCACACAGATATTCATCCATAATCAGCTTTTACGCATACCCACCTCAGGACCACCAGTCATGGTGAAGTAAAAGCCTTTGACGCGATGATTTGCGAGAGCCATCTGTTCCAAAGGGCCGTTCAAGCTCGAGATTACCACACTTGAATTCCATAGTGTGCTGTACATTCGTTTTGCTACTGCCTGCAACACAAACAATACTTCAACTGGATCATCACTTGTACTCAAACTTCCACAAACCCAACCAAAAAAAAAAAAAAAAAACCGGTTCAGTCTCCGTCTCTTTCTTCTTTGTTCGTCCAACAGTAAGAATAAGAGCTAAAGATTAATCTCTCAACTCAAATAAATTTGTTTTGTACGTGCATAAGAATTCAAAATCATCACTTGGGAGAAGATAATTCTTTAAATGTTGCTCAGATTTTTCAAGCAATTAGTTTCACAATTATCAACTGTGGGGATATTTTGGTTTAACCGAAAAGGAATTCAAAATCAAATATTTAATCAATTTCTATTTCAAAGGTAGGAGATTAGGAGCTCGTCCCACTTATATTAATTTATATTGGTTCACTCTCTCTCTTCTAATAAAAGATGCATTTAATTCCAAGAAAAATGTGATGATCCCCGAGGATTTTGGTTTCCATCAAAAATAAAATTTAACCGAAATAGTCTTAAGAACAATAATATAGGACTTATTTGGTTACTTGTTCTGAGAACAGTTTTATGTTCTTCAAAATAAAAAAATAAAAAAATGTTTAATAAAGTATTTTGAAAAATTAAAAGTATTATTATGAAAATAGATAAATAAAAATATTTTTTAGGTGTTTTGATATTATTACTTTAGAGAGTAAAGGATAATAAAAAAATACTTATTTTTATTATTTTTTTATTATCAGAACATATTCTATAAAATACTAGTTCTTAGGACAATAAAATAAGAATAATTTCAAACAAGCTCATAGTTTCTTTCATTTAAAAAGTTAATCTATTTTTAAATTAAAAATTATTTTAATTGTCAGTCAATTAGATATTAATATTTTGAATATTGAATATTATATATTGCTTAAAGAAGGTGCAATTTTAATTTTTTTCCCAGTAAAAATTTTAAAAATTAAAAAAAAATTAGAATCTCTTAGAAGATGATGATTTGCTAAAACAAAGATGGGTAGTTCTTTCCTCCGCCCACTAGCAGGCAACAGAAACATAAACCTACCTCATGCCCTCTGAATTTCATCTCCAGACCCAGAAGCCAGCCAATGAGAAAAACACTGAAAGATTTCCTCTTCTTCTGAATTAATTTGTGGGCTTTCCAAACAAATTCAAGGGGGTTGGAAATACTGGCTTGATTCAGCTTAGGAATTGATACTTGCAAGAAGGAAATTTGATTCCCCCACCGACTCTTTGAATTAGGCTGCAGCATATCCTTCACTGATTGATAACCTTCAATCTGTCTTGTATTGAACATCACCACCGCCGTGGAATCTGCTTTCCCCTTGCTCTTCATCTCTTGCATGTATTGCCTAATCCCATAGAAGATCATGCCAGTAAGCACATCATTTGTTGTCTGCATAGGATTTAATTATTAGCTTAATCTGATATCTCAAACAAGTTAATAATAAGAGAAAACATAACCTTTGATTCCTAAGCTTTGCTCATAGTTTGCTTTTGATCCCGCACTTTTTTTTGATATTTTAAATCCTTATAATTTTGTTTTTCATTATTTTAGATTTCTTTGTGAACAAAGTGTAAAGATTTCTTAGAGACTTAAAACAATGAAAAAACAAAAATCTAAGAACTTAAAACACTGTAAAAAAAGTGTAACGATCAAAAGTGCAGAAATCTAAAACTATGTTTTCCCTAATAATAATAAACAAGCAAGGTGTTATAAATACTACCACCCCAAGCCTTGACTTGATTTCTTTGAAAGCTTCAAGGGGGAATGATATGTCTGATAAGGTAAAAGGCTGAGACTCAGTTCCTTCCAACCCAGATCTTATGGGTGTTACGTCATCTTGAATCATACCAGATTTTATCAAGCTCCACCCAAAATCTGATATGGAGTTGAAAGAGGAGGAAATAACTGAAAGCAACCTCCTAAACACGTTCTGTCTGGTGGAAGATTGTACAGGTTCTGATGGTTTTCTCGAAGGAAATGATAATGGAATAGAAGGATCATCGGCTCTATGAAGACAAGAAAGAAGAGCACCCATGAGGGAATAACCATCTCCAAGTGAATGATGAAGTTTCATGATGAGGGTGCCACTAGCAGTGCTTGTTGGATACTTAATCACATGGAATTCCCACAGTGGTCTGTCGCTTGGCGTCTTCTCTGTGAGAATCCTTGAAACATAGTCACTAAAATACTGGTCATACAATCCTGATGATGATGAAGCGTTTTCAGGAAATATTGGCACCTTCACATGTTCTTCAGGCCTCACCTCAACTCGCTTCCATATCATGTTCCCATCATCGTCCTTAACCTGCATGTGACCATCAAATAATAATTTTTTAATTACGAGTTGAAATATGTGAAGAACAGAAGAGCTGATGTGTGTGTGTGTGTGTGGAACAGGGAAGAGAAAGAGGGAGAACCATGATACAGGAGAAGCGAGGGTTAATAGGGAGGAAGACATGTTGAAGCAGAGAGATAGTTTGAGAGTCATCAATGGGAACTTCTGATTCTAAAAACCCAAAACAATATGAACATATCACCGAGCTGTTGAAGTATCTTCCAGCAGGACTCACGGGCTCTGTGTACTCTTCATTCATGTAATCCATAATCGTAAAGTATCCGTTATTGAGAGAGAGAGAGAGGGAGAGAGAGATGAGCTATAGGAGAACTGGTGGCTGTGGACAGATTAAAAAGGAAAGGGGATATATATAATTGCAATGAATTGGAACCCAAAAATATACACAGCACCTCCCCAACTGTTTCTTCATAAATGTTGGTTGTGTTTCAACGTATTGTACTTGATATGGAAAGTGATGATTTGGATGTATCCCTCTGCAAAAGAGAAACGAGAGACGAGAATTGAACCATGTCACCCCCGTGCCTTTGATTCGAGCACCAACGCGTCATGTTGAATAAATGTGGAAACGTAAATGGTGTGTTCCCAGTAGCCAAATTTCCAACTAATCTTCTTCTTCTACTACTTTTTAACCAACCAATTTCCATCTAATCTGATATAGACAAAGTCAATTAATCATCAATTATGAAATGGATTTACATAACTCGAAATGCTTCCACTTGTCGCGATTAGCTTCATACCTATTTAATGTTAACATGTTGCTTTCAAATTTTAGCCCCTCACCGCCCTTGTTCCAAAAATCTATCATTTATATTGTTGTATAAGCCTCTAAGATTAAGAACATTATTCAACATTTTAGATTGAAATAATAAAAATCTTAGTCCCTTAAATTTATCTAGTTCTCAATTTGATTCCTAAAATTTAATCTTTATAAACCAAATTTATAAAATTTCATAACTACACATAATTGATTCTCATAGTCCCTTTCTAAAAGTAATAATAAAACTTTTGTTCTTTCAAGTTTTACTATCATTTTTAAGTTATATTAACAAAAGTGGCAAACTAAAGTAAAACGAGAGATGGATTTGCTTTTGAAAATCACCAATCCAAAGCCAACGGAGATGGAGTCAATGTGGTTCTTGGAATGTTTAATCGGTGGTAGATTTGTGCGCTCACGGGTTTTGGTCTTTCAAACATGTTGCCAACATTTATTTATTAGACACACTTGATTTAATTCTGGCAAAATTAAAATGGCCGCAAAATGTTACTGGCTCATAATTCGGGACAAACAAACATGGGGCTTATACATGCAGTCTCAGCAACTAAAAAGATAAAAGTTTATAGTAGCACTCAGAATTTTTTATATTTTTTGTTATATAAACCATTTTCAACGTATTGGTGATATTCAAAATGGTATCATCATTAATTCAACAGACGCCCAACTAAATGGATGCCGATTGCCGAAGGAGTAGCTCAAGAGGACGTATCATTAAAAGATTTTTTTTTTCTTTGATGAAAATCATTAAAAGAATATTTTAATTTTTGTCTCTTCAACTGTTCTTTCCATTTAAGGAATTCAGGAAAAAAATTGCCTTTCGTGTTTAATCAAATCTATCCATAAAATGTAAATTTTACGCGTGAGGTTAAAAACATTTTAATTTCATTTATAATCTAAGTTTTTTTGACCAAACTTTATCATATTTGATTAAGTTTAAAGCTAATACGAAGCAAGGATTCCAATTTAAGGGGGGAAAATACTATATTTAATGAGTGATTATAAAAAATATTTCAAAATTAATAAGCCAATTTAAGACGATTAGTAAAATTCCAGAAGATGGCAAATAAATAAAACTAGGACCACAAAAAGCTTCTATTCTGTAGCACTTTTTTTCTGGTAAATGAAGAATCCACTCACAGGAAACTGTTCCCGGAGATTTCATGACCAATATTTGCTGTTCCTCTGCCTGATCAGAGCGGTTTGCTAAAGAATGTCAGAACGTAATTGAATGATTAACATGTATTTATTTCAGTGATTATTTAGTGGTAAATATCAGTATCAATTCATTAATGGTAAAACCCATCGAGGATGGTCCAGTTGGGGAAACCATATGTATGCATATTTGGATAGAAAAAACTGAAGCTGATAACAGACTGTCGTTTGAACTTTGAAGAGATCATAGAGAAGATGAGAGTGGATGTAATTAATCTGTGTCGATCAATCCTCCATGATGCTTCACAGATGTAAAGCCTGGGTGCAAAGAGTGATTAACACGTATGGGTGATTTAAGATCCAAGCTCCTTATCAGAAGGAACAGCTCCAAGCAACAAGCAAAAACTAACAAGAATTGAAAAGAAAAAGAAAAGGAAAAAAGAAAGCCGATAGACGAATCAGAAAGAACGTAGCGAGGATAGTTTTGATCATTGATGATCACGCATCCTTTAATTTGCTTTCATCCTCTTCGTCATCTTCCAAATTATTTCTATACTTTGTTCAAGACAGTGAAAAACAAATTGAACAGCCAAGAGTAAGAGAGAAAATCGACGAGGACTCTGAGTGAAACAGTTTCGCACCTGAACAGCTTAAGGAATTAGCAGACGAAAGAAATTGGTGACAGAGCAAAGAAGCGAATCAGGATCGCGGCTTTTAAATTGCTTCAACGAATCGAAAACCCTAGCTCCGAAGTCTATTTTGGGCTTCCCTTCAAGAACTTTTCCCTTTTGGACTTTGGCCCCTTGGTCTTGGGCCACCTGTGTACTTACAAAGGCTTGATTTATTTCTTATATATATGTGTCATAATCCAGAATTTGGGTTATTCAAATCCTGCCGCTAATAATCTTATAGATAGGCCATTTACAAGTGAGAAACTCTATAAACGTTCTTTTAAGCCTACAAGTATGTCATAATTTTGGTGAGGGTTTATGTTTGCACAACGTGATGACTAAATATTTCTTCATCTTCTCAATCATATGCCTTAACCATCACTAGTGGGGCACTTAATGATATGCATCGGGTTAGGTCATTCTAATTTTTGTGATGAGGTTTCAACATGCTAGTGTAAAAGATAGGATGAATTTTCAAGTTTGTAGGGAGATTCATTTTTACATGAGACTTTCTTTACCTTTTTAATTACCTAATAGGGACCTTCATATTATATAATGACTTGTATATTTTTTTTGAAGGCTTTAAACTGTTGTGAGAGGAGTTTTAGCATGACCAACACTTCCCTCAATTAAACTTTTTTGTAGCCAAAAAAAAAGACATGAAAATAAATTATCGATAAATCTCTAAAAATGTGCCTTCAAAGCTGCAACAGCATTGGTTTTGGTCAGACATTTGAGGCAACGGACAGAAAAGGAAAAAAAACACAAAAATAAAAAATTCAAATCCAAATAAAATTTGCAAGGATTGACTCAAATTTCAACTTCAACAAATAAAATCAACATGTGCCTAAAAAGACATAAAGTAACAACTTATTTTGGACCGTTATAAATGAACGACTCAAGCAAGCCAGACGAAGCAATTTAACAACAGCATGATCCCAACCCTACAACCCGCGCAAACATGACCACCAAAACTCGCAGAGCCCGAAGGAGGTGGCGGTGACGGTGCTGGAGAATTGTCATCTGCAGATGGGCCCTGACTTGGCTGAGGTGACAAACTTCCTGGAGACACAACCGGGGGGTTCCCACCTACCGGCGGTAGAGCTGGAGTAATCATCGGAGGCGAACAACGACTGTTTCTGACAGCCAAAACAACGACGATCAGCTTCTGACCCTTTTGGCAGTTGTTGGAGTTGCCACTAATAAAGAAGTAGGGACCTGACTTATCGAAGATGAAATACGAATCCCCATCGTTCATTTTCTTCATGGGATTCTTTGTGTTGCAAGAATCGTAGTCCGCCTTCTCCACCACTAAGACTGAATCAGACCCTTTCTTGTACTTGAAATCTACACGAACACGCAATAACAAAAAAGACCAAACTATATATGTATTACAATCAATTAAGAGTACGTTCCTTCATGTCGTGTCTGTATTTGTAAAAATGTATACTTACAGAGCGTATCATTGACTTGAAACCTATTTCTTTCAGCCCAGTGATTGTAGCCTTCAGAAGGCTTCAGAACCCAGCCATCTTTGCCACCAACGTAGAATTTGAAAGCTTGAGATGATGACAAGCAAAGTAGAAACGTGGGAATCATCAGAAGAAACAGATCAAGCAATCTATATGGTTCAGACCCCATATTATTACACTGAAACTGGTACATGTATATGACCTAGAAGTTAAGTACTGATAGGAGAGAGTGAGGAAGCTAATATTTCTGAGAAAGATGGTGAGATTGCACTGCAGGGAGGGATATATGCATATATAAAGTGGTGATGGAGAGAAAATGAACGTTGGTAAATTATGAGAATCGTTTCCGAGGGATATTAATTAATTATAAATTAAATCATTGTAAGCGTTTCCGAGAGAGGAGTTATTATTCTTTCTCTACAGAGATCATCTTTTCTCTTTCTTTTTCAACTTTCTCTATGTGATCTCTAGAGTAGTTCCCCCCCCCCCCCCTTTTAAACCACGTTTCTATTCCATGTTGGTCATCTCAGGTGATAGAGAATCTCAGGATCGCCATCTAGGAAAAAAGATTAGACGATACAGATCCAAATTTTTTTATCTTAATTAATTATCATTTTTAAAGTACCAGTTAAAAAATATCTTCGTTATATTGCATATTTTTTAAAGAAATAAAAATATTACAAGAATAGAGATGAAATGTCTACTGCAAAAAAAAAATAAAAATGAAATGAAATGAAAATTAAAATTGTCCATAAATTACAAGAAAAAACGTGGCTGCAAACGAAGGAAACCTTGGAAGACAGGTAGGGGGATTATAAGCAGTGCTGAGAATACGGGCAAGGGATACTCCGAATCCATTTTAATTTGTATAAAATTAATCATAATCAATGATGTTCTTTACTTCTTATTGAAAAAAAAAAAAACAGTAATTCACATAGCTCTGCTAACGGCAAATTAACGGCTAATTATATTGTTGGCAAAAAAAAATTAACGGCTAATTATATTGCTACATCAATATAATATGAATGGTAATTACTATTAGTCCCTATTTGTGTTTTTATTGAAATTTATTGCCAAACTTGATAATTAATACTTACCCCATCAATTCAAACAATATATAAGGCGTTTTTCAGGTAAGATATTTAAAAATATAAGATATTTTAAATCTTTTAAAATATAGTTAATGAAATTTTTTAAAAATATCCTTAATTATCTCATTCCTGTTTTCCCCTAGCCAACACTAGGGTCTTAAACTATCAGCTAAGATTTTGAGGGATTATTCTTATTTAAAAATGAGGTGTTAGTGAATAGTTTTGTTATTTCATTGTCATGAGTATTTTTGTCTACCGCTATTACGTATCTCATCAAACTTGAAATTTGAACTCAAAATCTCATGATAAATTGATTTGACTTTTTCAACTGATTAAATCAAGCCTCGCGTATATTTTTTCTCACACAGTATTAATGAGTTTTTAAGGTTTAATAATATACCGCACAGTTATTTTGGCCAAATATTATGTCACAGTACAAAAGACTTACTATATAGATAAATATAATTTTCTTGGCAGGCCAATAAATAGAGAATTTTTTAGAGAGAGAGAGAAATTTTTACAAACTAAGTACACTACGTTATCTATGTTCTTTTTAATAAAATTTTACTAGTTCAAGACTCCAATCAAATGTATAAAATATTACTTGTCATTACTTTTAATGACTTTTATTTTTTTTGGGAATAAAATGCATCTTTAATTTCTTGTTTTCTCTCTTCCTAATATCATCAATGACAGAATTAATTTATATTTATGGCTATCTAACATGGCATGTTTTTATTGGACAGAATATGGATGACATAATGCATTGGATCTATGTAAGAATTAAATATATTTATTTTAGGATAACTTAGCCCACTCACCAAAAAAAAAAATCTTCTGCCTACAAAATATGTCCCAAATTTATGAAAATTTAAAAATGTGGTCAATTTACATTGATATGCAAGAGTTTATTATTAATATATGAAGAGTTTATCATTTGATAAATATAGTAAATTGATCATAATATAAAATACAATAAATGTTAGGTTGTTTCGCTTTACTTGATCATGTAACATGGGCTGTATCTATAAAAGTCTTTTTACTTTACTTGACTAAACTAGTGTAACATGACATAATTTTACTAAATAAAGTATAAATGATATGGTCTGGATTTATATGAAAATTTCTCCAAGACAATCATGGAATGTGATCATGCACTTGCAAAAGCGACTTGCGAGGCTATGGGTGTAGAAATTTTTGTGCGTGTTTAGAATTCTAGTTTGTAGCCATGCAGGGTATGTTTAATTATTTGCTTACATTTTTACATGTATACAAATATCACATGGCATGATACAAACATATACAGGAAAAGTATCATCCAATTAGAAAGTTCAAGAAAAAATTCAAATAGCATTTTGAGTTTTAAATTATACTCCTATTTTCAGGATAGAGATTAAGGAATAATTCTACGTGGTATATTGAGTAAATGTGCATTTCTATTTTTAAAGTATTTTTTAAGAAGCACTCGATATCCTAATATTTTTATTTGAGTAATCTTATCCTTAACATTACCAAAGTGAAATATTTTTGCTATTTTTAGTTACGTTTACCCTAGTATGTTTGTAATTACATTCTCTGAGCCTTGAAATGGACAAGCTTTTATGAAAATGTTTGGGTCGGTGCCTCGCCCAAATAGAAAAAGCTAGCTATGTTTTATTCTATTGATGTTTACATTTCATTTTAAATCAAAAAAAAAAAAAGCTTTTCATGAACATGCTTTTATTTTGCTTCTTGCCTAAACTCTATTTTGCTTTTGGTTTATTAATTTGAACTTTTTTTTTTTAGCATTCTAAACTTTGTCCTATTTTAATATAACTATTGGACATTCAGTATGATGATGCTGGATTTAAATATCACAAAAGGTCATTTAAAATTGGCTCTATCAGCATGATTTTTATTTATAAAATTCAAATCTTAATTTTTTGAGGACTTGAATTTTTTCAATCCTATACAACCGTCGGTTGAGCTTAACATCTTTATGCATCCTAATCACCTTTAAGTTGATTTAGAATGACAATAAAGGGGGATGATGACTAATTTCCCGCTATTTTTTTTTCAAAAGGCCAAATATTGATAACTTGAAGTTGTTAAAAAGATTAAACTGAGTCTAGTTTTATTTACAAGTTCTCACTGCCACTATATTAAAAAGATAGTGGCTCTTGTTAGTTGGTTTTTCTTGTCAAGTTTCCAGAAATTTGTTCAATTATAATTTTCTCTACAGTTCAAGTTTTTAAGAACTCTTAAATCATGTTTAGTTGGACAAGAAGGGAGAGGCTTGTTTGGTTGGACAAATGAGAGGGAGGCACCTCCCCTTTCTTTGTCTAGTTAAGTCACTATTGAATAGATTATCTTAATCAATTATGCTATTCAATCATGCATCATATCTATCATAATTTTAAAGGATTGGTTTGTTTAAAGTTAAAACTATATTTTAAATAATACGAACTTTATAATTTAATAATACGATAGAGTTATTTGATGATAAGGGAGTAAATACATCTCTCACTTTAGTTTTTTTTTTGGAAGAAAATTATAAATTTAATGTATATGTTCTAGTGTTTTACATCCGTGATCTTCAAATCTTAAACTACTTGTTTTTAAGTTTTAATATTTCGTGTTTTTGCCATTGAATTTTAAGATTTCACCCTCCACCTACATTTCATGAGGATAGCATGATAACGTGTTTATACAATTTTTTCAACTGCAAGTGACATACCTATTCTCTATTTCTTACCCTAGGAAGCTTCGAGGATCGTACATTTGTACTGACTCTCTCGGTCATCGCTGAAAACGCTAAATTATACAAAATTGGACCCTAATGCATATAAAAATGCAAGCAGAGCATGGCAGAATAAATAATCTTGCATTTTTTATGAAGAATTGAATCAAATCCAAACATCCACATTCGAGCCCCTGACCTCAGTCATCCCTGATATTTCTCCTCAAACGCGTTAACATAAGCTTGGTGTGTAAATCATCAATTTCGTATTCAAAAGTGATTTTCTTTGATGCCAATAACGGGAACAAAATGAATCGGTACCTAGAATGACTCAAGCGGCATTCTATAATGCCAACAGTTTTTGTTTTTGGTTTTTTTTTTGGGGGGGGGGGGGTTGACACAAGCATGCGCACTCTTTGATCATTTGATGTACGCTGTGTTGCAACTAACGCCCGAGTTTCACTTCAAACGCCTGATCCCAAGCTCACCTCAAGGTTCTAACTTCTCACGCGATTCACGTATAGGACCAGCGTCTAGTAAAGTGTTTCTTGATTGGCACGTGTTCACGCTTTCCTTGAAGCGCGTGGTGAGCTAGTCCTCGCCTCCCTAACGAGAGCTGCTCTGACCTGCATTTACCGAAACCCACAGCACGGTCGACTCGTCAACTCTCTACTGCTTAAGAACCCTGAAAAGAAATCTTCACCAGAATCCAAAATTATTTTATTTATTATTTTATCACTCCAACGAAGGCTGCATTTGGTGCTAAACAAGCTGGTGAAGGAATATATTTTGCTTGAAAAATTGCATTTGTTGTCAATTATGTCGTTAGGCTTTCACTTTCGGTATCTGATGGACCTGTGACTCGTCGTTGTGCGTTGGTGGTTCTAGTCTTTGACTCCTTTTGAAGCAACCGCTCTCCTTCTCTAATGATATGGTGATTTTTTTGGCTAGTATTTCTGGTGCATTGTGATAAGCCGCAATAAAGGATCGGGCTGTGGGATTGCAGTTGAATTTCGAGAGACATGGAGTGCTTGAGATTCAACATGGTTGCTGGTAAAATATTGGATTTCTGGTTGAGTAAGAGAAGGGGATTAGGGTTTCTATTGCAGGTGGTGTTTTGGTGGTGGACTTTTCAATTGTTTCTTCGTCCCGTGGTGGGTCTAAGACCACTAAGGGAGAGAACTCGGTCGTGGGGCGATGAGGTTAGTGTTGAAACTTGAAATTAATTGCAGTGTTGTTATCTGATAACGGTAATTAAAGACGCATATGTGAATTTTTAATGAGCTTGGACCCATTTAAAGTAATCTATAATGGGCTTGCTTTTAGTATTTTATCTGTCAAGGGCAGGAGTTCCTTTAGTCGTTGCTTCTTTTCCTGGTGTGAGAGTAGAAGCAAAAAAATTGGAGTTCAATGCGCGTCCTTTTGATTTTCGAATAAATGGAATATTGTGGCTTAAAGAAGGGTCTCTGCGTTTTTGGATTAGATTCTGCAGGATTTGCATTAGGTCTTAATTTGTCGACTACGTGCACGAGCCATATCACATGAACCATATTTTCCTTGAGGAGAGAACCAGAGACGATTAACAAGTCTTGGCGGAACTAGAAATGCATTGAAATAGTATCAGACATATTCGAAAAGAGATTTATATCAAGCTGCTGCCACTGCTATGTAATTATATATGAACTGATTTACTGAAAGCTATTCATCATTCATCATTTGTATATATCTTCTATTGTGCTTGGACTTTGGAGGGCGGGAGTATTTCATAATTTTATTGATCACGAGGCCAGTTATTACTATGCAATATACTTGTATATTATCTGAATGTACTTTATGATATATCCTCAAATTGAGATATATAATATTGGAACAATAATCTGAAACGGAATGTTTTTGTGTCCATGCATTTCTGGATTTTTTTCATTTGTAGTTGTCCACATTTCCGCACCTGCACGGGAAATTTGGAATTAGCTGGTGCATATTGACTTCACAATGGAAAGCAAATCAGTTATAAATTTATTGTGAAAGGTCCTCCCCCCCTTTTTTTCTTGTTTTAAATGTGGTGTGGTACGATAACTTTTTTCATCAAAGGAATTTTTGCTCATGTTGAGCTTCTCCAACATGCTTTTGCTTGATTATAATATTTTAATCATTAATTAGTTACACATTATTACTGTTATTATACTTGCTTGAATACGGCTAATGTTTCAAAATTGAACCTTATCTCCATGTTTAACTTATAATTTGTATGATCATGGCTAAATGCTGAAATCTGATAACTCATTCATTTACATCTTATTGATTTTGCTTCTTTTAGTGGCTAATCACAAGAAAAGTAGAAAGTGAGCTAGGTCCATTCTCACAATGGAACATAACAGGAACATACAAAGGTTTGTCTTCTTTGCTGCAATTATATGTTTGGATGGGCACTATATTTGCCTTTTAGTTTGAGTCTGGCGTGTGACACAAATTATAGAATTTCATCCAATTTATTGAAATGTTGTTCACTTAAAGGGGCATATATTATTTTCACGCGCACAAACTTGTTACACTAGGGTGTTGTGACTTGAGCTTGCAAGTTTGCCACAATTTGATGATTTTTCATATCTGCATTTGAGTTACAGGAACATGGAAATTTTTAGATACCACCAATGGCTCTTCCAGATTTCCTGACATCAGAAAAACAAATGGCAATACTGTAATTGAATTAGTTAGTACACCCACAAAAATAAATGGTGTGCATTATGTGCAGGTGAGATGTTAAACTGTATAGTTGGTTTCATGTCAGCTGTGTTCTTTTGTGATGTATTTTCTTGTTTGTTCTATTCTCTACTTCAAAATCAGTTCAGCTTCTGATGAAGGTACTTCCAGCTTAATGGAGCGACTAAACTATTGTTATGTCTTAAAGAATATTTGTTGAAAATATCAATGGATAAAGTGATTATATTAAATAGTAAAGTTTTGATGCCAATCATGCTCTTGATATACTATATCATGCAAAGCATCTTAATCTCATTCAGATTGGTTTTAAAGTTGTGATATCACTTGCATCATTTGCGGTTTCTAGACCACATTTTTGAGGATTTCAAGCCATAGCTTCTGTTCATTGAGATGGCTCATTCATCACATGCATTTTATATTAGGCTGGTTTTTGTAAATTCACTCTTCCTATTTATGGGGAGGGAGAGGCAATGTTATAATGTATAATAGATGCATTTGCTTGATAACTGATACTTAAAGAGGCAGCCCTTGATCAAAATAGTCTTTCCATCAATTTGCTATATTGATGGTTGCAATCTGGATGATGATGAGTTTTTGTACACCATACCCATTATTATGCATTATTTAATGATGCCGTGTGGACATAGCACTAATACAGCTTTGATTTCCTCTACCTTCTGTCTTTCCTTCGTCCTCTCTCCATCCATATGTGTCTATATGTATTAATTTGTGTGCATTTTTATTTTATGATGATAGAATTCGTGTGCATATTTATTTGTGTGTCTTATAAACAGAACTTTTCACTTTCTACTAAGTATACAATGATATGCTGTGCACATTGATGTCTTCTCAGTTCTCATGCATCAACAATTCAAACTCTTCTGGAGCATCTTTCCCATGAAAAAATGGCTATTTTTGTGTATCACAGCATCAAACCAGGTCTTTCTTTCCTACAAATGTTTGAGAATTGATTCTGGAGGGTTTGCTGGATCAGAGTATGTTTCATTGAGTTTTTGTACATATAAGGACATGAGAATCCTTACTAATATTTTTGGATAGAGAGAATAATAATCTGTAAAGGTCTCAATGCTGTCAAGGATCATATTCTGTTGCATCTGTCACTGTTGGAGTCAAGAATTTCATTGTTATTTTTCCCCTTCATTTCATGATTCTATGTGTGGATGATCAATGTTCTGGTAAAATGATTTAAATTTTCTTTTTCCTTAACTCTTGACTTATAGCTGTGGCAAATCCTTATAACTGTTTTAGTGTTATACTGATAATTCTTCTATCAAAGATACTTGCTTCATTTTATTGCTTGTTATCAGGGAGTAATTATATTCCATGATGTATTTGACAATGAGTACAATGTTGGTGGTGCCCAAATCAGAGTAGAAGGTGTATATATATGGCCTTTTAGACAGCTTCGAATGGTAGCCAACAGGTGACTTTCACTGATATAAGTACTCTGCTGCACAACTCAAGTTTGTATAATGACTTACTGTCAGATTGTGAAAAAATCTCTATATATTATTCCAGTTAGATGACTATTTAGTGGTTGATGTATGATAAAATAATAGCTTTCACTGTAATAATGAAGCAATAGTCAGTAGCTAACAGAGGGTTCGTTTTGAGTACACATCAGGAAGCATTATGGTTAAGAAAAAGCCTTAATTAAAGCCAAGGAAGATTCAAAACTCATTTTCTAACAATATTCTTCTTAGGTTACTATTCACTGGGTAACCTTTGATTTTTCGGTGAAATTTGAAAAATCATATTGAGTTGGTTCAAGTGTCATTTTAAAGTTTAGGAAGTCCTCTATATGGGAAAATATCAAACTGTAATTTGGTCAGACCAATTGAGAACGCCCTTCACAAGAAATTTACTGTTCATGTGGTCAATTGTGTTTTTCCAGATTTTGTTTCCCAACTTTGTTAAGGCATAACTCAAGCTCTACACATCCAATTAAGATGCTCTTGGTCCTCTAATTAGTATCAAAAAAGCACGCCCAGTGTCCGGGATGTTACATTTTGAAATATAAGGAAAAGTAATATGAACTCTTAAACTTTTATGCATGTGGTGAAGATGATTGGGCTTCTAATGAATTTCGAAATTTCAAGCCCTGTGCTCAGAAGTCAGAACTTTGGAAAGTTAGAACATGTGAACATTGGTTTATAATAAATCTGATTTGCGATGGACTGACAGTAAAGGAAAGAATGATAAGCAATCAGTTAAGAAGCCCATTTTGGTAGAATGACAGAGTAAGTTGTGCAGGAAAGCTTGGCTGCAGTTCTTAGAGGCATTTTTTATATTAGAATGCCAGTTACCAGCGGTTTTAAAGGAATTTTAATATGCTCTTGTCAAATAGATTCAGATCAACAAAATCTATAGGACCTTTAAGGGTTTTGAAAACTTACTAACTCTGTCTTTTAGCAACTGAGCTGATCAGACATGATTAAAGCGCCATATTCTGTTCCTTATTAAATAAAATTTTGAAATACTTTCTGATTTGATCTCAATCAGGTCTTGCTTTGCTTTTCTAGGACGCATAATTTCCCATGCTTTTTCAGCGTAGTTGAGCAATGTTAAAATGGATGTCCAATCCCCCCCACCAAAAAAAAAAAAAAAAATTCTTTGAGCCCAAGCTTGGCTTTATATGTTGGACCAATAATTTGTTGGCACAACTTTTCTTTGTTAATTTTATTTCGTTTTGTAGTTAAATTCTATATGCTATTGAAACAGTTATATGTAAACCTAAATATCTGAATTCTGATCTTGCTGATGAGTTTCTCTTTGTTTCCTCTAATGCAGTGGAAAAGAGGGAGAGTTTAATCAAGGTGAAGATACTATTTTATCTAATCCATATCATCTGGTAATATATCTTTTTTATATATTGGTAATTGTAATTGCGCTTATACTTTGTGCTCATTTAATCCTGATTGTATGGCATTAAGCAATCCTAGAAGCGCATCTGATTTCAATGATGAATTTGCCTTTTAAAACAACTATAATTCTGTCCCATGTGTTGCGTGGAAAGTGATATTTGCTCAATTTGATCATCAAATGTTGATTTGATTATACCCAGTAGCTATGATGAATGATATAAATTTGACTGTTGTGCCAATAAAAATTGGTGTTTGAACTTATAGTAACAATGACCAAACATAATGGTCAAGAAAAGACTTGTAAGTTTTATACCTCAAATGGCCATAAACTGAAATCAACATTTGATTGTTGCATTCAAGTCAAATTCAACCTAAAGCAAATTGGAAAATGGTTTCTATGATGGTTATGTTATGAATGGCAGTTCAGACAAAGTAAAACAATTATCTATACATATCTTTCCCATGAAGTCGCATTTATACTTTCCTAAGTTCAGGAATTTCCTTAACTTTTATTATATGTTTGGATGAAATTTTGTGTCTTTCAAATTTCTTGGACTTGTCAGCAAAAACAGATTTGTTGCTAAGATTATTTAAGTGCTGTGTGATTATGATCAAATGTTTGCTTTGACATGTTACGCTCTTCCCATCATAAGCTTGCACCTTATGCTGGTCTTTTCTTTGTTGGCTTAATCTCGCTTTCTGTGAAAGTATTTGATCTCTCTTTTTCTTGGAGGGCATCCAATGATTCCCATTTTTATCTTTCTTCTCTTGATTAAGATTCGTTTATCAAAGCAAAGATTTATTTGATCCCTTTAGTGTTAGCTTGTGAACAAAAAGTGGCCTTTTCAAAATTTTCAATGTTAGTATGCTTTCTTATCTTTGAGAAGACTTCCTTTTGGCATCTTTATACAGGATTTGGACTTTTAAGTTATACATCTAAATTTTGTAGATTCATTTTGAGAGTAGCAGGTGTTAGGTCTTCATTATGGTTGTGTGAATGCAAAGAAAAGTAATTTTTGTTACCTTTGTATTTCCAACAAGTATCTGGAGTACTTACTGCATTTATTGCTCTCTCTGATAGCTTGGAGTCTTCTCATCCCAAGTATTCCAAGAATCTTCACGAGATAAGATGTGGAGAAGAAAACATTGTAATAGTCCTCTTACTAATTTACTTTGATGTATAGCCTTTCTTCTTTACCCTTCTTACAATGTTATAGTTAATTTCTATTATTTTGCTTATCACAGCTCCAATATATGATGTGGAGAAACGTTGCAATTTTGAAATTGCTGCTCAAATTTCACGACTGTCATCATCAAGAAATGGTATTTGAGTTCTCTAAGCGTGTGAATACTTTCTGTTCTTTCTTCCTTTTCTTTTCCTCAATATCATTTGGACAACTGATTTCCTTTTTATAGTTCACTAATATTGTAGCAGATAGTGTTATTTAACAGAAATTCCTGCCCCTCATAATATTCAATTTTAAATCTCAAGAGTTCAACTTCACTGCCCATGTATGTGCATCTGGTGTTCTGATTCTCTAAACAGATTTGGATTAAAATGAGGAAGTATAGATGAATGTTAAGGTGCTTCATGATTTCTTGCAGTGCTCCTGGAGTAGATTTTTAATTTTCACTTGCAACTTTTGGGTTGTATCATCTGTTTAGTCCATGGTGTAATGTGCAAAGTGCTAGTAGATGAGATTGCAAATGGCAGACAAGTTCTAGTCCTTATTAAGAAGCAATTACAAGGTTTGGATAAAACTGTTATTTTTGGATGGATTAGAAAAGGGGTCGTCTTTGTAGTGATCATATCACCTATCCTTGAATATATTATCTCGATAAACAAGCCATGAGCCCGTCTTTACTAGTCCTGCATTAAGAAATAATTAAAAGGATTTCGATTAAATAAGTAGCCCCGTTTCAATGCAAGCAGGAAACTTTTGATCTTGTTCTAAATAGATTAATCAATAATGCACAATAATTTTTTTGATGTTATTAGTAACATGGCGCCATAATTCTTCTGCAATTTTATTCTCATTCATTGCTTTTTTTCTTATTTGGTATGAAATTTACTTTTGTCCTTATGATCGTATATTCTTATAGATGGGGATCAGGACCTTTTCCATCTTGAAGGGCTAACAGAGAGTCCCTCAACTGACGATGATGGGGACTGCTTCTCACCTTTACTACTGAATGCAACTTCTGTTAACATTGAGGTCTACTATAACAAAGCAGTGAACTACACATTGATGGTTACCTTTGTATCCTTCAATAATTAACATCCTTGCAAATGAGGACACTGTTATTGCCCATTCTTTTTTTGTTTGAGCTCCTTAATATACATATATCAGGTCTCTTTCTTGCAAGTTCTCTTACTGATTCGACAAATGGAGCATAGCAATACTCAATCTGTAAGAACTTATTTAAACACAATGATATTGCATTTTTGTTTTATTAATATAAAGGATGTCTTAGCTTTTTCAATGGTTTTACATGGCAATATTTATATCATGACTTAGTATTGTATTTTTAGAAAACCAGTCTAATTTTCCATATACCTTTGCAGGGAGCTGCCAAGGTTTCAATTTTTATGATTGGCCAACAGGCAATCATGGATGCTTATCTTTGCCTTTTACATCTGACTGCTGGGATACTAGTTGGTAAATTTATATAATAAGTGCTAAAAATTCTAATTTCTTGAGATTGCTCAGCAGACTCCGTGCATTCCCTTTCTCCCGTCCCTTGTACTAATCTCTTATTTGTCAGTAAATTGATTAATAAAGGGGAAAATCCTTTGCAACATGAAAAAAACTTCAGATTATTTATGTCCATAAAATTTTCAATTGGCAGGCTAGCTAAAATATTTTTCTATGCCCTTGTCTTTTCCTTTGTATGTACAAATTGCAATAAACAGTCAGTTATATATTCGGATGGTCATGGAAAGGAGATATTGAGCGTATCGTTGAAACACAAACACATTGGATAGTTATACTTGGATAGCCAGAACCTCGAGGGTATGAATATGCTTGTATTAATACCATTTTAACGCACTAACACTAATTTATTCCTAAAACCTAACTCTGCTCTAGTCTAAACCTTACAATGTACAAAATTTGATCCATGAAGCCCTCTGCAAAAGAACAGCACACATTGTCTAACACTCACTAAGGTCAGCACAACAATATCTTCTTGTTCTGGCTCAAAAGGGCATGCAAAATATTCTCTAATCTGAGGCAGTAGAGAAGTGCTATATTTTCATGTTTGTTTTATGAAATTATCATTGTTATGTAGCTTGATTGATTATCTTCTTTAGGTAAGATTGTGAATAACCGGTTACTTTCTGCCATGCAGAGTCCTTGTTCAATGCTTTTGCAACTGCTGCTTTTTTCAAGTTTGTGGTCTTCTCAATATTTGAGATGAGATATCTCCTTGCCATATGGAAGGCAAGTAGGCCTATCAACAATGGGGAAGGTTGGGAAACAATGAGACGGGAGCTTTCAGTTTTATATAGTCGTTTCTGTAAGTCTTCATTTAGAATAAAATTTCCTGTCTGCAATCTGATTGGAGTTTCATCAAAATGCATGTGGGCTGGAGTTCCTGGTCCCTTACGAACCATCATGGTATCTGAATTATGTTATGACCTAAATTGTTGGATTATAATGATCATCGTACTTAGGAGCTAGTCTCTGTTGGGTTAAGCTATTTCTGTTGCTATTTTAGTAGTCAATACTTGCTTGAAGTTTAAATTTGGTTATCAGAAAATGAGAGAGATGCCACCTGCTTCGCAATGTTTTGGGGATAATAACGTGATGATCTCGTGTTGTATGGCATCTTATAAAGCTGTTTAATTAAGGATGGCCTTCCTGTGTCTAGTTGTTAGGGATGGAATCGTGTAATTTCATTCCATTCCTATTTAATATCTAATCCATAAAAGCATGAATGAAGTGATGGCTGTAACTAAATGATTAAAACAAAAATTAACTCAAGCCAGGTTACCTAGATTGTACCATTTCCACCACTTCTGGATGGAACGAGGATTCTTGCTTATATGGAGTCGATGTTGTGAATGAAACCTTCACTGTCTTTTCCCCTGCCAAACAGAGGAATCTACATTCCCCCCATAGAATGGATGCAGGAGTTGAATTTGTGGGGATGGCTAGTCACATAAGGAGGGATGAATTGGGTGTTTACCAGCTTGAATGATAGAAATTAAAAATTTAATCCGAATGATGAAACAGCTTAAATAAAAGTGAGCTATAGTCACAAACATTGTGCCCGAGTAAAGGGAAAAAGAATAATGCACCGTCATATAGTCTAGTTAATAACCCTGCCTTAGTCATAGAACATGTTTCCTGTCGTTTTAACACTACTGAGGAGTTTCTTGTATGAAGAGCGGTTCAAATTTGACGTAACTGTACAACTTTTGCAGATGGGATTCTGTTGGGAGGCATTCTGCTCATGTATGAGTTCCATGGTTACTTGAGACCTATCATTCTTCTTACGTACTCCTTTTGGATACCTCAAATTATCACCAATGTTGTTCGTGATTCACGGAAACCATTGCATCCTCATTATATCCTAGGGATAAGCGTCACTCGGCTAGCAATCCCATTATATATTTTCGGTTGCCCTAACAATTTCATGCGCATTGAACCACACAAGAACTGGTGTATTTGTTTGGTTGTATTTGTCGGATTTCAAGCCGGGGTTCTTTTGCTTCAGCACTTCCTTGGATCCCGTTGGTTCATTCCTCGACAGGTTGGGGGTTTAACTTTAGTTTCTTCCAGATAATTGCCTTCCCCTTGTTTAATTGGATTAACTTTATGCAAATACTTTAAATTTGAAGTTTTTTATCTACTAAAAAATTGTTGTAGCTGATTTTTCTTCTATTATTTGTATCATTTGATGGACATATTGCTTTTAAGGGATCTTATCTCTGTTAGCCGTGTGGTATGTATTGATTATTTTCTTTGGTTTACATGATCATATGAGCGGAAAATTTTTTTGGTAAGGATGGACAATAACATGATCCCTGTCGTTTAGATTCCGAACTTTGCACCATTGCCTCTAGGATTTTTTTTTTTTTTAATCCAGCAGGCTCCCTCTTCTTGAATTTGCATGCCTGCCTCTTGCTTTTAACTTGTCATGATTTACAGATTCTACCTGAGAAATACAGCTATTATAGGCGGTTTGATCAAGACAGAAGCCATGCTTCAGACTGTGTTATTTGCATGACGGCCATTGATTTTTCTCAGCGATCCAATGAATGCATGGTATTTGAGTTAATATAAGTTGCCATCTGTTATACATATTTCAAAATCTGGGATCAGTCTAAAGCTCAAACTCTCTTTCAGGTAACACCTTGCGATCATTTTTTCCATTCTGGTTGTTTACAAAGATGGATGGATATAAAGATGGAGTGTCCAACTTGCCGCCGGCCCCTGCCTCCTGCCTAAGAAACTTCCCATTGCAGTTCCCAAGGTGTACATTGTTTTGATAGGTGACAGCACATCGTTATTTCTTCCCTTCATTCTGTAACATGATTTTACTGCCCGATTCCTCATACCGAGGAGTACGGGTTTTGTACATAATTTCGGAAGGAAATGATCACCATTGTTTTTTCCTCGAAATATGAAATTTATTCTTATTCGTTTTTCCCATGTTACTGTTGTTCGAAATTAGCTTTTATTTCTTAGTTTTGTTTACCGCATTTCCTTTCTGAGCCCGTTGGTAAACGTCGATCTGATTTTAATTAAATTCCAATTAATGCAATGTGAAATTTATTCTGCAAAAGGTATAAACTAATCAGGTTGGGATGGAATCCAAAATCAGCATGCATCTTCTCATATTGAATTAAATTAAATTCGAAAGGCTGCGGCACGAACCGGGGTCTTCTCGTATTTTTAATTTTTTCACGCGTAACTGATTTGTAGCTGACAATTCCAATATTTACCATGTTCATAATATTCTCGTAATTTTTCATCCTCTGGTATAAATTTGCAATATTTTTACATTATTTAACAGATGATAATATTTCTTCTGTCTCTTAATGTAAGCCCCAATCTTAAAACACATGGATATTGTAAGATTTAATCCCTCAAATTTAATTTTTATCAATTTAGTTTTTAAGTTTTAGATTATTGAGTTGGTCTTTATTGTTTAAAAAAGACGTTATATTATTAAAATTTGTTAACTAAGATAACAGAATACTAATGGCATGCATGTATATTAATAAAAATTAATCAAAAGAAGTGTAATTATTTAAATAAGAAAAAAACTAAAATTTAAAAAGAAGAGACAACAAAATACTTTGTAATAGATTATACTAATAAAATTTTAACTCATTTGAGAGTTAAATTATTTTTATTTAACTGTATATATATATACATCAAATCATCAGTATGCTTTACTTTACATATTAGATTATTTTAGGAGTTAATTTGTTTTCAAAATCTAAAGCACTCACGTGATCATTTAAAAACAAAAAACAAGAGAAATTAAATTGATAAAAATTAAACTTTATGAATTAGGATTAAAAAGTTTCATCATCCCTAAAAAACAGACTAAGAATTAAGTCAGATGAGATACATAAAATCCGTGACAAGTAAATTCCCCCTCCCTCCCCCCAAATCTTACCTTCAATTAACTGGCATGGGGGGGGGGGGGGAGAGAATTTTTAAATAACAAGGATGGACAGGTAATTTAGATTTTCTATCAGCGGTATTTTTGAAAATACATTGATTATACCAGAAATCACTGCTGGCACGCGTATCGAAGGACAAAAGAAAGCCGAGGAGGAAGTATTTTACTGTTAATACAAGATCACATGCATTTCTTTTTTATTTAAAAATCAGAATAAAAAATCCCTAAAACTACATTAAATTTATATTAAAATTATATAAATTTTCATAAAGACAAAAATAATTATTTTTAATCATTTTTCCTAGACATAAAAGTAATAATACTGGTAAAAAAAAGACATAAAAGTAATAATAAATATAAAAAATTAGGAAAACATCTTATAAATAAAACTAAAATTGATACTCTTTTTTTTTTTTTTGGGACTAAAACCTTGTGAAAGAAACAATAATTAAATCAAATCTTTTGAATTTTACAAAAGTAGCTCTATCCAATTCCAGACCCAATGTACTCGGTACTCACCCCCCACGTTCTGTGCGAACATAATCTTCAGGCCGACACAAATTGACGATAAGAAATTCAGTTGCCTATCTGAAAGTCTAGAAAACAGAAAAAGCACAACAGCAAGCTCGATCCAAACAAAGCTGGAAGGGTAGGAGATATTATATAAGTTTTTACTTATTCAATTTTTTATAATAGGACGGTTGGAAAACACAGTTCGAATCTCTCAGAAGAAACCAAAATCAGAAGTTTGCAAAGCTAAGATATCAAATGCATTAAATTTTAGAAACCCCAAAAAACACTATGATATATCCGAAAACATCCAATTAAAAAGAAAGCAACATAACTGTCACGAGAAATTGTCGTCATCATTCTGTCTTAACCCCCACCAGATCCATACTTCTTGCCGAAGAGTATGAGTTGGAGCTTGTCGTAACCAGCAAGGACACCAGCACCTGCAACAGCACGCAAAATGTTTGCACCAGCACCTTTGAAGAGGGACTTGGTGCCCTCGTTCTTGATGATAGTCTGGAAGGCATGCAGAGAGCTGTTGTATTTCACAGCTTCTCCAGAAGTCATCATCATCCTTCTACGTACTGTGTCAATTGGGTAAGAAGCCAAACCTGCACCAATTGTAATCCCCCATCCCAGAAGGAAACTAGCAAAGAAACTCTCCTGTTAACGAGAACAATAGAGAAAGCATTAAAATCTTCTTTCTAAAATTGTTGAAAAACAGTCGCTATTTGACATAGCTACTATAAGCACATTCCCGTTTCAAATAATTTGGCAGCAATAATGAATTGCATCATTTTAGAATTTTTAGAAGCCACGTCATGACAGACTTGGATTTGTCACTGAAGAATCGAAAGTGCACTTTAAAATGTCTAGCCAAGGCATCCAACAGACTTATCATACCCCCAAACCCAGTAAATAAAATCCTGGCAAACTAGAAGATAAGTAGTATAGAAATTTGACAACTAGAAATGAGGTTATGATTCCAAATTCTGCACGTACCTGCAACCCACCAACCAAAACGACTGGCTTTAGAGAATCATACATTCCAAAGTAAAGACCACGATACACAATGATTCCAACACAGGAGATGTTGAATCCACGGTAAAGACCAGCAATCCCATCAGACTTAATGGTTTTCTTGTAAACATCGATCAGGCCATTGAACTGCCTCTCACCACCCTTCTTCGCAGCTTTTGCATCATTTGCTAATCGGGTTCGAGCATAGTCCAGAGAATAGACAAACAAGAGAGAGGAAGCACCAGCAGCCCCACCAGAGGCCAGATTACCAGCAAACCACTTCCAGTATCCATCTCTGTCTTTTTTAAAGTTGAAAAGCCTCTTGAAATAATCCTTGAAAGCAAAGTTCAGAGCCTGGAATGGACGATTAATAATGGAAATTAGAAAATACGGCAAAGAAACGGAATGGAGAATCAGCTAAAACTATAACAGAACACTAGAGGTCCATCAAATTTGTTCAAGTACTCAACATTGAATTCAAATTATTGGTAAGAAGCCAGAAAAGATATCGAACATGTTTAAATAAGATAGCAGTGGACAACAATCTGAAGGCGAAAATAGTGACTCCCAGACATGATACCATTTTAACCACAACAACAAAGAACAATTTTGTCTTCCATCAGCAAAGTATAAGATGACGATTACATATAGCACTCTTTAAGATTGTCGGGGAAAAAATAGACAACAGCAATGTCAGCTCAAACATGCAAAGATGAAAAATACCTGAGTAGGGAAGTATCTGATAACATTGGCAGTGTTTCCTCTCCAAAGAGCCAGGACACCTTCATCCTTCATTGTTCGGGCAAAACAATCACCTATTCCCTTGTATGGTTGAGACAATCGACCACTTTTGATCATTTCATCCTGATTTTGAATAAGCAATTTGACTCGCTCAATTGGAGCAGCAGCGGTCTTAGAGACAGCAGCAGACACTCCTCCCATCAAGAAATCCACTAGAAATGCAGATGCCCCTTTCTCTGCTGGAGCATGAGCAGTAACTGGCAACATAGGTGGGACAATGGCCATGCCACTGACATTGCCTGCCAGCTGAAAAGAAGGTTGTTCACCTCCCATGAAGTAATTTCCAGTTGAGCAACAGTTTCTGGAGTGAAAATTGGGGGTAAGCTTGGACATAAAATATGACTGTCCAGCCATCTTCTGAACTACGGATGGCTGCCGTGAACCGTCCGCCATGATTGCAATCTAGACGGTGACCTGTGAACATTTAATCCCACATCATCATATATTTGATGACAGCACCTGACAAACTATTATTTAATCAAAATAACTAACACGACGAAAGAACAAATAAAAGTTTTTCCTATAATGCATTATTTTCAGTAAAGTTAAGAGTTTCTAATTGAATAAAAATGCACGTCACAAATGAAAAGTACTTCAGAGTCCTTACTACATCCATGAAATGCAAAAAGCATAGAAATGCAAAACATAGTGGCAATCCCCGATGATCCCCATATGCTCAAGCTACATAAGCGTAGAAATGACTTTTGACCAATAGCAATAAGCTACTAAAGAAACATGTCCTTTTAGTAGCACGACAATCTTATATACATCACCACCGTTAAGAATAGAATCCGAAGAACCACAAAAGAGGAGGGCAGTCATAAGTCCCAAAGAGCTAAACTGAAGTATCATGGAACTCTTCGACTCCGTTTGACTAGGAGGAAAGTAGTCCCGGTAAGAAAATTTAGAGAAGTTGATCTCTCAGATTCGCACCGTTCCTCCGTCGAAGGAATGCGTAACAGATCCACCCAAAAAAAAAAAAATCACACACTGCTCCACAAACTTCGGGGACAACACTGAGACCACTCAATTTACAACTAAGCAAAGAAAACGGTAACATTTTACATTACGAAGAATGAAATTGCTAATCTAGTACGTTCCATAGCGAAATATGCGCCAGGCCATAGAGAAACGAAACAAATCACAGATCTTCAACGGGAAATAAGAAAAAATAATAAGAAAAAGCGATCAACACTGTAACGCGCTCAAATTTCCAAGCACGTGAAGTGAAGCAAGCAAAATCAACCGGGCAGAGTAAAACCTGAGAAGGTCGCCGACTCCTGCTCGGATCGTGGGGAAGGACGAAGGGCCGGGAGTATAAATGATAGCAGCAAGCAGGAGAGACTAGGGTTTTATTTAATGACGCATTTGCCCTTGGTTTCCTTTGTGCCTGCTTATGATGCATGAATGATACTTATGAAATATTTTTAGATAAAATTTTATATATTAATAAATTTTATTAAATATATTTAATAATTTTATTTTTTAAAAATAAAAATATAAATTTTAAAAATATCTATTATTTAATATATTAAAAAATAAAGGATGAAAATTAATTATAAAAAGAGAAAGGGTAATATTAGAATTGGTGTATTTAATGAAACCTTAATCTATTTAAAATGTTTTATATTTTGGAATGAAATTTTTTTTTCAAAAGTGTCCTGTAGTTTGAGACGGAAGGAATATTATTATTATTTATTAATGGGTAAAGAGGCAAAAATATTCACAAAGTGATCAACCAAAACATCCAGTATACTAAAAGGACATAAATATTCAAACGTTACATGAGTGGGTGTAAAAGTGATTAAATCATTAATTTTGACCTAATGCCATTACATGAGCTAATCTTTACTGATGTAGATTAATAAAAGGACAAAAATACTCATAAAGTGGTTGGTTAAAAGCAAAAATACCCATAACATTGTCAGAGTTGGTACAAAAGTGATCAATCCATCAAATTTCTTAAATATTGACTGTTTAGCTAGCACCTAAGTAAAAATTGACCATTTCTTCGCTGATGTAAACAAAAAAAATTCACAAATAAAATTTTCTAGAGGTTAATCAATCATTATATAAATATTATATGAAAAAATATCATTTTGACTGAGTATTAAATTAAATTGCCTGTTTTTTTTTACAGTAGCGAAACCATTTAAAAATTTTAAACCTATCATGAATAAAATTACTTAAAGTTGTGACAATGTTCTTGAGGTAGGGTGGTTTAGGAGGTATGCTCAATCCCAATTTTTAATTATGTACAATCTATCTCACTATATTGAATCTTAGATTTTACAGATAGGAAAAATGAGTAAAGAAGGAGGGAGGAAGGGGGTGGGATACGTGGTAGTGAAAAAAAATCATGTGGCATGGATTTTGATAAATTGATCATTATTACACCTCTTAAAATAATATTATAGGCATTCATATAATGATTGATCAACCTCTGTAAAAATTTATTTAGGAATTTTTTTATCTACATCAATAAAAAAATGTCAACTTTTGCTTAGGTGTCAACTAAATGGTCAACATTTAAGAAATTTAATGAATTGATCACTTTTGTACAAACTTTAACAACGTTATATGTATTTTTACTTTCAGTCGATAATTTTGTGGGTATTTTTACCCTTATTAGTCCACGTCAGTAAAAATTAACATGTGGCATACACAGTGGGCATTTAACAGTCAAAGTTAATAGTTTGATCACTTTTGCACTCACTCATGTAACGTTATGGATATTTTTACCCTTTTCCTTACGTTAGGATATTGGATACTTCTGACTGACCACTTTGTGTGTATTGTTGTCCTTTTATCATTTATTAATTTAAGAGCACTTCTTTTCTTCTTTGTCTTTATTGCCTATGTTTTTAACCATTTTCTTGGGCAGACTATTCTTGCCTTAAACCAAAATGTGGACTTTACCTTGTCTTGGTTAATAGCTCTTGTGTAAACATTTTTTTGTTTGTTGTCCAAGTGAGTCATTTTCTTACTCAAAATATATAAATTCAAGGCTTTTTTACTAACATACTACAAGCGGTAAAAAATTATCAAAATGTTGTGTCGTGAAAAATATTTACCCAAATGTTACACTAAAAATCATTTATACTAAAAACGAGTTTGTTACTATGAAGAAATCGTTCAGGTCAAGAATGATTTTATAGTTAAATTTTTTTTTTATTCAATGAAAAGTGAAATCATTCACTAGGTGAATGATTTTAGTTTTTTTATTGATATAACATTTTATTTACTATTAACTATGAGAATCTCTGCTTTCTCTTTTTGCTTTACTTTTCCTGTATGGTTCATTTAAACATGAGATAGATGGTCACTTGCTATTGTTAATAGTCCTCTGGCACTTGAAGAATTTGATAGAACATTTGAGCATATGCAATGGTATTGAAGATATATTCAACAATGAATGTAACATATTGATAATAATACTAGTCATGTGGTAAGTTTTTCACCTTCTTCTACTAGCACCATCTTTTTCTTTATAAAAAAATTGTTATAATGTAATAATGTCTTATTGTTTATTTTAGGTTGACATAACAGAGGATTTATACAGGCTAATAATTAATTCTCATTCAAAATGCTCTCATTACATTAATTATTGAGATAGGGTTGCTCACGATCAATGCAACATCTTACTTGTGATGAGAGAACATTAATTTAATAGGAACCCTCAATATGCTCTACCAAGAGTTGAGTTTTCTCATCTATAAATTTTTTGAGATAGACTAAGCAAGCGATGTGGTAGTTATTTATTTACCCAACCACCAATTGAAAATGAAAATGTAGGGAAATAAGAGCTTCAAAATTTTAGTCAATCTTATTACATGCTAACCTAGCATTATCATCGCTCCCTTTCACCTCTTTCAATCCTATTTAATTTGAGCCTCATTACATACCACCCTTATCATCATTGCTTTTCAATTCATCCACTCGTACTTAATGGTATTGATAGAAGAAGGTGAAAAACTTATCACATACCTAGTATCGCTGCTAATACTTTGGAACAATTATTAAGTTTGTCTTCAATACCATTATAAGTACTCAGACGTTCTATCAAACTCTTAGAGTGTCGGGGGAGCATTAATAATAGTAAGTGACCATATATTTTGTGCTTAAATAAATCATGCGGGAAAAGCAAAGCAGGAAGGAAAAGCATATATTCTTATAATTAACAATGAATAAAATGTCACATTAATAAAAAAGCTAAAATTGTTCACCCAGTGAACAATTTCACTTTTCATTAATTAAAAAATAAATTTTAATTATGAAATCATTCTTGGCTTGAACAATTTCTTTGTACTCACAAACTTGTTCTCATTATGAATGATTTTCGTTGTAGTATTTGGGTAAATATTTTTCATGGTGCAGCATTTTGATAAAATTTTTTTATTGTTTGTAGTATATTGGTAAAAAAATTGAGATTCAGATTCCAAACAAGTAATATAGGTGTCTTTTGATGATCGAGCACCCAAGCCTGTGAACTTTTTTAAATTGAAAAGCGCATACATAAAATAAAACATACATTAAGTAAGTTTCAAACCGATCACTCTCATCATCCGATGCCTCCTATAAGGAAGATAAGAGTAATCAAAGGTATAAAAATATTTGGAAAACACTTTGTTTCACTCTTCAATAATTATATATGACAAACAAAATGGTTAATTAATTTTTAACAATAATACTTTAATTATTGAAAAGCAAGATGAAGGAATGACATATAATTTGACCAAATTCAATCGGTCACCCACCATACGAAGCATCCATTGAATTCCCATTTGGCATGTAAAAATATACTCTATTTGTTAAAAAATATAAGGTATTTTTTCAGAAGTTAAATATTTAAAAATATGAAATTTTTTAAATTTTTTGAGATATAATCATTACCTTTTTTAAAAAAATAATCACATTAATGAATGACTTTATATTTATTGTAAGGTGTTTAATGAGGGTAAATATAAAAAGATAGAGTTAGTTTAAAAGTACGCAACTATTTCATTGGGAGGTAAGATTCAATTAAAAATATGTTATATTTTTAAACGAAGGGAGTATATAATACTTTTTTTGGATCACAATATAAGATATTTTTTAAATTTTTTTGGTTCAGAATATAGGACGTTGTTAATTTTTATAATTTTTTACACCTATATCCATACTTCATTTATTACTTTTTTTAAATGATGCATGAAAATTTTAATTGTTATTAATGAGACATTTATATAGAATATTTAATGAATCTATAGTTGAAAAAATAATTTTTTTTAAAAAAATCAAGTTTTAACTAATATTTTTTGAAAATCATGAATTAGTTATGACTTATATTGTGATGAACACAGAAAATGAAATATATCAATCATCATGATTGATATATGCTCTTTCCAGTTCTATTTGTAGAACATATTCTACAAGTAATTTTTAATCTAAAATGTAGAATATTTTGTAATAAATAAACTACTTTTTCTAATTTTATCATCTTTTTATTAATGTGAAAGTATTTAATATAATTATATTATTATTTAAAGATAGAGATAAAAATGAAAGTATACATTATTTTTTGTTATATCAAGAAAACAAATAATTTTTTTAAGATATATAAAATGGTTGAAAGTATTTTATAATAAAAATAAGAAGTTAATATATAGATACTTTTGTATGTATAGCTCATTTTATAGAATTAAACTGAATAAACAGTCTAACATTTCTTATGTTTTGTATTTGCCCCTCTTTAAAAAGAGGAAAATGATAATAAGATTCATCTAAAATATATAAATGATAAATTAGTTTTTTAAAATGCCATAATTTCATTAAAGTTCCTAAAAACTTTTCTGTTATTAATGAATTTATATAAATAATTAAATTACCCTTGTTGAAAATAAAATGATTCACAAGTTTTGTTTGTATAATCAGAACTTTTCTTTTTATATTCATAACAATGTAATAGCAAATCAAGAATTTAACATGTAAATTTGTAATTTGTTGTTATATTGTTGTGAATATAAGAAGGAAAGTTGTGATTATACAAACAAAACTTGTGAATTATTTTATTTTCAACAAGGACAATTTTATCATTTACATTCATTAATGATAGAAAAGTCCTCAAGGACTTCAGTGAAATTATAATATTTTGAATCAAATTGTCATTTATATATTTTAGAAAAATTTTATTGTCATTTTCTCTTAAAAAAAATTAAATGATATTAATAAGTTTTTATTGATATAGTTTATTAGTGATATATAATTGCATATAATTGATATAATATCGTGGATTAAGAATATGAAAAAAAGCATCACATTTGCTTAAAGTAAATCAAACACAGTCCATGAAAACTTATGGATATCTTAGCTTATCACGAAGAATCAAATATTCCTTCGCAATGAAATTTCTGCATTTACATTTATCGTTGTGCAAGGAAACCTAGTAATGAGACTCGTTTGCAGAGGTATAAAATTAAAATACTTATATTAGGACATTTCTTGCAGAAGAATGCACTTGTTAGAACAACAAGAAAGCAATATGTAAATATTACCTTAATTTCTCCGCTTACCAAGAAAAGGGAGAAACGATTGTGAAAGGGAGAGAGATATGATAAAAGTTTGTACAGAATTTTAATTTAATTAATTAAGTACATTTAATTAGTTATAGGAGACATATTCGCAGCCCATTTGATGCAAAGCGTTTTAAAAATATATTTGCTTTATAAATTAAAAAAAATCACTTGTGATTGATTTTGTAAATGAGTCATGTTTTAACATATTTTAAAATCTTGTCAATTTATGCTCGCTCTCTCTCTCTCTCTCTCTCTCTCTCAAACACAGTGAGAGGGAGAGCAACCTTGTTTTATGGCCATTCACAGGTCTCCTCCTCCAATTCGACTCCTTCAGCGCAGGAAAAGAAACGCGGGAGCTAGCTAGAGTGCTGCAAGAAAGCGCCCTCCTAGCTCCAGGTGCTAGAAATTGAAATCAATGGGACACAGACAGAATTGAGACGTGGAAAAAATGGAGGCAGCTTGTGGTCCTCACTGGCTCACTCTTCCTCTGCCAGATTTCCATATTCCTCCCATTCATATTCCCATTTCACCTCAAGTTTGATTCCAATCCATCCCTCACATCTCTCTCTCATATCCTTCGCTTTCCCCAATTCTGCCCTCCCTCTCTAGAATGTTCATTAATCTTATAATATATGATTATGATTTATACGATAATATTAACATTAATTTATCATACATTTATTGATATTTATAATATATAAGAAAGTTTGTTAAAAAATTTATCTACAGAATGAAATTGTATTGTATTTCACTTTTTCAATTAAAAAAAATATTCATATAATTGAATATATATATATATATATATGTATGTATGTATATATATAATATGACTTGTTTAGTTTTAAAGTATATAAAATCTAGTGACCCTCGAAAATAACATTTAGTTGTAACCTTATTGATTGCAATAATAACGTGCAGTCATATTTTTTTAGTTCACATTTTTTTAAAGATTGTTAGACATTTTTTCCCCTTTTTTGTATGCAAAAACTTATTGAATAAAGAAGTGTCAAAATTTTTCTTTAGTGATAATAAATTGCTGCTACTAAAAGTGAAAATTTAAGCATAATTATAAATTATATTAAATAATTTTATAAGAATATTTAAAAATTTAAATTGAAAAATATAAAATTAAAAATAAAATATAGAAATAAAAAATATTTAAAAATTAATATAATTTAATTTTAAATCAAGTTAAATTAAATAATATAAACTTTATAATATAGTTTAGTAATATATATTTAATTTTGTTATTTTAAAACATTAAATATATTGCAGTTCAACTGACAATAAGATAGTCATTAAGGGTGGAATTAAGGTCAATTGAATTATTCAGAGAGAAATTGATTTTCTCGAAACATTTATAAAAGAAACAAATCCTGCAAATTTGAAAATCCAACTCACAAGCATCGTCTGCTGCTTCAAAGCATTTCCCCCCTCTGTCATCATGCGGATGTTTTTGCTTAATTAAACTGTTCCCATGACGCATCTTTTGTGAAAACATGCATTTAAATCATTGAGTCGTTGTATAAAACTTGGAAACAGCACTTAGTTTTGATCAATGAGCTGCGCAATGAATGCAAAGTAGTTGGTTTGCAGATTTTTGCTCAACTCCAACCCCTACAACCAAAAAAAAAAAAAAAGAACAAAAAGAAAAAAGAAAACGCTTGACAATAGGTCATTGTTCTCAGTTTTCCCTAAAATGTGGTGCACCTGGACACTTTCAGTTACCGAAATTATGAGACTATGAATAACTGAATATGAATGTGGCCATCCGCTTCTATATTTTTGTACAGATCCTCGAATGACGTGGGCTTGCAGACTTACTCCCTTTTGATTATATTTATAAAATAACTTTTAGAAGTGTTTTTTGATTCAAGGTACAGAATACCTTATAATAAGTAAATCATTTTTTTTAAAATTTCATCTCTTTCTAATTAACGTAAAAGTATTTAATATAATTAAATTATTATTTAAAACTTAAGGTAAAAACAAATTTAAATTTCACTTTTTTATTATATTAAAAAACTAACTTTTTTTTAAAATACATAAAATAACTGAAAATATTTTATAATAAAAATCGAAGAGGGTAAGTCTGTGAGCTCATACCGTTCAAAGAAGCCATTTTTGTAGCTGGCATCTTGGGTATTTGTAATTATTTATAGGGGAAATAAATAAATATTCATAATTATTTCATTGTCTGATGATAAATCTGTTTTTTTTTTTTTTGTTTCTTGCCAATTTGCCACTCGGAGTTTTGGTTTTCTTCGAGAGATAAGGGCAAATTCGTCATTAAATAAAAACCCAAGGGCCTCCTTGGAGCTGCCACTTACACGAGTCTCCGTGTCCACTTCCCTTGGCCTCGGTTCTGAGTAGGACGCATTGCGACTCTCGGCGACCTTTTCAGGTCCTTTCTTTTCTTTGCGGTCGCTTCTGCTCCGTCCATTTCTCATTTCCATAGAAATATGAGTAATTTTTTGTTTTGATCGTGTATGTATTTGATTATTTTCTCGTGGAGATATGTTTTCTTTTTTATGCATTTTCTCGGCGGCCTAACGCTGATTTCCCTATGGACCGTACTTATTTCATTCACTGAAGTTATCATTTCTAATGTCTAATTGCGAATTGAATTGCCACGGTACAGTCTACGTCATGTATTGTGTATTATGTGGTTCTTCTTAGTTCCGATCTTCTTCTTCGAGGGAGGAGCAACGGCTTACTTCTTAGTCAAACTTAGTCAAACAGTTGCATCAGGTTTCAGTTTGGCTTTTTTCGGCACTTGTTATTGCCCTGCCCTTTACTTTAATAGTTTTCCTGAATCGATGAATACTTGATCTCGGTTTGTGCGGTATTACGGTGCTGCTGCCTGCTAGAACGTTATGTTTCCTGTTTTCTCCATCTGTTATTTGATTAAAAGGGTTTTTTTAGTGTAGCTAGAAAATATGTAGTTATATGACTTTAGGACTTAATCCGATTAGTTAATTTAAGGAAAAGTGGGCAGGTAGTTGTAGCCTATTTCATGTAAACAGTAAGGCAGAGGTAGGAACCAAAAAAAAAAAAATGTTAAGTGTGAAACGAACGAGTTTGCCATCTGGCTTTCTCTTAATTTATGATTATGATGTATGATTAAATTTGCAGAGGTCACCGTCTGTATTGCTATTGCAATCATGGCCGATGGGTCACGGCATCCATCGGTAGTTCAGAAGATGGCTGGAGAGTCATATCTTACGTCCAAGCTTTCCCCCAATTTTCGCTCCAGAAACTGTTGCTCAACTGGAAATTACTTCATGGGAGGTGGTGAACAACCTATTTCGCAGCTGGCAAGCAATGTCAGTGGCATGGCCATTGTCCCACCTATGTTGCCAGTTACTGCTCATGCTCCAACAGAGAAAGGGGCATCTGCATTTCTAGTAGATTTCCTGATGGGAGGAGTGTCTGCTGCTGTCTCTAAGACCGCTGCTGCTCCAATTGAGCGAGTCAAATTGCTTATTCAAAATCAGGATGAAATGATCAAAAGTGGTCGATTGTCTGAACCATACAAGGGAATAGGTGATTGTTTTACCCGAACAATTAAGGATGAAGGTGTCCTGGCTCTTTGGAGGGGGAACACGGCCAATGTTATCAGATACTTTCCTACTCAGGTAATTTCCCTCTATTTCAAGTATAAGCTGACACTGCCGTGATGCGTTTCTCTCATGATGATCACAGAGTTTAATAGACATGACCATATTAGTTTGCTTCATCGTACTTTCTTTTATTAATTTTTTGTTTTGTCTATTCCAGGCTCTTAACTTTGCTTTCAAGGATTACTTCAAGAGGCTTTTCAACTTTAAGAAAGACAAAGATGGGTACTGGAAGTGGTTCGCTGGTAATCTGGCCTCTGGTGGGGCTGCTGGGGCTTCCTCCCTCTTGTTTGTCTATTCTCTTGACTATGCTCGAACTCGATTGGCTAATGATGCAAAAGCTGCAAAGAAGGGTGGTGAGAGGCAGTTCAATGGCTTGATTGATGTTTACAAGAAAACCATTCGGTCGGATGGCATCGCTGGTCTTTACCGTGGATTCAACATCTCGTGTGTTGGAATCATAGTGTACCGTGGTCTTTACTTTGGAATGTATGATTCGCTGAAACCAGTGGTTCTGGTCGGTAGCTTGCAGGTGTGTTCAGAGTCTTTTTTTTTTTTTTTTGTTGGTAGAATTAACTCGTCTTTCTACACCTCAGCTTCCCTTGCATTCAATTTTCTTTGCATTTTATGCATGAATAATTGAGCTATAGCAAGTTGGTTGAATTGACATAGTTTTGGCTTCGCCTGTCCAATTGCACTTTTGATTTCAGTGGTCCTGTTTTTTATTTTTATTCTTGAGTCCAAGTAATGATGCGCCTCTATCACTTTTAAAATTGATGCAATTTGCTGTTGCTTCCATTCATATTCAGTGTGCGAATATTAGCTAATGCAAATGTTGACTCCAATTGCCAGCTTTTCTGGATATTTTTGCCCATGCTTGCTTACACATGCATCACTCGTGCTGACAGGATAGTTTCTTTGCTAGTTTCCTTTTGGGATGGGGGATCACAATAGGTGCTGGTTTGGCGTCTTACCCAATTGACACAGTGCGGAGAAGGATGATGATGACTTCTGGTGAAGCTGTGAAATACAACAGCTCTCTGCATGCCTTCCAGACAATCATCAAGAAGGAGGGTGTTAAATCGCTGTTCAAAGGTGCTGGTGCAAACATTCTACGTGCTGTTGCAGGTGCTGGCGTGCTTGCTGGTTATGACAAGCTCCAGCTCATTCTCTTTGGTAAGAAATATGGATCTGGTGGGGGTGGCTAAGACACAGATGACGACGACAATCTATTACATGGGACACTTAGGTTGGTCCCTTTGAATGGAATAATTTTGTGTATGAAAGATAATGTTTGGGTTTTTCAGAAAAAATAGGGACAAGAAATTTAGATAATAGTATTGCGAACTTGCAATTTAATTGTTCGTGACATTGGAGCCTTTAAGCGGTTTAGTTTCCAGCCCTCTTTCAAATAATTTAAAACCGGTGGCTTTCTGGGTTAAAGCTCGGTTGGATTGTGCATGTTGTCTCCTTCAGGTCTACTGGTCATTAAGTCGAGTCAAGGGAATAATTTCAATTGTATAACATATGCTATATAGCACGTCGTTATGTTCAAGGCGACGAAAAGAAAGATCTATGCTATCATTTATGGTTGCGGGGTAGCATGTGCAGCAAGGGAGATGATCCTGCTCAATTTCGCGTGTTGACTGTTGAGGACCCAAAAAGATCCATAGATATTAACCTTTAGAAAGGAAAAAAGTCCATGGATACCATGTTGACCAATTTGACCTGAATGCGTAGCGTCCGATCTTTTTTCCCACAAAAAAAGAGAGTTTATACGTAAATTTTTTTTTAATGAGGCAATTAATTTTATGAGAAATTAAATAAAATTGAGAGAATAATAGATAAATTTTTTTAAAATAGAAAATTGATAATTTGATTCTTGAAGTCTCGAAGGACTTACCTGTTGATAAGTTTTAAAAGGAAGTGATACATTTGCCCCTCTCTCCCCTCTTTCCTTTTGCAGTCACCAACTTTGTCCTTATTCAAAACTACACCTTTTACTAGCGATACTTGGCCGCTCTGTTCACGAGAGTTTCATCGAGGTCATTCCTTAGCTCCAACAGATTCTCATTGCCATCCCTTTTCAGCTTCTTCTCTATCTTGTATTCCAACACAGCATCCACCATCATCACTTGCTCGCAGAACACCACTTGGTGAAGAAGCATGTTCTTGTGAAAATTCCCTTCGCTCAACGCTCGCCGGCGATGATGAACGCTAATCAAAACTTTTGCGAGAGAAAACACAGGAGAAAGCAACGACATCATTATGTACTTGTTTTCGCCTCTGACCACTAGCATAGCCACACCAGGCTTCAGCAGGTCCTCAAAATCCAACCTATATCGCCTCCCAAGCACTCCTTCAACTTTACATGACAGCCAAGGGCCTAAACTGAACCTTTAGATGAGCAAAACAAGGCACCTCATAGTTGTGAACCTATTGTCTTCGTCCATCATCGACACCACGTTCACCAAAATCTATGCAACATCCTTCAAAGTCACAATGATGCTGTTCCTCCTGGGGACTCTCTCCACTTTCACATCACCTTCAAACCAGGTGGAGAGAGAAGACTTCGGCTGGGAAAATTGGTTGCTGTTGTGGGTGAAGGTGAGGTGGTCGACGGCGTCGTTCCATGAGGCCGTCTTGGTGGCTTTGATGGCGGGGGAGTTTGAGTTGAAGAGAATGCCTAGGGCTTGGATCCACGTGAAGTCGCAGGATCGACCTTGACTCTTGAGGTTTGTGGCCAATGAAGCGGCCGTTGATTTGAAGGTTGGAATTGGAGGCTGAGGGAAAGTGCTCGTTGCTCTTCGCCGCCAATGAATCTGGGAGTGATAAGGAATGAGGCAAAGTCAATGAAGAAGGGAAGAGGAGAGAAGGGATTGTGGTAGGGGCAAACATGTCATTTCCTTAAAAATTGTTGACAGATAAGCCCCTTGACAATTTAAAAGCAATTATTGCATTTTACCTGACTAAATTGTCATTTCATTATTTTACAGGAATTTATCATTCTTCCATAAATTTTTAAGGTCGTTTTAAAAATTTTCACGCAAAAAGAGGACCTACAAGCAATCAAAACTATCCTAAGCTCACAACCGTCTTTTGATTAATTTTTTTTTAATAATATGAAAACTTCTTATGTTTCAACACTTAATATATTTCAGGCAAAAAGAAGCTTGCTATATTAAATTGGGATAATGTGTGTGTATTAATATATCAAGCAAAACACTCCAATCTCGCTTATATTTGAATTTGGAACTTTGGATCTAATAAGTGATCTAAGTACACTCATTCTCACTTATAATTATTAAATTTTATTATTATTTAAAAATTATATGATAATTTTTTTTAAAAAAATTTAAAATAATCATCATGATCAAAACGTTCATCACGTACACATGACATGACTATTTGATTTAGTCCAACAATTGTAAGATATTTTATTATATAATACTTATAAAATATCAAATTTTAATTTTTGTGAAGGGAATAGCATATGTAAATAGTGTTTGATTGTGGTGATTGTTTTGAATTCTTCAAAGAAAAATTTATCTAAATAATTTTTAGGTATTGATAAAATTCAACGATTGTAATTAAAACACTTAATGAGTAAGTATATTTAGGCCATTCATCAAATTCAAATCTTTTAAATTTGATTGAAATTACATGATCAAATTGATCATAAGCCTTTACCAATCTATATTATTAGTTAGTTATTTCAGCATTGCTATACATAATTATTTAAGATTGTTTAAATTGGGGGAGTAAATAATTAGATTATGAGATTAACAAATAATTTTACAATTTTATATAAATTTTTAATTCAATAAAATCTAATCTAGAGTATTTAGTGAAATATTTTTAACAATGTTTAAAATAAAAATATAATTGTAGTAAAATAAAAAAAAAGTCAATATACTCTCTGTGAATTTAAGCAAAAATAGGTCAATTAAAAAGTTAAGAGTTATGTCTTGACTTAAGGTGCAAGGTACTAGCTTGGGTGCAAAGGTTATGTCCTATGTTATACTTTTATTAATTTACATGTAATCAATGGTGATTTACATGTAAATCTAAGGCACTAACAGAGGCATCTTTTTTGTGTGATTGATTTACATGCAATTCGATAAAGATTGTATGCAAAATATTTCTTAGGCTGTTCACAAGTTTCTTTACCTATAGATTTACATGTAAACCATTACTATTTTCATGTAATTCAAGGCCATTCACAAGAGCGTGCTTTTTGTGTGTTTAATTTACATGTAATCTGTTAGAGATTGCATGTAAATCATTTCTCAAATATGCTTGCGAATTTTTCCCGCATTAATTTACACATAATCAATGGTGGTTTACATGTAAATCTAAAGCACTAATAGAGGCATTCTCTATGTGATTGATTTACACGTGATCCTGTAGAGATTGCATGTAAATTATTTCTCGAGCATACTCGCGAATTTTTTCTCATATTGATTTACATGTAATTAGTTGTTGTTTTCATGTAATTATAGGGGCACTGACAATAGAGGCTCTCTTTGTATTTAATTTACATGTAATCCACAAGATTTTACATGTAATTGTCACAATGATAAGTGAGGATTCAATAATTTTACATGAAGGATGGCTAAATTTTTAATGAAAAACAAGTAAATGTCAAGGGGGATTATGAACAACAAAAATATGTAAAAAAATAATTCCACTAATTTAGGTCTGTCACTATGTCAAGTATAAGCGAAATGATAAATAAAGATTATAAGGCACCCTAAATAAAAAGGCATATCATGAGGGTAAGAACAACATCAAGCCCCTATTAAACTACATCCTACCCTATGCACACAGAGAGAGAGAGAGAGAGAGAGAGAGAATACTCACAATAAGTTCCTTCTTGTTTAAGTTTTATATATTATGTAGTAAGTCATATTAACTCATAAATGATCCATATTCAATAATATAATATTAAGGACAACTAAATTGTCTCTAAAAAACAAGTAACTATGAAGATAGAAAATGAACAATAAAAATTTCAATAAAATAATAGCATTTCCATTAGGTTTAGTTTGTCTTTTTGTTAAATACCATCAAAATGATAAATAAAGATCATAAGCACCCCATATCAAAAAATATACCATGCAGGTAAGAATAACATCATGCCCATATAAAACTACATTCTACCCTATAAAAAAACAAATAAAAGGGGATGGCTACTTTTTACTTTATGTTGTAGAAGGGAAGGACAATAAAGACAAGGGCATGCATGTCGACTAGCTATTTAAGCTAACTCTACTAGGTTTCCTATTCAGCGAAAGATGACCTTCCCATAAATACATTTCAAAATATAATTATATTTTCATTCAATCTTTCAGGAGAACCTCTTGATCAACATTTTCTTATAGCTTACTTGAGTTATGAGATGCATATAAGAGATTTTTGACTTGAAGTTTTCCTCCCTCTTTAGACAAAACCTTATGCTTTGATGCGTCTAAAACAATAATTCCTAAATTAAAAATTATGGCCATAACAAATGGGCCATTCAAGCCTTAACACAACATAAAAATATCATTTTAGGCACATAGATGAAAACATGGATGGAAATCTTATAAACAACATGAGAACATTTGCGACAACCTAAGAATATTAATGATAACTTAAAATTCAATAGGCTTATTTTGAGCGTGTAACATGCTCAAAGTTTACATATACCTTTTACTTGACATGGCTAAAATACTCATACCTTAATTTAGTCACAAGAGAAGAAAAATAGTAGTGTGAACAACATACCCCTAAAATTATCAACTTGATTGCCTTGCCTAAACCAAAACTCTTTCCTTCACTATCAAATGTAGCTTGCCACTTATTTGGCTTAAGCACTATGTCTATGTTTACTTGCTCCACACAAATTAGATAAGTAATTTTATAGATTATCTAAAAAATATAGTATTAATGATAATAGATAAAAAAATATAATCCAATTTCTATGAAAAACAACAATCCCTCATATCTGGATCAAAAGATGTAGTAAATTCTCCGTTAAATGACCAATGCTTGTATACAAAACTAAGAGAAAATTGCAATTTGCAATAACATTAATTTATGAAACAGGGTGCAAGAATGAAGCTAAGACTAGTCTTCAATATCTCAAGTTTTAACACAACTTATTGTAATAACCACACACATGAAAGCAAGAGCATTTTCAAAAGTTGGAAATATGAGATACTAAAATGCTACTGAACACTTCAAACTTTTAACTAGAGATAATAGAGCTGCTAATCCTTTTACATATCAGATGCAATACTTCCCTTTTAAAGAGGGCATGTGAAGAGTACCAAATAGAAATAAAAAAAAAATCTATAGATTCTTAATGTTAGAGGTTTAAAATTTTAAAGCCGAATATATGTACTGAATTAACACTGCTTTTGCAGTATTCATTTGGAGGCATTTATGGAAGTCTCATAATGGTGTTTATCATCCACTCTTTCATGGCATTCTTTCACACACAAAGTAAAAATGTGCAAATAAAGAATAATTAAACGAACTTAAACATATTTCTAAACTTGACAATTTAGGTGAATTTAAGGAGAGGAGACCCAATACTCAAGGAGAGGAGAAATATGAAAAATATTTGATTTCAAACATAATCAAGAAGATGTGCACCACTTTCCAGTCGTTCTTAACTTTGTCCGACCAAGTCCTAACTCATACTGTCGATTGCTCCTCTATCAACGCCATCCGTCATGGCCGTTCGACCATCGCTTTGTCTTTATGATTCTTTGATTATCTGGTTTTTCAATGGGGTTGTTTTTTTTTTCAAAACTTGTCACTCACAACTCGCTCATACCTCATATGGCCGTTGCTGCTCCGTCAAGTCCATCCCTCACTGTTAACTGTTGCACAGCATTATGAACTCTAATGTTTCATTGAATTGTGTGAGCAAAGGAAGAATGTTTTCTTTTTCAAATTTCTTTGTTTAAGACAGAGGCATTTTGGTCAAATGATAACATTGTTAAATGAATAAATGATTCAACTTGGTCTTTTAAGTACATTTGATCTTTAGGACCAATTTTGATTATAACCAAGTCCCTTTCACCAATTTTCAAGTCTTGTATGAATGAAAAGCATATTGTCTTTGTATATGAATATGGTATACTCGTTTAAGGAAATGCAATCAATCCTAATTCTTTTTTTTTTTAGTGACATACCTATGTCTGGGAATTTATCATGCCTTTCTATTCATCACATCAAATTTTAAAAATGCGTCATACTATTTATGATTGGTAAATATTTCTGTTTGATGTAAGTTTTATATTTTATACAGGGATTCCTCAGACAGACAATTAGAGAATTGTTTCTAATATATATATCCATCTTATAAAATTATAAGTTTCACCATTAAAATTGATTTGGTGTAAGACATCAATATATTAATTAGTATAATTCATCATGAAAAATAAAACCCGTAAAACTAAATTCTTTTTCTCGTATTAATAAATATATCACGTACTTATAACTCGTTTGGTTATAATAACGGCATGTAACTCCTATATTGACATAAATGCAAGACATCTTGGAAATTCCCATCCTTTAGTCTAAAGTATTCATGCAATAAATAAACTACACTCTCTATATGTGAAGACGAAAAAAGGATAGTAATATAATTGCACAACTTCTTCTCCTTCTTCTTATTCTTATTATTATTATTTCTTACCTAATTAAAATTTAGGCTCATTCATCTCACCCAAGCCAAAATACAAAAAATGACCTCACGCAACTCGAATATTTTACAACACGGGGGTGCATGCTAAAAAGTAAATTCAACTAATAAAAAACATTACTTTTTATCAAATCATTTTTAAAAAAATATTTTGACAGCAATGCAAGCTTACAATTTTGGTCGAAAAGATTTACTTGATCAGATGAGAATGCAATCTCACTTTTAATTTTTATAGAGTTTTACTTCCTAATATACTTCCTTCAACTTATGAGGCTGAGAACAATGATATTGTTGCAAATTATGAGCGTTAATTGCTGTATCCTCTCTTTTTCTCATCAATCTTGAGATCGGATAGATATTTAGGTTAATCACTCAAGTAGGTTTTACATACTCACATGAAATTAATTATTTCAATGAGTCATAGCTAGCTTGAACATTTATACTCTATAGTTTTTTGAATTAAATAAAAATAGATAGAAGAGATTGAAGAGGATTTAAAGTTAAATGCATGTTGATGCAAGGACTAGTAACTATCGCCCCCCTCCCCCAAAAAGAAAAAAACAGATCAGTAACCAAGTCAAAATTTTAAAATACTTCAACTGAGGTAAATGGGGTGACATTGCTCGACTCCAAACTACTTTTATTCATACAATATTTAGGCGTTCAAGTTACTTAAATACACTAGAAAATGAATGTAGAAGAGCGAACAAGATAGTTTTTTTATTAATTTAAATTACTTATACATAATATTATAAATCATATGATGCATGCTAGTGCAACAAACTCCTTGATTAATACTAGTGTGGATCCCATGAGTTGCTTAGAGTAAGATAAATAAGAATCATATTGTTCATAAATCATAATCCATAAATAATGAAGTTTATTAAAATTTTTATATTATATACGTATTTTTTACAATATCAATATTACTTACTAAGTAAACATAAACAATTATTAATTATTAGTTTAATACAAAATATGTAGATTAATACTATTTACACACCATAAAAGGCATGACTCTAGGTGTACTGGACTCATTTTACTCATAATAAATAATAAATCAGATTAAATATAATGTTTTAATTGAAACGTGTAATTTTTTTATGCCAGCTCAATTATATCTATATCAAATTAAATATTTTTTCTAAAATACATCCTCTCACATGAGTGTAACAAATTCAAGCCGGATATACAATGTAAATAATGATGTTTACTTGACAATATTTACCAAGTATTAATCATTATTTGTTTATTATAAGATTACAACCCAATAATAATTCTTGAAAACAGCTACAAATAATAATAGATGGAAGTGCAAATCTTCAAATGAAAGGAACAAAGAATTACTTTGCCCCTCACACAAATTGTTGTAATGTTGGCATGATCCATTGATCCTTTCATGTCCTATAAACACAAGAAGTTTCTAAACGAGTAAATGCAAAAGGGAAAACCACATACATACACATTATGGAGGGAAATGGAAAATGAGGGCAAGCAAGCCCACACCATGCTGAACGCGATGACAGAAATACCCTCGACAGACAATTGGCCGTCCAATTCAGTCCTTCCACCGAGCCACCATCCATGTGCATCCTTTTCTTGCCGTAACATCTGATTCCGAGCTCCTCTCTTACTTCTCTTCGTTATATAATAATACGAAAAGTGAAAAAATCACACCAGCGAGAAAATAACAACCCAAAATCTCATCCTGATTCTCCATCCTCTTCTCCTTCTCCTTCTTCTCCTTCTTCGTCGTAGTTCGCTTTCTCTCTCTTTCTTTCCTTCTCTATTCTCCCATCAGTTTCCCAAGCAGGTATATAGAGCAGTAGGCTAGCATTTTGCCAATCCCTCTTTCTGAAGCACCAATGCCTGCGCAGAAGCGGTCTTTGCCCGACTCTCCGGACGATGGGGAGGTCTCAGAACTTTACAACCACCGCCATGCGAAGCAATCTCATCGGGACCGAGAGCTACAAGGCGAGGAAAAAAGGGCGGAGGAGGATGAGCAAGGGGAGCTAGGTGAAGGGGAAGAAGAAGGACAGCAGAACGAGCAAGAGCAGGACAAGGAGGAGAAAGTAGAGGGTTACGTATAATCTTTTTTTTTTTTAATGTTTTTCCATCTTGCTTTGTGATTATACGTTTGTACAGTGCCAAATTGGTATTTGTCAGCTGGGTTTTGGCCTGGCTTCTCGATCCTGCGAGTTCTGAAGCTTTTGTTTGTCTCGCCAGATATTGACGAAAGCCCTTCTTCTGAACCCGAAGAGAAACCTGAGTATACTCTCTATCTCTCTCTCCCCTGCGCATTGCTCATATTCTTTCACACTTGTATGTGCTTCTAGATTTCACGTTTTGATTGTATATATTTGTTTCGGGGTAGTGGCTGGTGGTGAATTTTGCAGTTTCTACCCTTCTTTCGTTGAATTCGAACGCTTACATTTTGCTTATTACTGGATTTCCTTCCTCTGTTGAAGGGAGTACTGACAGGTCGAGTCATTTAAGCTGAGATGTCTATATGCTCTGAGTCTCCCTAACTTGATTCTTTATATGTCGTTTGCATGCCTGGGTTTTTGTCTTGCTTATGCTTGAAACTCGGTCATTCGTTCCACAATGAAGGAAAGTATTTTTTTTTTCCTGCGTACTTTCTGATTACCCAGTCTATGGTGTGAATTCTACATTTTAGTGTTATTGCATTTCTTTCCGATTCGAAAACATTCGGCATCTGTGACCTTCTTGATGGAGCGTTGGATGAACTAATAACTTAAGTGTGTGAGGGCGCAGTCGCGAACCGTCTTTAGCCTTTCAGCTTGGATCGAGTTTTTAGTTATGTGCGTTAGCAAGTATCGAGTTGTCAAATCTAATTTGTATTGATTTGTATGGAAAATATTTGGAGCTAAATTTTACTGAAACTCCGTGATTGTCATTTGCTATGGTGGCAATGGTCAAACTTATGAATAATCATGACTTTAGGAACTGTGATTCATATTAACTTATGATATTTTGATAATTAGGTATTGTTGCTTTCCTTGAAAAAGAAATCTGCCTTTCATGTTCAATGGATGCTAGTAGTTCAGTAATGACTTTGAATTTATAAGACTTGGATACTTCATAATATTGAATGGTGATCACGAAGATACAAATATTACAAAATAGCATATCAGCATGTGTTAGGCAGTTTGCACGAGTTAAAGGATTGATGACCAGTGTACAGTATACCCACCAAATAAGAATGCAAGTGTTGAAGCTTTTGCAGCTGGTGATCTAATATATGCCCCTGTTGTAGCTTATACAGATTCATCATTGCTTGTATAGTGAATTCCATATTATTCATGGTTTTGCAGGCTTTTCAGAACATTCATACGTTAACACTTTTTCCTCGTTTAGATGGGCTCAAGAAAAGAATGAAAAATATGTTAATTCGATTAAGAATTAGATATTTGGCTTATCTGTAGGATATTGTTTTGTTACATAAGTAAAAGGGAGCTCCAATTCAAATGACTTATTTCTCTCTTGTTATGATTTATAAGCACGATTCATGGTATGAATTAGAGATCATATAAAAATATGGGGGAAGTGCTCTTGATAAATTCTCCAAATGACTGGTAATACTTGGCATGTCGAGAATTAACCTGGTGAAGAAACCTGGTGTGTGACTGTAATAAAGATTTATTGAACACATTTGTTGGTGCACATCCTCTTACATTTGATACTGGGAAAATAGTACCTATGATTTGCATGCTATAATGATGCTCCAGAGTAACATGGTACTCTTGTGCTTTCAATAATTTCTTTGGAGGCTGGATCAGGATTTGTTTGTGTAACTAGTTTCATTATTCTTAACTTTTTTTCTGCCAAAATAAATAAATAATAAATAAATAATTCCTAACTTCTTGCTAGCAAAGGCATTAGTCTTGTACAACTAATACAAGACCAATAAAATTATCATGGCACCTCCATTATTAAAAGTACATATAATATCCTGTAGTGATTATAGGATAAGACATATTGTTATTGTGTTATTGTTGCTATTATTACTCTCTCTCTCTCTCTATATATATATATGTATGTATGTATGTATGTATGTATATGTGAAATATTTTTTTCCTATCAAGATTCAGGTCCTTGTAGATATACTGATCCAAATACCTCATGAAGTGCTGGTATTGAGTTTACGTTTTTTTCCTTCTCTGCAGATTTGTGTTTGTTGAACTTCTGGAAGTTCGTAAAGATGTCCAATGTCCAATTTGCCTTGGTAAAGTTTTTTACCCTCTTGAATGACATAATTGGACAGTTAGATTATGTGATTTGTTTTTGTTGTGGTCAAATTATATATAGGCTGGGGCGTAGGAGTTAGGATTACTTTCCCACCTCTGGTCAGTTCTATCTGTCATTGCACTCATTTCAGAACCTAGAAATCTTGCTTTCTCAATAATCATATCAAGGCAAATTATTAATGTTTATCAAGATGCTGATACTGTTTCTTATCCTATAGTGATCACATATTGCTGTTATGTTTTCTATTGTTCTTGATTTTTTACATTTGGATATTAAAGTTAAATTATTGTGCTTCTTCTTCTCTTATCCAAAGTGTCAAACCATCATTACATTTATCATGTGTAATAAGCTAAATTGTCGAAATATTTTATTGAATCATAGCTAGAAATGATAAATTGTTAATATACATGCCTCACTTAGCAAAATATATGATACCTCCTAATTAGTTGTTCAGATGTTAGCTAAAATGAAATTAGTAAGTCCTACCCCCTCCCCCTCCTAAAGCAAAACGAGCAAAATATAAATGGAAGGAGGAATCAGCTGGCCCTGATTTCTTGGATTAACCTATGTGGTAGAAATGGAAGGAGGAATCCTGTGAACGTTGAAATCAAGGAGCTTATTGTGTAATGGAACTTCTTACTAATGAATTCATCCTTTGTTTTCAAACCTGCCTTTCTGTGAATCAGTCTCCACTGTGATTTAAGCATTACTTCTGTCTTTCTGGAGTCACTGATGTCCTGTCAAGTATCAAGTAACATCAATGGTAACAGTCTTGAAGCTAGAAAATGTAAACTTATTGTGCAAAATATAAAAGCTGATTAGCTCAAATTTCCAAGTGCATTATTGAGTTTAGTGGTGCTGTGCTTAAATATTTTTCACCTACATATTATAATGTTAAATATTTTTTGTAGAAAAGGAAATCCAGAAGACCTCAACATTGACTGAGAAGTAGAAAATACCTGATAACTCATGTCTGTATTTGGGACACTAGCGTGTTTGGTATAGGCTCTTTTTTTGGCTACTCTAGATATAGCTGTCAAATTCCAACGGTGATATTATCTCCTATTGCTGTTTTTAATGTTGACTTTGTTAGGTTCTGCATTTCATGGTGTAGGACAATTTGAAACCTGCAGCCCAGTTCATACTTGATTTCTGGCAAATGTTTTCTTTGTGTTAGAAATAACCAATTACTGTTAGTGCTTGAGCAGGCATTATTAAGAAAACACGGACTGTCATGGAATGCTTGCACCGATTTTGCAGGGAATGCATTGACAAGTCAATGAGACTTGGGTAAATCACAAGAAGCCATGCCTATTTACTCTCTGTTTAATATACGACTGATAGTAACAATCTAGGTTCTTGTCTTGCTTCTCATTGAGCTTACTCTGGTTATGATGTCTGTTTGAGACCTGATTTATTATTTATGTGTTGTCTCAGGAACAATGAATGCCCTGCTTGCCGCACACATTGTGCCAGTCGTCGTTCCTTGAGAGATGATCCAAACTATGATGCTCTAATTGCTTCTCTATATCCAGATATTGAGAAGTATGAGGAAGAGGTAAAAGTTCACTTGTTTATTTCTTCATCTCTACTACGCATACATGAATCTTTACTTGAATATCAATAGCAATATCTTTGATTGTCTCATTTTAGGAGCTTGAATTTCGTGAAGAGGAGAAGACTCGCAATAAGCAGGTGAGTATTTTTTGAATGAAAATATTAAAGCATGGATTCACCTTTTAGATGTGTGTTCACTGGTTAGACTAGTCTTATGTATTGTCTTTTTATTGTAATTTCTTTTTATCGAACATTGTTGGCAAAATTTATTTATTTATGGATTTATAGCTTATTGATATTGAGTTGTTGAGAACCTATATGGTATGTCATCTTCAAAATACCTTTCTTATTCTAATTAACATTAAAGTTCTGCTCCAGTTATACTTGTGCAGTTTAATGAGTCGTGAAGTGTAATCTTTTGCTAGCATTCTCTAATCATCAAATCCTTAGTCAACGTCTCTTTTGTTCCTGGTGTGTCATTTAATAGCTTTCTTGACAGATTCAAGCTTCAATTGCAAAAGTGGTTCAACGGCAATCGGAAGCACTAGTCAAGAGACGTAATAAGGATACACCACCAGGTGCATTTGTCACAAGGTCACAACGTAATCATAGGAATGTTCATGCTAGGAGACAAAACCATGGAATTGATCAAGGATCAGAAGACAATGAAGAGGAAAATGAAAATAATGGAGAAAAAGACTCATCCTCCACTGATGAGCGGAGCGCAGAACAAAAGAGAAAGCCAAAGAGAGGGACAAGAGTTCGTCCCTCCCAGCCTTCCTCATCAATGGCAAGCCCTGATGGTGGATTTATAGAAAGTGATGTCGATATAATGAGAGAAAATCAAGGAATTTCTTCAAGGCAGCTGTCAAAACCTCAGAAGCGTACCTGGGGAGGGGCTCGTTTTAGGAGTCACACTCGACATGGCAGTGGCAGTGGCAGTGGCAGCTCAAGCAAGAATTCCCGCGGTAGTCGCGTCTCTAAGTTTGTTGATTATTTAAGAAGCTTAGATGAAAGCACAGATGAGGTATAGGATGTTTTTATCCACTTTTGTGTGTGTCTCCTTAGTTAATACATGGGTGATAGGTTTTACTTCTAAATTCTTCTTTTATTGTTTAGTCTAATCCAATGAATTAACTCTAATAGTCTTATTTGCAGTATGATATCCATCTTATGCTTGTTTCTTTGGACAAAGGAAGTATACCAAGTTTGCAGCAGCCACACCTTTGCTGTCGGCCAACTTTGTCTGTCAAGCACCTATGTGAAGTGAGACATCTCTTTGCCTTTACTGTTTTACCATAGTGGTGGCAAAAGTACTTGACTGGCCCCTTTGATCTGAATATTTCCTCTAGTTAATTAGATCAAATAACAGGTATCAACCTTTTGGATTGATTTAAAAAAAAAGAAAGAAAGAAAGAAAGAAAAAGAAAACGCTTTTTGGATTGCTTATGTAACTTAGCCTCTGAAAGCAAGTGCACCCGTTCCCTGAAAATAGTAAACCAGTTGCATGTTAGTCTTTTTATCAACTCGAGGATGTAAGAAGATCTAAGGTACAGATTTGTTAGTTTTCTAAAATAACTTGTGCACTCATTAATTGGATGGCTCTATGAAGGTATCTAGTGATCCAATCATAAGTTTACTCCAAAGAGATGTGTTGGTGTTTTACCAGAAGCTTTTTGTTTTCCTATACTTTCTTATTTATTGCTTCCTTTTTGCACAGTACGTTGCTCGTCAGACCCTGTTACCGGCTGAAGAAGTTGAGATATTGGCGGTTAAAGGATGCTGCAGCGTCATCTGTGATAAGCCAGCTGATGAGACTTCAACCTTTCTAAGTGACGAGCTAACTACACTGACTGTAGATCCCTGCAAAGATGAACTGGAAGTTTTACAAGTACATGAAACTTTGGCAGGGCTCAAGTCCAAATGCATATCTAAAATGGAACATTTGGTGAGTATTCACTATTCAGCGCAATCTAAATCCTCTATATTTTAAGAATTGAGAGAATGTAGTGGATTTAAAAGAAATAGAGAGAAAAAAGTTTATCATTTAGATAAGATGTGAATTTTATATCCTCTGACTGTAACCTTAACAAACAAAAGATAAAATATGATTTTCATATATAGTTGCATTCTTTATATATGAATATAAAGACTCCAATTTGATGGCATTGGATATATGTAATCTTTTCACTATTCTTGTGATGGTTCAAGTGATGTGTAATGGCTGGGTGAGCTAATCCTCTTTCTGCTGTTTCAGATTCTGGCATTCAGAAGGAAGGAGAAAATGTAGCCATGCTTGAACGGACCATTTTGATATTGGGGATGGCATAACTATATTGTACATATAACGTGATCCACCACCAATTGTAGTTGCATTCTCAAGAAAGTGAATCTACAGTATAAATTATAGAAACCTGTTATCATTTTCAAGAATAATTATTATAGAAGGGATTTGTGCATGGCATCATCATCAGAGCCGCTGTCTCTTTTTCTTTGGGATTATTTATATCTGGATACATCTCATAATTAGGATTTTGAAGCATATAAATGTTCTTTCATTAAATGTTTTATAATTATTGTTAAATGTTGATAGGAGGGATTTGGGCATGGCATCATCAGAGCCCTTTTTCTTTGGGATTAATTATTCATTAAATGTTCTATAATTGAGACGAAAATATTGTCGAATGTTGATTAATACTCCCTTGATCTCTCATTCTCCCTCTTTTTCCTCTCCCTTGCTTTTCTCCTCTGCATATTAAATATTGAGTTAAGATATAACATTACTATTATTAGGTTCTTCAGGTGTAAAACTTACACTGACATAAGGAGGTTTTTTTATTGTTTGTACTCGTGTTCTCCTCTGCATGGTATTAAATATTTTGAGTCTATTTTTGGCTAGTTTTTTTATAAGTTACTTCTAACTATTTCACTAAAATCAAGGAAAGGTAATAGTTATATTGTTGATTCTCTTTCAAAACCAAATAAATTTCCCATCTTTCTACTCATTGAATAGTGAGAGTAAAATTGGAGGGAGTACTTGAAGGGTTAAATTGGAAGAAATTTATTAAGATAGGTTGTTAGTGTTATACACAAGAAGTCTTGTATCAAATAAAATCAATATTTAATAATTAATGGACATCCACAAGGTTCTTATTTTTTTATACAAAAAACCAAAAACAACGTTTTCAAAACGAGTTTTTTGGTTTTCACATCAATAAAAAAGAATTGATATTGATTTAACTGGCATTTTACAGTACACAAGTAGTGTGTCGGGTGGGTTCAGGAGTTCTTGAACGCTCGCGACCCACTAACAAATCTAAATCATCTTATACTGGAAGCAGGACTAGATGCCACTCTGCCATTTAAAACAAACTTTCGCCTCTCTTTTCTGTGTATTACACGCAAGTGTGGTGACTTTGCCTTTGTTGCCTCTTTAACCGACCTGTTTATCATTAGGAGTTATTGAGCAAGTCCAATACACACACACACACACACACATAAAAAAGGTAAGAGATGGTTTATATTGACTATACTTTTGGGGAACAAATGGATGGTCAAAATTAGGAACCGGTCTAGCATGGGGAACCAATGTCCGCCTCAACTGTTTTAAGGCCTTCTCTTCCTCGATCTGTATACATTTGCGCAGTCAACATGTCACATGTCTGGTACACATCAACATTTATATTGACATACAATGAAAAAAAGAGAAGCGAAATACCATTCTTGCAGCCTCGCTCTCCTCCCTATACCGCTTGTACATCATTTCCTTCTCCTTGATCTGTACCAACAAATACAAACTCTTAGTATCGTCCAAATCTTCTTGGCTCATTCATTGGAGAATAATTTTCCCATTTGCAATGGACCCCATAAGAAAGCAGTTACCCTTTGATCAAATTCTGCTCTGTCCACTGCTCGATCATTCACACGTAGGTTGAACTCCTGAACTTGCGTAAGGGGTTTGCGAGCCTTCTCAGGAACTGGGATTGGGTCCCTGCACAAGATTAGCATCCAAAGAGGAAGAATAATTCGCTTGTTATTCTTCAGCAACACATGCAAACTAAAAAAAGTAAAAAACGTCTTCAATGTAAAATAGTTATTTCTTACTCTTTTAAGATTGGCTGCGCTCTGAAAATTCTCATTTCGGCCTCTTCTCTTTCTTTTCTTTGCCTTTCTTCCATTTCTCTCTCCATTTCTTCCTCATGTCTCACCAGACTCTCTAGTTGGAATGGCTCTGCTTTAGTACACGGCTTGGGTTCTGGTTTTGGCGGGATCTGCATGTAATATCAGTAAATTTATATTAATAACAGTAGTTTCATTTAACAATTAGAATCAAATTGAGCCAATTAACACAATTAGTACCACAGGATAGTCAGTTGTATAAGGGTATGGATTCGCCTTGGGAACTCGGGTTCTTTCCTCTTCCAACTGTTTCAGTTGAAGTTCCATCAGAAGTCTCTTCTCTTTCTCGGCACCTCTTTCCTGACAAATAGGAAAAGTATGTTGTTGGGAAAGAATTTCTGAAAACCATCCAATTACTGCATTTATATGAAATGGAAATAAATAAACCAACCTCTGTATAGAGATGAAATGGATTTGGTATTGTATTTCTTGGAATTGGGTTCTTATGTGCAGGTTCAGAATTCAATGATAACTGCAAAACAAGAAAATGGTGACTACTTTTTAAGGGGGAAGTTCAAAATATATTTCACATTAGTACGCTGTTATGTTTAGAATTGATTTCAAATTACCTTGTCAAACAGATCAACTACAGCAGAAGGTGGAGGAATCCTTTCATTTGTCGCAAAATGAAATTCTCGTGGTTGAGTGACAAATTTTTTGGTATGACAAAAGATACCAATATCCCCTTTACTCTCAAAAATCTAATAAACAGAATAGGTTCTTGGGTAAGTTAAAGGAATGAAGCTCAGTTTATAACATCATAAATTAACAAAAATACCTTCTTATTTAGAGGCCTCGCTTTAAATTTAGGAACTTTTTCAAGTTCCTCCTGCTCTAATTCCAATGAACTTTTCACCTTAGGTGGGCGGGCCCTTAGTGATGTTTGGAGCAGCGGCGTTTTAGGCTCCGTGAGATGAGGCTTCCATGGTTCCTGATTCACAGAAGGGAAACACAGTGACTGGTTGAGTAGTAATCCAAAGTTAAAAAAAAAAAAAAAGTTTTTTTTTTAAAAAAGTGTAGTGATGTGACGATTTCTTGGCTTCAACAAATACCTGATGTGACGATTTTCCTGAAGCCACTGAAGCTGAATCTGCATTCTGATTGGCTCTAGCTGCTGTTTCTAGATGAAATTCCTGAAAACAAAAGTTGCTTCATTCAACAGCATGGCTAATTTGTTTAAAGTATCGGTTCTCAACTGGAAAGTGCAATTCACCTTGAACTCTGGTGGTTGCGGTGTACTTCTTGGTACAATAGGCACTGTAGGAGCTTGCAAAATCTGCGATGCCAAATTTACGCAAAGGTCAGGACTCGGCAAAGTTCGAGCGTAAAAACTGGAGTTATAAAACGGTTTTAGGACATGTTAGGGCTGTATGACATGTTCTCGCTACTTAGAAGGCCAAACTAGGTTTAGGAAGTTGAGGTTATAGTTGATGTTGAAGTTAAGATTTGAAAAGTTGATTCAGGGTCATGTAGCCATAATTTGGGTTTGAGAAGATTATTTATGTAGTTTGGCAAAATCTGTACTTAAGTCTAAATAAAAATTTATGCTCACAAAACGGTCAGCAACCATGGACCGCGGATGTACCTTCTTATTTAGGGGTCGAGCCTTGAATTTTGGCATTTTAGCCATCATTTCTTCCTCAAGCTCAGAAGTACTCTTCACTTTGATTGACCGGGCTCGTTGAGCTGTCTCAAATTCAGGTTCTTTAGGCCTGGTCAATGTGAGTTTTGGTTTCGTCTGGATCATGGAACCGGCATCTCCCTGAATTAGTGAAAAGAATTTAACAAAAGGAAAACGAGAGAGAAATAAATCAAATTATGGTGGAGGTAATCATAATAAGATCCGTGTATTACTTGAGAATGACCGATATTAACATTTGGCAATGACAAGTCTCTGGTACTTGACTGGAATTTCCTCATCATTTCTGCCATTGATACAAATGGTAAAGATGCTGGTGTCGGCGTTTCACGAACATAAACCTTCATCCAGAGTTCATGGGCTTTTAATCCAAAGTTCAATTAAAAAAAAAAATTAACCAATATTCTTGGATAAAAGCAAACCAACCTTTCTATCCTCCTTGTTTGTTTTACTAGCATTTGAAGAGCTACTGGCGTTGCTTGCGGCTGAACTCAGTTTTGACTTGTGCGGCAAATTTTGAGGTTTGACGTTCAGAATCTGAAATTTTTTAGAGAAAATAAAGTGTCAGTATTATTATATTTTTTGGATAGTTTTTAGTGCATTACTCTATTATGCCAAGGATGTTGATAATTTAAGAACGCAGGATGTTTTAGCCTAATCTACTGCAACTATTTAACTCATTGAAAAGATTCTGCAAAACGTAGCATCAAATATAAGAGAAGCCTATTATTAACCAACTCTTGTCATAACTAATCTTATTTCAAATAACACTTTACTGAGGCAGTAGAAAGAGAGGAAGAATTAAAAAGACCCATCCATTCACTTTAGCCTAATCTACTGTAACTACAGCTTTATTTAACCCACCACCCATTGCACGTATGGTAAACCAAAAAAAATTACAAGTGACAGTGAAAAAGAAACGGGTAAAAGTAGTGACAGTTACCTGTCTTGCTCTTCCTCCTTCCAATTTCTGCCTCTTAATAGCTTGGTTTTCTTGTGATAAGTGGGAGGTCCTAGCGGCACTCTTCGTTGTTGATGACAGTAACTGAGGTTTTGTCTTCGCTGCCGATGATGGTAATTTTGTCTTAAGTGCTGATGACTGTAACTGGGCTTTTGTCTTCAACGCTGATGGATTCTTAACTAAAGCAGCTATCTTTTTAGCTGTTTCTTGCTTCTTGGAAATCGTAGTCGTGACTCTTTTCTGCAATGCTATAGATGGATTGGGTGTACAAGCTTCTTTAACAACTTCAATGGATGCTCCTACAGGATTTAAGCATGCACTCTTCCCTTCAGCATGTGGATGACTTCTTTCCATGTCACCGGAAACCTTGGGGAAAAAAGAAAAAAGAAATACGAAAAAGTGAGAACCAGGAAACAAGATATGAGATTAGGACGATAAAAACTGCATCACAATGTGCCGCGTGAAATTTAAAAGGAATCATGTATATTACCTCATCTTCCCTACAATGTGCATCTTCCTTCAGTTTGTTAATCGTGCATTTTGGCTGATTATTGTCACTTGAGCATGCGCCTTCCCCTTCATAATCATTGCGACTTCTTTCCATTTTAGCAGAAACCTTGAGAAGTGCAATTGATTATAATGAAATAGAGAACCAGTAATCTGGTAAAATGAAAATAAACCGAAAAAGCACAGCACTGAATACCACATCGAAAGCAGTCATGTTGTTTTCCTCTATGACTTCACTGGAAAGTTCACCTTCCTCTACTTCGGCACTCATGCACTGAGGTTGAATGTTGACATCCAAATTATTATTATTATCAGCTTTTAGATCGGTTGACGCTGATGTCTGGTGAAAGCAATAGAAAATCAGCGATGCTAAATAAATAATATTGTGAGTATCGCTATTGAAATGACATTACCTTCTGCATTTTGTTAGCTTCGCTAAAATCACACAAGCTCTCAACAGTAATAGATCTTCCGGTCTTGATTTTTGGCATGAATGCTGCAATAAATTAGAATCCCTAAAAGATCAACCAAATAGTTTTCCCATACGAGAAGCAGGAAAGCAAAGAAATGCTGCTCTAAAGCTCAAGCATCTTCGTAAAAGCGCAAGAATTTTGTGTGCATTCTAGGGATAGATAGAAGGTATAAAACATCGTTTGTTTTGGAAAATCTGCCCTCAATCAAACAGTCAGTGAAAGCAAAGAAAGTAATCACACCATCACTTTACTCTACCAATTCGAGCAACGAACCAACCGAACTTGAAGAAAAGAAAATTCATAAGGTGAATTCATAAATCAACCTTCATTTCAAAATGAATGAAGCTAACCTAAATAATTCAACATCCGAGACAAAAGAGCAACAATTTTGAACTAAAACCCTAGAGCTTTCAAGAAAATTCAATTCAACCGGAAACAGAGAAAGAAGCACCAAATTTAGGGTACCAATAAATATAATACAGGAAAAAGGTTGCAAGAGAAGAACCGTACGAGAAGGCGCGTAAGAGAGAGCAGTTTCAAACCAGAGTTCTGCTCTGCTCGTGTCCTCCTCGGACTCCGACTTGGTAAAATCGAAGAAGCGTGGTGCCGAGAATTCATATGTCTCGTCGATCATCGTGATGGCGCCGGTGATTTCCTCCGCGACCGCCATTTTCAGATTCAGTTATCCGTCTAAGACTTCACTGCTTTAAAAGAAGAATCAGAGGATCTTCGCGGCTTATGGAGACTGCAGGAGAAGGTATGAGAGATATGAGTCGACGGAGAGATTGTAACGTTTAGATCTCCAACGGTCGAAAAAATTGAAAATGGGGCCAGCTCTCTTAACGGTATAAGTAGCGCGGTATCTGTCCAAGGGCAAAAGAAACTTGCCAACGGATATTTCAGTATTTCTCCCTTCTAACGCTCCATTACAACATAAAACGCTGTCGTTTTGAACTACCCGGGCTTAATTTTTACAGTCAAAGCTGTCTGCATAACGTGGCAGTCTTCTATTGGTCATTGAATTTATTTCACTACATGTTTATGTTTTTCGCCTAAACTTTGGAAACATGTAATACTCCCCAAGATCAGCAAAGCTAAACAAGATAGAGAAATGAATAAATTATTTATAAACTTCTTGTTCTGAATGCTGCACAGTGTGACAATAATTAAGATTAAATTGAGAATTTTCCCTTGAAGAATAACTAAGCAACATAGTGTCTAACATATTTGATCATATCAACTTTTAAGAGAATCAACGTTCTTGTTGTTAATTAGAACAATTTGAACTTTTTAGTTATAGAATAAACCTCAATCTTCAAAAGTCAAGCTCAAAGATCAACATGAATGTCCTCTTATATCAACCTGTATATCAATAGTTGAACAGTATTTTATAAGCAAAAAAATGAAGCTTTAATTTATCTAAAATCATATCGATAACATGTTATAGACAATTTTATTTTCCTAGTTTGAACAGATTAATTGATCTAAAATCATCATCAACCTTATAATCATGCTCCTAAAGTATCAATGATAACTAAAATTGCCTATACATACAAGCAAGTGGTGTGGTATAGATAGTAGTGATTTAAACCCCTTAAATATTATTCGAAAGTTCAATTTTTAAAGTTGTGAATGAAGAACATTGCTTAGTAGAGCTAGAAAAATAAGTTGAACCCACATTTTAGCTTCTTTGACCTGCAAATTGGGCAAGTTGGATTAAAGAAATTGGCTAATTTTTTAAAATCAATTGGCCCATTTAAAAAAAAAATTCTTGCTCGCAATATAGCTTATAACAAATCTACAATAATAACAATATTTCTCAAATCTATAATTTATAACTCTCAAATATGTTTTTCTCATTTGAAAGATAGTGTAAATCTTTTTTATAATTTGCAAATGAATTTTTTACCATAATTTATAAATTGATGATTTATTAGTTTTTATAAAAATATTTTGAATGTATATTATTTTTTAATCTCATAAAATTCATTATTGATAGAAATAATAAATATGAATGAATTTGTTGAGAAAAATAGTATCAGTTTATGTTCAAGTATTATTTTTCAGTGAGAAAGATAATGTATCAAGGGAAGATGATGGTTAATAGTATAAATTTAGCAAAAAGTTTTTAATATTTTGACTTCACTTTTCTGTTTAATTCATAATCCACGGAAACCAAATAAAAATAATATCAAAAGTACTTTTAAATTTTTTTGTGATGCCAAAATATTTTTAATTTAATTCCTTTTCTTTTATCAATTTCATGCCTTTTTTTTTATTTTTGTCATTCAAACTTACTTTTAGTGGGACATCCAAGTCAAAAAGGTTTGGATTCTAAAATTTTTTTAAAGTATAGTGGCCTTTCAAGAATGCATAATAAATTGTTTTAGATTTAGATAGATGTTAGAACAATTGAATTTGATATAGTGAACCCAAAATTAAAAAACATACATTTGGCCAAAATAATGTGAGTTTGTTTCAAAGTAATAAAAAAAATAAATCCTATTATGCGGGATTTGTCCAATCGGACTTAGAGAAGTGATTTAATTTGAATACACACACATATGCTGATTGTAAATTTTAAATAGAAAAAAAATAAAAAAATTAAAGTTGTATTTTTTTAGTCCATTTATTTGCCAGGCTAACCCAATCTAACCTGTCAAAACTCCAACTCACACAGGCTAGCTTGTAACCCATTTGTCCAACTCTATCACTTAAGATAAGACAATCATTTAAATAATGCTTAGATCTTTTAAAAAATTAATTTCATGATAGATAAGTGAGAGGAAATTTTGAGAAAAAATGATTATACGCACAGCAATAAAAGTTGATATTCTTTTTTCTAACCATATGCAAGCATGGGAGTCAATATAAAGCGAACTTAAATCATGGTACACTTGTAAGTGATAAATTCATCCCCAATTTATCAAAGAGTATAGAAAAAGTACAACAAAAATAATCTCCCTTATAATATCTCTAGCTATTTGGATCTACGATTCTCCATTCTCTAAATGCTTCAATTATTAACTTAGTTCTTCAAGTTTAATTTTAATCGATTTGATTTCTTACATTTTTTTAAATTATTATGTTAGTTCTTAAGATTTAAAACACAAATTAAATATCAAATTAATCTAATATGTAAAGTATAATAATAACTTGACATGTATATAAAGTTAAATGAGAATAAATTATTCATCAAATCTATTTAATTTTTATCAATATAATCATTTGGGTTGCATTTTGTTCTTTAAAAAAAAATTGAGTTTGTTTTTTCCTACTTAAATAATTACGTTTTTTTTCATTAATTTACATGACTAATATTAATATTTCCTTATCCATGTTAGTAAATTTTAACCATGCTATCTTCTATTTAAATAATAAGGACCAAATGATAATTAAGACAAATTTAAGAGACTAAATCAATAAAAATTAAACTTATGGGATCAAATTGATAATTAAGCTAAATTTGAGTGGTAAAAGTTTCATTATTTAACTATTTAACTAAACAGCTTTAATTGATGAACTTCATTAAGGTTAATTTTAAAATTTTAAAAATATTATTTAATTTTAACTGAATTCTTTAACTTTTATAAAATTGGTAATATATCTTTATAATAAGAATTATATAAAGTTTAATTGAGAGCTGATTGGTTTAATCAATTGAGTGAGTTAAGTTAGCTTATTTTAGTGTCTCAAATTTAATTTTTAAAATATATTGTCGCGTTAAATAAATATGATAAAATCATTCCTTAAGGTTATCCTCTTTTTTGGTTACATAAGTATCTTTAGACAATTATATTTAAAATACTATTGAACATTAAATGTAAACAGGATTCAAATCATGATTTGTCGTGCTATAAGGAATTAGTTCTCTCCATTAAATGCAATCCCTGTTCATATGACTGCCACCTGACATAATAAACTTATGTTATAAGGCCTTGTTAAATTTTTGTTCTTTATCTATTACTCCCTCCAACCCTTTTTTATAAAATCCTATTAATTACTTTTTTTAAGATTAAGAAACTTAATTAAAATGTTAATTAAATGTCAATTTTCAAAATCATCCTTAATCCAAAACTAAAACCATTCGTTAAGCTAAGAATGAAAGGAATAGGGGCATTTTTGAACACGTGTTATTAATATTTTTATTAAATTTTATAAGAGCTCTTATTCTTATAAATAAGGCAGAAAGATTTATTTAATATTAAAAAAAGCTATCCAAGTCAAATTATGCGTGGGGAAGTAGGCCAAAACTGCTTCCAGAATGTTATAATCAAATTAAATTACTAAGGCCCAATCAGTTACCTAGTGGCACCAAAATATATCTACTCGAATCATTTTGGGCATACTTTAATTTAATCACAATAAAGTTTGGTACAAATACAATGCATTCTCTATAGAGACAAATCACTAGCTTTGCAATGGAAAATCACGTAGTCAACAACAGACAACCGAGCAATATAATATCATTATTGACAATTTCACCCATATTAATTTATATTGGATAATTAATTGGTGTGAAATTGTGGCACATCAATAAAGCAAGTAGTGGTTTTTCTTTTTCTTTACTCTCGTTGATTCTCAACCCAAGCGTGTGCTTTTTAAGACAACTAGTTAATCAAACCAGGCATGATACATCTACCAATAATTCACCATTTCTTTTCCCTTTCTAATTTTACAGCACTTTAACATTATTTAGTTTTGTCTCACATATAGTATATAATTAGTTTAATTATATTTACATAAATTAATATGTCTTTTATTTATGAATCACGTTTTCTGGTCTCCTTAATGGATTTTTCCCATCACAAATAATTTCATCATATGAGACGCACATGATTGAATTATATGATCAGATCACTTTTTTTAACCTTTTTTAGTAATCATATGATTGAATTTTGTGTGTGAAAAATTAGTCATGTTATTCATAGTCCATGAAAAATTTATCCTGTCAGAAATTTTATATTATATATGGATATAATAGCAAGAACGTATTATTCATAACAGGCGTAGGAGTACTTTCCGCTTTTATTACATTGGATCAAAAAAGAGTTCTTATTAAAAAAGATACACTTCAAAAAATAAAACATGTTATTTATTAGCAGACTCGACAATCGAATCTGACCCACTAAAAATGTTATATGTATATTAAAAGAAAAAAAAAAGACATGAATGAATGAGAGCCATACGATGCCATTGATGGTTCAGATCGTTGCAATTCAAGGTAGCCAGGTGGTAATGAATGCTCGCCGGAGGTGAATGTGATCCACTCTCGCATCATGTCGCATGCTTGTGTCCACACTCCTTTCCTTCTTTCTTTCATTTTTTGTTTTTATTTTGTCGGTGGAAAGCTTCTTTCTTTAATCTTTATCACTTTTAATTTATTAGAAGTACTCCCTTCGTTTTTATTTATTAAAAAAATTAACCTTTTTTAATTTATTTTTATTATAAATAAAAATATATATTTTAATAAATATTTATTATAAATTCTCTAAATTATCCCTCATAGTTTACATTAATGAGAATAAATTAATACACACTTATAGCGATTAACGCAGGGTATTCTAGTCTAATTTGTTTATCTTCAAATATAATTATTATAGTTAATTTATTTTTTTAAACTATGTGATGTAGTTTTTTTTATATATATAGAAATCGAGGGAGTAGCTCTTATCTACAAATAATTTTTTTTAATATGAGGCCACCTTGCAAAAAATATATTACTTTATATCAAAATTTAAAAAGGATTTACATGCAAGAGAAGTATAACGTCCTGAAGAATTTAGTCTCTAATTAGTTGATTAAATGAAGTTAATTAAGTAAATTAATATGGTGTGTGGTTACAGAAAGTTAATGAATGTTATGAGTTGTGATTTTAGCCCTATAATTGAGTTTAGGGCAAGGTCAGGCAACCTGAACATCAAAAAGTAAGAAAAACAAAAAGATGGCTCTATGTCACTTGCTTTGGTGTGTGCAAGAGATGTCATGGTGTATGGGCCATCAGGACGCAAGAATCCCCTGTTTGTTCTACGTGTTGCAGCATGTGGTATAGGTGTTGTGGTGCATGGTACATTCTTTGCAAAAATAAGAACACGAAATTGATGCAAAACAGGAAAGAAACAAAAGAGGAAACAAAGGAAACTTGAGGAGTTCTGCTAGGGCTTAGGATTTGGGAGCCTTAGGAGTATTTTGAAACTCCTAAATATTAGAGATAAGTTCCCTAAACTTAAATTTCTCTTCCTCTGTCATTTTTCTTGAATTAGGAAGTTAGGGTTTAGTTGAGAAATAAGATTTTCAGTTCATAGAGGTTATAATCCAAACCCATTAACTTAAATAAAGTTAATGAGAATTTTTTAAGTTATGTAAATCTAGCATTTATGACTCCATGCATTTTTGGTAGTTGAGAGCCATAAATAACCGAAATTTCACCATTAATGAGGTGGTTGGGGCAATATGGCTCAATTAATGGTTATTTAGGAGTTTAATTAAGTTAAAAAGAGTTAGAAGAAACTAATAAACTCTATGGATACCTTTATATATGAGGAAATTGAATTGTGAAAATGTTAAAATGTAGAGATAGAAACTAAAAATTATCTAAAAAGGGATATTAATGACTTATATTGTAATTGAATATAGAGTGATTGCATTTGACACCATTCAAGCTTTGTGGAAGTTTTAAAAGTGTGTATTTGAGAGGTAAAGCCTTTGACCTCTCAAAGATTTGAGATAATTGAGAGAAAATTTTTCTTGTGTTTGTGTGTGTTAATTAATTTATTAATTTAAATGTTACAATTGAAGTGTGTAAAAGTATTTGAGATATAAGTATGGCATGAGTTATTTGAAAATCATATATTATGTTTTGTGAAGTTCAATAAATTAGTGTTTGCAAAGTTCAATGACATACTTAGTGTGGAGTTTTATGACACAACATGTGTGGAGTTCAATGGTATAATACTTGTGGAGTTTAGTGATGAGTTGACTGTGGAGTTCAATAATATGTTAATTTTGGAGTCTAATGATGTGATATGAGATGGTAGAGTTTGATGATATGGTTGTAGGGTTCAATGATGCGATATTTGAGGAGTTTAATGATTTGTTGTTATGTATTATGTGATAATAATTAGGTGTTTTTTGAGTACAATGATAGTATCGAGCATGCCTGTAAATTGAGTATTTTTCATGTTAAGGAATTATGCATTTTAAGCATTACATAATCATGAGAGGTCACAGTTCACCTAGGAAGATGAGTAGAGTTTAAAATCCATGTGGTAAGGCTTTCATCAGAGTTCGATGGTTTACTTATATTTGTTTATACTTATCGTGCCACTTGTTCAACAAAGGATTTGAACCTAACTATTTTTTCATTTGTTTAATGAGGAAGCTAGTTTAGAAAAAATGACACCCCACAATTTGATTTTTGACAGAAATCGTGACTCACAAGTGAGTTAGGCAATCTTAGCTGAGTAGCCCTAGGGTAGTCTCATCTTATAAACAATGTCAGTGTATTATAACCCACTATTTCATGTCAGAGGTATAAGGAAGATATAAAGAATGTGTGATTATGTATATTGTGATAAAAAGGACACATGATTATTTATATTGTGACCCTTATGATGAGAACGAGTGATTAGTGTTATAAAAATGTGAAAATGAGATATTGTGTTATCATTCCATGATTATATGCTCGTAATGATATAAAGTGTAAATATATCTTTGAACATGTTAAATTGACTTGTGAATATCATTCATTGACACCTGTATTTAAATTGATTGACATGAATTAGTTTAAGTTACATAAACCTTAGTTACTAAGTGATTATACTCACTTCTTTCTCTTCAATATTACAGGAGCTAGTTTCACAAAACAAAATAAGAGGAAACGATTTGAGGCATAGGATTACTGTCCTATCTGTAGGCCTCATTTTTTTTTATTATTATATATAACCTTGCAAGATATTACCAACTAAGGAAGTTCATATTTTTGACTTATTTGCACTATGAGATTGTTAAATTATTTTGTGTATTTTAAGCTCCAAGATTTATATCTATTCATTATGAATTTTAAAAGTGGGTCAAAATACTAGTGCAAGTGAGAGGTGAGCAAATATATAATTTATGTTGATTTGGTATAATGCTGAATGAAATTGTGGCTCCCCCTTTTGTTTTAGTATTTAAGGGGTTGAGCATTGAAAATATATTCTTAGAATTTCAATTTTTCATGGAAATTTTTTTATTATTATAAGATGTCAGTTAGTAATAATCTAAAAGTGAAATTAGGATATTAGATTATACCTGAAATAGAAAGTTTAGGTATTTGAGAGTTATTATTCAACATAATAAGGAAATTGAATGGGGTATTGCATATATGATACGAGCTAGGTGATTTAATTAGAGAAAGATTGAGTTATTTTTAATCATAAAGTACCTAATAAATTAAAAAAAAGTTTTATCAAACTATTATAAAATCAGTTCTATTATATGGTAATGAATGTTAAGCTTTATTATGGCAATAAAAATATAAAGTTGGAGTAGCAAAGATAAGAATGTTAAAATGAATGTACAGATATACACTTAACGATAAAATCTGAAATGAGCACATCCGTGAAAATGTTAGCGTAGCACCTATTAAAAGGAAAATGATAGAAAATCATTTGATATGATTTGGACATATACAAAAAAGACCGCATAAGGCACCAGTGAAGAAAGTGAAACTGATAACTTTAAGCCTTATTAAGAGAGATAAAAGAAAGTCAAAGAGAATACATTTAAAAGTTGTTAATCGACATTTCTTAATTAATAATATTTTTAAAAACTTGATATATGATAAATTATAATGGCATCATATATAATTTATATAGCCAACCTCACTCAATAGAAAAAGGCTTGATAATGTTGTTAGATTACTGATAATTAAGATTACTAAAAGGATGGTCATTAGAAAAGTTATGCCGGATGTGTGACAAAACTTTGACCTGAAAAGATGTTGACTTTAGCAAGCTATTTGCTAAAAAAAAAGAAAAGAAAATAATATATCTCGCTATAAGTGAAAGGTTGGTACCTATTTATGATAAAAATAATTCAGATAGAGTTCAGTCAGGTGAGGGGGAGAGAGACTGTAACTTTCCCAACAACCAAACTTATTATCAATATTTTGAAACTCGAACCGGACATCGAATCGAAAAAAGCAACGGATCGCGATTTTTATGATCTAATCGGTTAGACCGGCGATTGAATCAGTGACATAAAAATTAAATAAAAAATAAAATTTATATGCACAATTATATAAATAAAATATTAATTTGTCGATAGTGCTTGGAATCTCAACTCTAAAAGCTAGATGCTGGGATCATTGGAGCTAGAGGTAAAGGCATGTCAGTACAAGCTTGTGATCTCAAAGGAAAATGTTAGAACTGGAGGCATGCTGTTATCTCATAACTCACAAGCTTTCGATCTCGATACTAAAGATTGGATCTTTAGAGCTGGAGGCAGATGTTGGAGGAAAAGTTAGAGATTGAATTTGGGCCATGAAGGAGATATTAGAGATTAGAGAAGAGAAGAAAAGAGAGAATTAGTGATTAGAGAAGAGAAATTGTGGATTTAAGCAACTCAACCTAAATTTCTTTTTTTTTTTGTAATTTTTTTGGCTTTGAATCGGGTTGACCTGGGTCCGGTTTCCGGGTCAAAGCCGGTTCTCTCAAAATCGGCCTGTTCAATTCGAGTCAACCCGAGTCAAATGTCAGATTGATTCAATTGATTGAACCGGATCATTTTATTCAGCGGGTGATAGTCGGATCGTCCGGTCTGGTCTGATTTTCACAACATTGCTTATTATATATTATTCACAATATATTAAGTATAGTAATTTTTTAAAATTATTAGGCTAGTTAAACTTGGATTTCAGTAAAACAGTGGGAAGGACAAGTGGGAAAGAGGATTTGTTAATAATGGAGCGGAAGTGGAATAATAGTAAGAAAAGATTGACGTCGTCGGCAGACGAGTATGCGCTGTTTGAAAACGACTCGGTCTCCACAATAATACAAATTAAAGAGAAGTTAACACTATCAACTAGTTCACGTGCTTAAAAGTCAAAGTTCCATTTTTACATGTCCACTCTTAATTTCTCCGTCATCTTCTCTTCCTTTCTATCCCTGTCTGAACTCCATAGTCTGAGCTGTTGTCGTCTGGGAAAAAATAAAAATCAACATGAATGGCAGAGAAATCCTTCAAAAGATGAAGGTAACTGGAAATCAATACCTTCATTTTCGTTCGTGAAGCTTAAGCATGATCAAATATTTCTGATTCCTGTGAACTAGAAAAAGTGGTCTCCCTTTCCTGTCTCTGCAAATTTAGCAGTTTTCTGCCCATATAAGCAATTGGGTTGTAAAGATTGAAACTTTCTTGCAGGTGAAAGCAGGGTTCGGAACATCATCAGGAGGTGACCGAGGTAAAGGAAAAGGCAAAATGTTAAAAAACATAACACATGGATTTCACCTGGTGAAGGGGAAATCAGCTCATGCTATGGAAGACTATGTAGTTGCAAAATTCAAGCAAGAGAAGGACAAGGAATTAGGGTTGTTCGCAATATTTGATGGCCATTTAGGCCATGATGTTGCAAGCTATTTGCAGAACAACCTTTTCGACAACATCCTAAAACAGGTACTACGTCGCACGTATTTACCTGAATGTCACTGCGATTCACGCAAGTCGTTCTCTGATACTATTTCGCTTGTTTGGTATGGTTTTCATCTCACAATCACGATGACGAATTTTAATTGTGGTGGGAGCAGGAAGACTTCTGGACTGAAACAGAAAGTGCAGTGAAGAGAGCTTACCTTATAACAGATGAGAAAATATTGGAACAATCGTTTGAGTTGGGACGAGGAGGATCAACCGCCGTAACTGCAATCCTTATCAATGGTCAGAAACTTGTAGTGGCAAACGTTGGAGACTCTCGAGCTGTTATTAGCAAGAATGGCAAGCCCAAGCAACTATCCATCGATCACGAGCCAAGCAAAGAAAAAACGATGATCGAGAGCCGTGGTGGTTTCGTCTCAAACATTCCAGGTAGTTTTTACAGGTTTATCTCTCGGATTCTGTCCTGTATAGGACATAAGTGGTACTGTGAAATTCTGTTTGTCCGTTGCAGGAGATGTGCCTCGTGTTGATGGAAAGCTTGCTGTAGCGAGGGCTTTTGGTGATAAGAGCTTAAAGATGCATCTTAGTTCTGAACCTGATGTGGTTGTGGAGACGGTAGAAGAAGACACAGAGTTCCTAATCCTGGCAAGTGATGGAATATGGAAGGTTAGCTTTCTAATTCTCACAAGAGTTTGGAGATCGATACTCAATGGAAATTGAAAATTGAAATCCAGAGAATCATTCAATATATGATTTTATGGCCTGGATTTATGTAGTAGCTTAATTAACTGACAAAGATTATTGTGTTCACTGAAAGGTGATGACAAACCAAGAAGCAGTGAATTGTATCAGAAAAGCAAAGGATGCTCAGGCTGCAGCCAAGCGTTTGATAGAAGAAGCTGTTGCTAGGAACAGTAAGGATGACATATCCTGCATCATTGTCAAGTTCCAATAGTGACACAATAATTTCTTGAATAAGCCAATGCAATCTGATCTTGAAAGTTACCAGAGGGATGGACTATATAAGGATGATGGGGGTATAATGTTTCCACGCCAACCCATTGGGTCTCAATGATCAAATCGAATCAAATGTTGTTTTACTTTTCCCTCAAGGTTCTTTGAAGACGCTTACTGTTATTATAATGTATGTTCTGTAATTGTATAAATATCATATTACTTGCGGTTTATTTATAACTTGTTTCTTATAAATAGGCCTGGAGATAATAATATCCACTGTTTAAACAAGCAAAATGATTAAACGATTACCTATTTTTGTTAGGACTTTAGGTTTAATAGTTTTTCATATGAAATCAAATGCGTGTATTTGTAAGGTAAATTTTGGGGTGGCTATCCTTTGTTACCTATGATATGATTCAACCATACCATGTTCTTGGGAAGCTCATTGAAGATCAAAGCATTTTGTGTTGCATTATACTTGTATCTTACGGAACAGAGTGATGTTTGCTGCATTTTGTGTTCCTCAATTTAATGAAATGAAGCGTTTTGATAATTTAACATAAAATAAATGACTGTTTGATGTTAGTTATAGAAAGAATCTCAGTTATTAAAAATGAAAGTTGGTAAAAGGAAAAAAAAATTGAAATTGATTGGCTGGAGATCCTGACAAGGGTGTTCCTCACTGAGCTCACCCCATGGCGTGATTCCCCGCTGCAGGTCACGTATCCAGTTGCATTTTTATTTGCATTTTTGTCCGGTGAAAGTGGCTTTGTCCAATTTAACGCCCCAGACTTGCAATCAGACTGTTGAATGGGCCTGGCTTTTTATGTTTTTCCAGGATTTGGGCCGAAACCAATTCCATGAAGACCTTGAATTTGACGTAACAGATTTTTATTGAAGGCTATAAAAGCTACGACATTGAGAACAATTCAAAAACACCTTGAAGATTATAACAATTCCACGTAATAATCCACAAACAAAAACGACAAATGGTTTACTTTTTGAGCTCCCAATTTTTTTTTAAAAATTATGTCTAGTTGCTGCAGAATAAATTTATTAACAAATACATCTTGTAAAATTTAGAAATTATAGCCAAATTTCTTTTGAATCTGAGTGTAATTTAAAATTGAGGTGCAAAGACAATAATATTTTAAATAATTTAAAATTACTTTATTATAATTGACAACTATAATTTTAATTTTTTATAGGTACAATTTTAAATATTTAATAATTAAACTGATCATGCTATTAATATACAATTATCACTCCAATAGTTTACAACTATAATTCACATATCTAGTAGTTAATATATTACTAAAAGTTTAACACTAATTATACACAACAGTCACAAATAATTTAAAACTATCACTTCAATATTTCACAACTACCTCATCAATAATTCACAACTATCATTTTAATATTTCACAACTACTTTATCAATAATTTACAATTATCACTTTAATATTTTATAATTATAATTTTACATATTTAATTGTTAAACCGATGAACTGTTACTAACCACTTTATCAATAATTTATAACCATCACTTCAATTTTTTTACAATCGTAACTTTACATATTCAATAGTTAAACTCATCATTGGTTACAAGTTTAATACTAATTATACACGATAATCACATAAATAATTTATAACTATCACTTTAATATTTCATAACTATAGCTTCACACACTATAATAGAGAAGGCCTTTTACATTAGCTTGTTGGTTAATGTGCTGCCACTCAGCCCACAAATTGCAAGTTCAGACCAAAAGAAAAAGCCTTTTACAATAGTTAAAAAAATACTTTTCACATTGGTTTATCAATTGGTGTTATTACATAGAGTTTAGAAAGTTTATTTTCTACTTCAAATATAAAAAATAATATAGAAAATACATTAAAATTTAGAAAAAATAATTATCAGCATATTTTCTACATCAATCAGGGAGCTTAACCGGTACATTGATTAAACCCTAAACCAGTGTAGAATAACCATGTAGAAAGTCACATTTTTTAAGGTAAAAAAAGGTAAATTTTTTCGAATTGTCCTGCAATTTCAAAAAACAAACCCTTATTTTATTATAATTACATAAATTCTAATAAATTTCATAATAAATTGAATAAATTATAATAATTAATAGTTTTATTGACATTTTCAACGTTTAAAATACAATAAATTTTTAACCAATAAACAATTGCATTGCTTGGATTGTCAGTTTCACCCTCAATTTTTTCTATGCACCACTACAAAGCTTATAATTGCAAACATCAGTGTTGTCTTTCAGTGCTATCTCCAATAACAAGTACCGTGTAAACCGAGTTTGTAATCCATAGTCATCAAAACCAAGTTTCAAGGCAAAAAACACATACACATGATACAAGTTAAGTAAGAAAAGCATTCTTAATTGATAATAACCTAGTAAAATACCTTCAATCAAGATTCACAGATAGGAATATTTATCCAGCTAGTCTGCAAATTCCAAGTTGCTTGTATGAAACAACTGAAAAGGCACAAAATCACCTTTATCCTTCCTTCCAATATAAATCTAAATAGAACAAACCAGATAGACTATAAATAATGTATTTATAATATCCTTTGGCATAAATATAGGGATACGTTCGCTCTCAGAATTTACATGGATGCTAATTCGAAAGTCAGAATGTATTGTACCATTAATTTTAAACCCATGAACAACATCAGCTACAACTCCCAACAAAAAAAAAATCATTTGCTATGAACATTTCGCATAAATAGGAAGCTAACATAGCAAAAGGATCAATATTGCAACTTGCATAACGGGTAGTGCCTGTTAAATTTTTGTTCCCTCTGGATGAGTTTATCAAGGTAGAAAGAAACCAAGATGAGCAATGATCATCTGGGTTGTTAAACTAATGAAGTGTATATATATCTCGAACGAAAGATATATATACTTTAAGAGAATGAGATTTAAGTTTTCTGTAAGAAACTTAATTTTAGTTAATCTCTCAAATTATTGAATTGAAATACCCTTTAAATCTATAGATATTTTAATAAAATTAAAGATTAAAGTAAATTTATCAAAATGGCTTTAATTTTTTGAAAATAAAATCTTTGTCCCTCAACCACGGCCGACGATCTAAGCTTCGAAGCGACGTTAAATTAATAATGCATTATTTATTTATTTTTTTGTAACGTAAAACAAGTGAGGACTATTTATATTTATAATTTATAAATTTTATGAAAAGCGCTGGCTCGAAATTTAACAACTTGGTGTGATCTGGAATTTTCAAAATGACCCAAGACCAAGAGTGGAGTAAACCAAATTATTCTCCATGCCGAGAGATACGTCAACACGCCCCTTATAACATACTAACACGTGGCTGCTGCTGCTTCTTCTTCTTCTTCTTTTTATCAAGAGCTTCTACTAGCACGTAGCTTGAGAAGTCACATGAACAGACGAAGTTTTCGATGTGGAATTATATATTCATTATTTTATTCGGCTTCTTATTCTTTATAATCAAAACGTTACACGTGCCCTACACTGCTTCCCGCAATCAATGCTCCCATCGCCACGTACCCTCTCTTGCATGTCTGATGATGCCACGCGCTCATTTCTTGTCCATCCGGGATCCGATTCTTTTGACATCAAAGTAATTTAGTTAAAACAATACTAATTTAAAACGTATTGATCTAATTATGATTAAATAAAGAACGAATTGACGTATTTTTAAAATTTTATATATTTAAGATAAAAATTACAGGGAGATTGCCATTAAAGACTACAGGAATGAAATAAACTTAAATAAGAATTAAAAAATTTGAAAATTTAAAATAAAGATCAGAGGTTTTTTTACTGAACTATTCAAATGTTCGCTTATCTCATTTCATTTTGCAACCTGCAGAGAAAAAAAAAATTTCAAATAAGATTGATTAATTTGTAAAAGAAAAACTTGTTAAATATATATAATTATATATATATATATATACACACACACTTAGAAATAGTTTTCCTTTACAAATTAAAGAGCCTTGCTTGTAAATTTGTATTTTGAGGATTGTAAATAACCGTATGAGACTAATTTTTTTGTTTAAAATTTGTTGAATTTTATGTGTAAATTCTCTTGTTTTTCGTAGTTACAAATCATGAAATGAAAGTAGTAAATTTTAAAACTATTTCATTAATTAAAATATCTTTACTCCTTATTTTAGATTGCCAAATTTTAAGACTATTTTCAAATCTTTTTTAATTAATAGTTGATTTAATTAATCAATTCTCAATCGATTTTTTAAACTAAATATTCGGGAATATTTCAGATTAATTTAGAATTTGACTCGTTATAGTTCATTTGTTTTGGGACTGACTCGTTAATTCATTGATCAAATGGATGTGTTCAGTCTAATTTTGACAACCATGATCAATGTATGTAGAGCCAGGAACAAGAGCAACGAGCCACTCATTTAAGCATGCTTTTTTATTTTACCCTTGAAAAATAAATTTTTTTATTTTCAAACTATATTCAAACTTTAAAATATTTATTTATACTTTAAACTTAGAATTTCTATTATTTATTTTTAATTTTTAAACATTATAATTTATATTTTAAAAAAGAATATAAAATGTTGTAATAAAAAATTTTAATTTTTAAAAATAAAAAATAAAAAAATAAAAAGAGTTTACAAGCCCAACATTAAATATTTTAAATGAAGATTGAAATTGAACCTTAAAAAATGATTGATTTTAGATAAGCAAGTTTATAAACTTGAGCTCACCCGTCGCGATGTAATGACTTTCTAACTTTTTGGACACGGTTAATAAATGCAAGTGCCAGTCTAACTTCGATTCTTGGCCTCGTACCGTGGTCGTTGTTGTTGAGTTTTGCCCCACTTTGAAGGGATGAATCCATAGGCTGCTATTGATGGAAGCCACCGGCTTAACTAATCAAATGCAGATGTTGGAGTTGTCTTTGGAGCCTTCTTATAGTGATTTTTTTTTTTATAATATCAAGTCTAGATGAGTTCCATTTTTTAAATTATATCAACTCATTCAATTAAATATATTTTAAAATAAAAAAATTTCAAACTTTGTCCCTATTAAAAATAAGAAGAGAGAGATACACAATATACAATAAGTCATACAATTAAATTTATAATAAGAATAAAATTGAAAAGTAATAATAAATGACCCTCCATATTAAGGAATAAAGATTTTTTTTTTCAAAAATTGTGCAATATATAGGTCCTATTGAGCAAATTTATTTACAATTAAATCTTGCGAAATTTAAAAACATAGTTAGATTTCTTAAGACTTAAGTATAATTTAAAATTAGGTTGTAAAGATAACACTACCTCTATTAGACATACATTATATCAATTAAATAATTAATTTTTAACTACTCTATCAACAATTTACAAGTATAATTTTAACTTTTTATAATTGTAATTTCATATATATAATAGTTAAACAATTATGAGTTATGAACAAAGCTTGATATTAATTTTGTACAACTAATTCATCAATAATTTACAATTATAATTTCACATATTCAATAATTAAATTGATTAGTTTAATTATTGAATATATGAAATTATAGCTGTAAAAAGTTAAAATTATGATAGTAAATTATTTTATTGATATAATGTATATATGTTTAATAAGAATGTTATTATCTTTTTACCCCAAATTTAGATTACAGTCAGGTCCCGAAAGACCTATTTGTGATTCTTGAATGTCACGAGACTTATTTATAAATAAGTTTACTTCATAGGATCTATATGTGATTTTCCTAATATTAATTATTTGTCTACAATAAAATTTTCAATAATTTTATTTTTTTGATATTAAATATCATTTAATTAGTGAAAATTTTATCTTCCATTCTTGTTGCAAAGCCTTGCTTTTATAATTTTTATAGTTGAAAACACCCATTTTGATGGTTGTCATTGACATTGGAAGAAATTAGTACAATTCTTAATAAGAGTTAATATACAATTTGAATCATAAATTATAAATTTAGGAGTAATTTGAACCCTAAACTTTAAAAGATATATTTTAAATATTAAACAATTACAGTTGGGGCAATTTTACCTCTGCCGTTAACTTTCAATAAAAGTTTGTCAACCTGGGGTCTAAGGTGTAATTTTTTTCTAAATGAATTTGATGAATGTTTGTTCAAAGTTAACGGTAAGGGCTAAATTGCTCTAACTTTAATTATTTAGAATTTAAAATATACATTTTTAAAGTTTAGCGTTCAAATAACTATTAAATCTTTAGTTCAAAATCTAAATTACATATTAAACTTTTTTAATAATGTCAATCGAAGGATAAAAATTTAACTTTACTTTTCAACCTCTATGAACTTTTGATATAATTCACTCATGTACAATAGTCAAGTTATTAAAATTAGAATTTTTGAGCACATCAAGCTCATTGTGTTGTAATTAATTCTATTCCAATCAAGTTTTTTTTTTATTTGAAAAATCAAAAGAGTAACATTTTTCAACAAGATTATGTAAGTTTTTAGAATTAAATGATTTAAATACATAATTGAGATTTAAAGTTGTGCTCAATTTAAGAAGATTTGTTACTTGCTCACTTAATCTATTATTTAATTCTTGCAATTGATAATCCATGACAAATTAAATATATCAACGTGACAGTGATACTTAATTGCTATATAATCCTTGTGTCAGCGAGATTTAATTATATCAAAGTAAAAAATAATCCATATAAAAAATTTTAATACTTTGTTGTTACAAAAAGAAGCAACTTTATTATAGAAAAGTATTTAAACCATAATCTTTTAACTTTAGAATAAGTGATTGTTAAAGTTTAGGCAATGTTAAATTTTCTTAGTATCAAATATATTTAAGGACCAAAAATATATAATTTTTATATTTTATTAAAAAAATTTAAAAATTAAAGGGGTTGTGATTCCCCTGATCTACCCTTGTCTCTGCCATTAGTAGTATGTTTTTTCTGGATTAGACCAAACCAATCTATGTTACTGTTAGCGAGGATTATAATGTAATTCAATGCATTCAAGTTTGTCTCGTGTTAAGACTGGACGAGGATAGATATACATGCATTGTTGAAGATGTTTTTTTAATATATAAATTTTTTTTTACATGAGTCAAGTCCCAAAACCTACTATGATTATGACATAACTCAAAGCTCAAGGAACATTTATATAGATATTTACAAATTATTCATAAGATTTTTATATAAAAAGATATAATTTAAACTGATGATCTTATAAATTATGAATCAATATATGTTGTTGAAGAGGTTAAACATATGTTCCGTACACACAATTTGGTTTTACTTCCTACATGTTCTTTCTACTGGGCTCCAATACCGATCAATCAAGTTAATTATATTGTTGATTGATTTGTCACAACTAATAAGAGACTCTGCCCATTTGTTTGCAAGAGTCTTCCCCTCCACTTTTTCACTTTCTCTTAACAAGAATATCAACTCTATAAATAGTAGAGATATCTGTATGTAAATATATAGTGTTTGCTGAAATTGGTCTGTAAATGTTTTTTTTTTCCCCTGGCCAAGTGTATAAATGTCTATATATTGCCTCTATGTTTTGTATATATGTTTATGGTGAATATCTATACTTGTATTGGCCAAAAAAACATTATAAAAATAAATGAAGTTTTATTTATACTCTTAATTTTTAATCATTAGATCTTGATTTTGATGGTTTAAGAAATTTTATTTTCTATAAAATATTCTTTTTATTTTATTTTTATTGTATTTTTTTAACTGTTCATATTAAACTTTAGTAGTTTGTGTTTTAATATTTTGTATTTTTTTATACCTTAACATTTCAATAATAATTTTATAGGAGATTAAATTTAAACCATCCAAATGTTAATCTAATTGTTAAAAAGGGAAAAGAAGGGAAGATGATGAAAAAGAAAGAGGGGAGAATCTTTACCCTCACAAAATAAGGATATCTCACCATGAATGATTAAATTCATGAGTTAAAAAAAAACTTGTTAAGAAACTATTCATATATATATATGATATCAATTCCAAATAATATATTTTTTAATGTAATACAAAAATAATGTCATAATAATTTTTTATATAATTATTTAATTGATTTAAATTTAAATATTATTGAGTTCAATTAAAAGTAACTTTTCTTTTAAAAAATTATATTTAGAAAGACTCAAAGTTAAGCCTAAACGGGCGAACGGCCATAGTCCTTTTTAGAAAGGCTAATGTATATTAGTTATAATAAGGGGAAATGACAAATAGACCATAAAATTATCGATAATAATTACATATATTGAATTATTGAAATTCAATAATAGACTGTGCTTTTTATTTATGATAAATTATTTTTTATTAATTGATTTGAGATTCGTAATAAATTTTTATAAATGTCCAACTAGTACTACAAAAATTTTTAATTATCTTTTATTGATTTCCTAAACAATAGCAAAAAATTATAAGTAATTGGCTTGCGATTTGTAATTAATTTTTGTAAATTCATAATTAACATTAAATAATTTTAAATATATTTTGCTAATTTTTCAAATAATTTATTTATATATTAACAATAAAAAAACACAAATAATTAGCTTATTATTTACAATTGACTCTCATAAATTTTAATTAACTGATATTACAAGCAATCCCAATTTGTTGATTTTTTAAATAACTATTTGCATTTTTTAATTATAAGTAAAGATTATTATTTATTATTGAGATTTTAATAATTTAGACTATGTAGTTGTCATTAATGTCCTCATCAATGTTTTCATAGTTAGATCAGATATTAAATCAAAAAAAGAAATGGTTCACCGTTTGTATATTTCAATTGGATTGGATCAATAATCAAACCAATAACATAATAATTAAAAAAAATAATATTAAATATATATATATATATAATAAATAAAAAAGCTACAATATGTTAATAAAATGACATAACATGATTTTAAATTAATAATATTATAAATTATAATTTTATAAATTTCAAATATGACTAAATTTTGATTAAATTATACATGAGTAGACTCAAAATATCTTTATTTTCACATATAATTGTCAATATCTTTATAAAAAATAGCTTTAAATCATATTTTATATACATGAATTTTTCAAAAATAAAGTTGGGCTTTTAATATGATCTAAGTTTTTAATTTTTTTAGTTTTTTTAAATTTTTTAAGTTTTTTAAATATTATATTTAAAATTGTTCAGTTTTTTAAGACCTCTCCATTTTTCGATTCAATTTTGTTTTTTGCACCCAATGGTGGCTCAGCTCAAGTCGAATTCGGTTCAATTATTAAAATAGTTTTTGAGTTCAAATTGAAGTGTTAATGACTCTGATCGATGGTCCTACTTTTAATTTGGTTTGATTTTTAAATTATTGATTCTCATGGATTTCTAATTGTCATTTTTCCTTATAATAATAATAATATTTTTAATATGACATTGTTAATTTTTAATGTTAATAATTCACCAATTAAAAGAATTTCTTAATATAACCCCCCCTTTCTGCATCTTGTCTTTCTCGCTCCTCAACCGCCTATATATTCTCCCGCATGCCTCCCTTCACTTGCCACCTAACACAGACGGCCCATTCTATCACTCTCTCCCCCTCGCTTCTACCTTCTTCAATATTCTTTCACTTTCTCTCTCTGAAAATCTCACAAGGAGCTGCTAAAATGAGCAGTGCTGAATGCGCAGAGAACAAGTTCTACGATACCCATCAGCTCCTCTTCCCAAAGAAATCAATGATCAGTAGGGACATTGAAATCATGCCACCAAGGAAGCTCCTCACTCGCCTTGGCGGCGCCAAAACTGTTATGCACGACGTCGCCGATATTTTCACTGACTCGCCACGGTTTTCTTCTTCTGATGAGATCCTTCTGCGGAAATTCCTCCCCCACAACAATATCGTGGATGAATCCGACGACGACGATACCGATCCGTACTCCTCCGAACACTTCCGAATGTACGAGTTCAAGGTCCGCCGATGCAGTCGCAGCCGGAGCCACGACTGGACCGACTGTCCCTTCGTTCATCCCGGTGAAAAGGCTCGCCGGCGCGATCCCAGAAGGTACCACTACTCCGGCACTATCTGCTCGGAGTACCGCCGCAGCGGCTCATGCAGACGCGGCGATACTTGCGAGTTTGCACACGGGGTGTTTGAATGTTGGCTTCACCCAGCAAGGTACAGAACGGAGGCTTGTAAGGATGGTAAGAATTGTAAGCGGAAGGTGTGCTTCTTCGCTCACACCCCTCGCCAACTGAGAATTTTGCCGGCGAATTGTTCTTCTTCACTGGATCAAATCTCAGACAAGAACAAGAAATTCTTAAACCCCTCATTGGGATCAAACAATAATTGCTGTATGTTCTGTCATCGCTCTGCTCATTCTTCTCCAACTTCAACTCTCATTGGGATGTCCCATTTTTCACCGCCGCCGTCGCCCTCTATCTCACCGACCAAAACAGGAACCTCTGCGAATGGCTTGTCGCAAATTTCAAGGTATAGTGAAAGAATTAAGGAATCCAGGCTTATCGTCAGGGTATGGTCATGAGCTACAAGGATGATCTCACTGAGTTGATGAGCTCCTTGGAGGCTCTGAATTTCAATGAAGCTTCTTCACCTGAAATTAATGCAACCACTACTCCTGGTAGTGAACCTCCAAATCTGCCATGGCTTGACGTTTCTTGCTTTAACTGTGATGATCAGTTCATTCCTTCACCTTCCACTTCTTTCAATTGTGACAAATATCAAAGGTAGATAATTCTTTCACCTTGCTCTTATCTGATTTTCCAGACCCCAGCAAGTCTATCTGCCTCGAGAATTTCTTCCACTGGAAAAATCGAGAGCAGAATCGTTGATGATGATAATGGGTCTTCCTGTGCAACTCCAGATCTCGGTTGGGTCAATGACCTGCTCATATAGATGCATGGTGACTATTATTTCAGGAAGATAAAATAACTTGCTGTCATTGCTGACGACGACGACGACGCAGAAGTGTAAATACCGTGTGAGCAGTGGTGGGATGTCTATTGTTATAGTTATTGTTTCAGGTTCATTACTTTGTCTGAATCTGTTGTTAATTACTGTGAAACAGTTTTTAACCATTCTGTAATTTATTATGCACGATGTCTGTAGACACCATATGTGTGTGTGTGATTTTGCTTTAGGTGAAAGCTATATAGAGATTCATGAGTCAGTCGTGTGTTTTGTTGGTTGCTTTCGAAGTTTTCGTTGCCTTAACCTCATGTGCTTGTGGTATTACGTGTTGAACCAAACCTGATGAACCTGTGTATCTTTAGGATCAGAATTCCGTCTTCAGATATGCTTATTAATTCCTGTTTAATTTTGGTAGTTCTTAAAAGGGAATCTTCATACACATGGCGGCATGCATGCAAATTGGAATATCTGATGATAAATATTTTAATAACAAAATATACCACTTTTAGGTTTAAGTTTATTAATTGAGACCAATTCTTGAAAGAGTAGACATTGACCCTAGATCAAAGTAATTAGATAATATAATTATTTATAATAAAAAATTAAAAAGGTGATGGCATCTTTATTCAATATATAACCCTTTAATATTAAAAAGGAATTAAAAGAGAACATGTGTTATTTAAATGATGGGGGAGAAAAGAAATACGTGAAATATTATTTCACATAACGATAATTCATTAACTGAAAATTAAAAGAAATGAGAGGAATCACAAGCGCCATTATCTTCATGTTTGGTAATAAAAGACAAACTAAACTGCCCTAAATAATGCGAAGGATGCCAGTACACATCTTCGTTTGTTAGAATATAACAAATGATAAGGAAATTTAAACACGCAAATAAATAAATAAATATAAGAATTTGAATTTTATTTTTCATCATATCTTTTTTTTAGTACTCTAATTATGTATAAATACAAATGCAACGCTCCTCTTCGGCTCTTCCTCCAAATGACACTCGGTTTCCCTTTTTAAAGATAAAATTATTGCACGTCCAGACACAGTCAGTAATTTTGTTCAGTCCAAATAAACTCAAATAAAATTGAATCTAGACAACCAGGTAGTTTTCTTAAAATTGATTTTTTTTTTTTTGGGGACTAGCCGGATGCTTCGACTAGCCAGAACATCTGTATAGCAATTTTTATTCATTTCTTTCATATTAAGTATTCTACTAAATTAAAAAAATGCTAAAATTATTTTAATTCTCTAACTTCATATAAAATTTTAATTTTATCATTTAATTTTATAAAATATTTATTTAATTCTTTAACTTTATATCAATATTTAAGAATTTTTTATTAATATTTAAAAATTTAATGAATGAATTTTTGGTTGATGAACTAACCGTATTATGTTTGAAAAACTAATTTTTTTTATAAAATTAAAGAATTAAGATAAAATATTATATAAAGTTAAAAAATTAGAAGATAATTTAGCCTAAAGAAAAAAGTATTCAAAACCCATAATCCCTGTCCCTCACTCGTTTATTGAGATGCTCATAGTCACTTAATTAAGGTTGTCTCCTAAAGGGCGAAACATGATTATCACTAAAGTTGCTCAACCACACTCGTGATCAATTGAAATGACATGTACTGACTTGCAATATATAGTGTGTGTACGCCAATGGCCATGAAATGTAGAAAGTTAATGACATTAATGTCCTTTGAATCCGAGAGGTTGCGTCTCTGTCAAGCAAAATTTAAGATTAGGAGTGTTTAATTTAGACTATCTCAATTAATTCGGTATCAACCCGATATTTTCCTGGTTTAAAAATAATTGAGATGAAATTTTATGAGACGAGATAAGAAAAGCGATCAGAATGAAATGGGATATGGGATTACCATCAGACATTCCATACTGAATATTATATATATATTATTTTTTATTTTAAATATATTAAATATATTAATATAATTTATACTTATATTAATTATATCAATTATAATTTCAATACTTGCAATTCTTATTTAAAACTAAAGTTTTTATATTGATAATTTTAATGATATTGAGTAAATATAGTAATATCTTTCTTTATATTATTTAATTATATCAATATAATTTATTCTTATATCTATCTATTTAATAACTTTTATTTATAACATATTTCTTACTTTATTTTTAAAAGAATAATTAATTTAGTACATCTTCACTGAAGTAAAAGAACAATGATTTAATGTGGTGCTTAACTTGCCTATTGTTGCTACTCTTATAGCCTAAAAATTACTTGTATTTGTTATTATAATGTGTAGTTATAATTAATATAATTTAATAATTGACTTAAATTGTTGTGATTTATGTACTTGTGTTGTTTTGATTTTAAACTTAATAAATTATATGATTTAAAATTTTAATAAACGTTATTATTCAATTTTTCTCTAATATTGTTTAATTTATCAGGATGGTGGGGCATTTCGGTCTTGTTCCGACTCCTAATAAAACGGGACGATTTTCGAAACAGGACGAGATACATGATCAAAATTTAGTCTCAATTTTTTTTTTCGAGATGAGAGTGTTTTGATGTCATCTTATCTCATGAACACCCGTTTCAAGACTTTCTTCTATTTTCCCTCAAATTATTAATTAATTTTGCCGCAGGCAGAGGTCTTTTTTTCCTTGTTAATTTATTAACATATTATCACGGCCGACAAGATGTCTAAAGTCCAAAATACCTTGGACGAATCGTCACCTTCGAAACTTGTTTGCTCAGAATCCCGTAGATTCGAGTGGTTGATAAAAATTAGACCTGATGATTTTTTTTGGGGTTAAATTTCATTGTTTCAATTTTTTTTTTTGTGTGTTAAAAAAAATTGAAGTATGGATATGTCAATCGACAGCGATGGAAAGCAGTCGACAGCAACCGAAAGAGTTGAGACGATCCTAATCAGAATGAGGCGAAGGGCCATTAATAAAGAAACACGTGTTAGTACGCGGGGAAGGCCATTTAAAAGAGGACAATGAATTGATGAATTATAGAGCAAATTAAGAGGAACAACGTTTTACGTCCTAGAGTGAAGATTCATATCTACCTTGCTAAATTACCAACTATAATAGTTTACTGTTTAATTATTCCAGCATTTGATTTCATAAGATTTAAATCCTTTAAAATTAACGTATGTGAATTTTTGTAAAATTTTTCTTTTTAAATAATTTTCTTCTTTTTTACTATTTTTTATAAAATATAAAATCTTCTCTTTATTTATTAAAAACATAAAATTTACATAAGTTCATATATTTTCAACTCCTAAAAAAAAATTATTACAAAGACACAGCTAAAATGGTGTAGTCTACTCTACCTTCCACTAGTGCAATATTATATATATATATATATGATTATCTAACCAAATTAGACTCGAGCATTATCGAGTTTAATTGAGAATAACTTTTTTAAAAATGTTTTTATATTTATATAAATTCAAACTTAAAATCTCATGCTTAAGGCGTTAAGCAACCAGAGCATATTCTTCTAAGATTAACGCCATGCAAGAATACCTTTACTCCTACATTTATGTTACATCACCTCCATTCATTTTAGGGTTTTTTTTTTTTTAATGAAGCCTCTTATACATTGCTCACACCCTCCCTTATAATGTAAAATAAAAATTAGATGCAAGAAATACACACACAAGGCATGTTTGGTGGGATGGCTATTTTGAGAAAAATGGGTGAAAAGAGAAAGAGGAGAAATATTTCATGCTTCCCGTCAATATTTATTTAGAATTTTAATTATTGTGTACCAAACAATTAAAATAGAGATTTTTCTCCATTACTTGACTCTTCTTTCTCACGTATGCCAAATGTGATGATATGGATATACATATAAATATTCCCTAAATGATTTATTATTTAAATCACTATCTTGTTATAAGATATATAGCTAAATAACAAGCACACAACTTCCTTGAATTTTGGATTCTATGCTGTTAATTCCCATAATATTTAAAATTTAACAATGATTTTCTATTCTGAAATTTAAGCAACAATGATTTTTTAAAATTTTCACACTTATGTGAATAATTCTCTCACCATTAACTTTTTTGTCATTTCAATAATAAAATGTAACATGATTGAAATTTTATTTATGCATAACTTAAAATTTCAGAAGTTATCTACACATAACTCAACGGTTTGAAAGGTTTTATATATATATATATATATAACTCTCTCAAACTTTATATATATATATATATATATGAAGTTTGAGAGATATACAGTCCCTCACAATCTCACATGTTATGTTTTGTTAGTAAAACAATGAACACGCATAATAATAGGGGTTAATTGCAAAATTTAAAAGTTTAAGATTTTTATTAAATTTGTAAAAAGTTAAGAGAATTTGCTTGCAACTAACTCAGAAATTAAAAATAATTTCATGTAATTCGACCATATAAAATTGCACAAATATATATAAATAATGCAAAATCCACTTTATGCAATTTTTTTTTGGGGGGGGGGGGTTCTGAAGGATATGACTTCAGTAACGCTAAATATTATCAAATTTGGTTGTCGAGAAGATGCACTAAGTTTAGGCGATTCCTACTTCAGGCCTCGTAAATATTAGTCACACTAGTCTAGCAGCTCTAGCTAGGTCTCATAAATACAAATCTCATTAATTGTAATGTTTAGTATGTAGTTTCATTCATGGTGATTTTATTTATCTTTAAAGAGTCATGCCCTCATTTAAAAGGACCAGTGGAGTTTTTTATTTATAATTCATTTCAAGCATTTTTTAAAAATCTAACATAGGTTTTTCAACATTATCAACACCTGTATATTTTGCCAATTGCATCACACTTGCTTGAAAATATTAACCAAAGATTCATTCAGATCATTCATAATTTGTTGATAAGATATATTGTCTACAAACAATGAATAACATATCAAATTAATCATGAGCAAGTTATAAATATATTAAGAAATATATTAAGAAATATGTATATTCTAATTTAGAAAAGTTTGAGTGTCCATTTTCTTTTGGTATGGGTCAGTCATCAGCATTGATAACACAAATTCAAGATGGCAAAGTCTTTACAATTTTTTTTTGGGTGATTAAAGGGTCCTTTTATTTAACAGGAAAGTTTAACATACCAAGATTGGCTAAATTAAGAAAATTAAAAACAAAAAAAAAGTCCAAAATGATAATAGGGCTATGCTTATGAGCTGTGAATTGAATTTTAGTTCTTCATTGAAAGGAGAGAGGGGCCG